TATCCCTATGTCGAGCTTTCTGCAACAAAAGTCGCAGGCTCGACAAAAATGCTATTTTGGGCCCCTTTTTGGCCCCTTATTCCTAAACATTTAGGGCAATTACCCCCAAACTCAATTCCAGCTTTCCCTTTGTGATATGGAACCTTGTAGTTCAATTTCAGAAAAATCCATATACTTAGACACAAGTTATTATCATGAAACTAGAAAAATGCTTGTTTTTTGCCCCTTTTTTGGCCCCTAATTCCTAAAATTTTGCGGCAATTACCCCCAAAATCAATCCAAGCATTCCCTTTGTGATATGGAACCTTGTGGTACAATGTCAGAGAGATCCATACACTAACACACAAGTTATGTCTGGAAGTTACAAAAATGCTTATTGTTGGCCCCTAATTCCTTAACTGTTGGTACCATAACCCCCAAAATCAATCCCAACCTTCCTTTTGTGGTATTGAACCTTATGGTAAAATTTCATGGAGATCCATTCACTTAAACTAAAGTTAGAGTGCGAAAACCAATGTGTCTTCGGACGACGAAGCCGGTCGACGACGACGAAGCCAACGTCATACCAATATACGACCAAAAAATTTTTAATTTTTGCAGTCGTATAAAAAGGCCACAATTTGTTTTTAAATAAATCAATCTCAAAAGTTTTGATGCTAGGTAAAACAAGTATATTCATATAAGAGAACATTAACATAGGTTCAAAAGTCAGAACAAGTTCACCGTGTAGAACGACACATGCGGGGTGTTGCTATGTTCGGCACAGGGTGGCGGTTTCGAAGCGAAGAAACACAATCAAGGGAAGTGAAAGTATCAAATTTTCCTGTTTTGAGAACTGTTAGCACAGAACAATATATTGCAAGGAAAATAACCACCCATAATATAATTCCAGGAAGCAGAATTACATGGTGCTCTGTTTTCTCAAACACCTCCTTCACCCACAAGTTTCAGGTTAAATAAACACAAAGATATGTCTCGCCTATTTGTTATTTTGATAATGCAAATGTTATAATTAAAATAGCAATACTTTAACATGTATGAAAATATTCAAAATCAATGAACCATGACTGAAGGTACAGGGCTAAACAAACTCCATGGAAATGAGATGTGACAATGCTAATACAACTGCAAACCAAATACCATTGACTTTTCATAAGTTGTTCCCTTTAAACAAACCTAAACACAAACATTAACTTGTAAACTATGTAAAAGTTTCAGTCAATGAACCATAATTAGGGGGTGGGGTTATATAATCTCCATGGAAATGAAACTTGCAAATGCCAATACATTTGCATACCGAATATCATTGACTTAACATTAGTGGTTCATCTTAAACTGACCTAATCACAAACTAATACATGTAAACTAAGCAAAGTTTCAAAGTCAATAGACCTAGACTGAGGGGGCGGGGCCAAATAATCTCCATGGTAATGAGATGTGCCAATACTAATACAACTGCATACTAAATATCATTGACTTACCACTAGTGGTTCACCATAAACTATACCTAATCACAAACTAATACAATGTTGATGCCGCCGCCACCGGAAATAGCATACCTATGTCTCGCTTTTTGACTCCGTCAAGGCAAGACAAAAACTTTACTTTTTGGCACCTATTTCCGTATTATTTATATTGAAATGAATTCATGTCATAGAATCAGATCTAATGCTTATAAGTTATATCCCAATAAAAACTTCTTGGTTTTTAACTTAATTTGTCATCAAAATGTAATGTGTCGCAAGGGGTGGCAGATTTTGCTTCTCATGGAGGTGAGGCATTAATTAAAACAGGAATAATTTTGATTTTAACTTTGTCTTTATATCTAAAAGTAAATAGCTTTACTACATGTATAGATTAGAAAACTTCATGTTAAATGCCTTGTCGACAGGAACTGATTTGCAAATCAATCTTTTAGATAACATGCTCTGCAGGGCGCAGCTTGATACGACTGCAGAGATCGTAACCTGAACTATTGGGTCAGGGGCAAGTATGGACACAACATTCAAACATTTACCCATCATGGTCCAATATCCAAAATCTAAATACATGGTTAGATTCAGCATATCAAAGAACCCCAAAGATTTGATTTTTGGTGAAATCAAACAAAGATCAATTTTGGACCCTTGGAACCTTAATGTGGACCGATCTAAAAGCAGGGCCCAAAAAGAAAAAAAATCTTAATACAGGGTTAGATTCGACATATCCCAATAATTTATTTTTTGGTAAAATCAAACATGGTCTCCATTCTTACCGTTTGTATTGTCTTCTGCTTGTTCCCTCTTTTTTCGTCACCAGTATGTAATTTTTATAATTAATCAAATGGACCAAGAATTTGAGTCAAATTTTGTACTGCTTGTTTAAAATACTCGGGCCAAATTTGACCATATTTATCAAGAATGATTCTACAAGGAACCTCATTTGGTTCAGATAAAGAAATAGTATGGCAGCCAAATTAATATCCCATTAATGCCTTCTTTCAACATCACATTAACATGTCAGTGGCGGATCCAGAACTTTTCATAAAGGGGGGCCCGCTCCAGTCATGCTTCAGTGATTCCCTATATAATCAACCAAATTTTTCCCACAAAGGGGGGCCCGGGCCCCCCAGGGCCCCCCTGGATCCGCCTATGCATGTCCTAGTACACGAAATAAGCCACATGTGACAACTTCTACTTTTCCCTTTTTGCACCGAAAGTAAACGAATTGAGTCTCTAGTAATATTGTTGTATCTGTTGTGTTATTTAGGAGTTAACAATTCAAAGCTTCTAATTTAAGAAGATATACTTGTATGATTATGGCTTTGTACTTTTCCATTCAATACATTATTTGGTGCATATAGTTATTAAATAAAAGAACTGAGTTCCAATGTCCCCCGCATTGCACATATTTTATCCATCCATGGTGCAAGGGCAATAACTAAATAAAAATTCGTAAGGGTTCCGCGGAACCCAGTGTCTCGCCTACTTTTGCTGTTAATCGCAGGCTCAACAAAAATGAGGAAAAAAATTAATAAAAATATTCCTCTCTATACTATCTTTTGATTGTAAGTAGCTTCTGTCCAAGTTTGGTACAAATCCAGGATAGTTTATGAATCTAATAAATGTTTTAAAAACTTAAACTGCAGACTGTATGTAATGTTAACTGGAAGAAAAACTAAGTCCATTTATAAGTAAAATACTGAAAAAATAGAACAAAATTTTAACAAAATTTCAACAAAATTTCCTTCTAGATACTAGCTTTTAATCATAAACAAGCTTCTGTCCAAGTTTGGTACAAATCCAGGATAGTTTAAGAAAGTTGCTAAAATTTTAAAAACTTTAACCACAGAGTGAATGTAATGTTAACTGGCAGAAAAACTAAGTCCATTTATAAGTAAACTACGGAAAAAATGGATTTTTTTTTTTACAAAATTTACTTCTGGATACTATCTTTTAATCATAAACAAGCTTCTTTCCAAGTTTGGTAGAAATCCAGGATAGTTTAAGAAAGTTATTAAAATTTCAAAAACTTTAACCACAGAGTGAATATTTGTGGACGCCGCCGACGACTACGACGCCAACGGAATGTAGGATCGCTATGTCTTGCTTTTTCGACAAAAGTCGAAGGCTCGACAAAAAGCACTTTATTTTTGTTCTTTTAAACTTTTTATTAATATTTTAAGAGAAATGAAGGCTTAAGAGCAAATGCAATGTGATTTCCATTATAATTTTTATTTCCAAGGGGCATAACTCTTTAAAAATATTTGATCAGAGCCTCAGACATTGTTGATATAAACCCATGATATAAGTTTCATAAAATTCTGGCAAGATTGAAACACATGAGAGCAATTTTCCATATAATCAATATTTTCATAAGGCATATTTAAAAAAAAAAAAATTGGTCAGCACTGATTTTTGAACTATTCAAGTAGATTGATGATATATATGCTTTGTGTAGGGGACAATAAATAGAGAATCTGTCAATGGGACACAGATGAACTGGGAACATTACTCTAGAACGGTAAAAAGTGGTGCCACCCATTTTCGAACTTGATCACTGTTTTGAGGTAACAAGCATTGTGTATAAGTTTCATAACATTTGGTTGAGGCAAACTAAAGATGGAGAACAGAAACAAATGTTGGGACGTACATACACAGACAAGGGTAACACTTGATGCTCCCCTGCTACATAAAAAGGAAAATCGGATAATTTTACTTACCTTGATAATTTTTCTTTGCTTTGAAACCGTCAACCTGTGTCAAACATAGCCAACACACAGCATGTGGCATTCTACATGGTGATGTTGGAGATGCTCGTAAACACATAATATTTTGCATTTTCAATCCTATAAAACATTGTGAAACTCTTGCCTGCAACCTACATGTATCATCCAAAATGCTCTGTAGCTGTAAGGTTCTTTCAATTCCATAGATTTTTAGTTATGAAAATATTAATCTACCAAGGAACAAACAGAAACCCATACATACTTATAGATCAAAGTTAATGTTTTCACTAATTCAACAATTTCTACTAAGAATTTGAGTTAAAATTATGAACCTCACTATGACATCCAAGATATCAGCTGTAATGTCATAAAAATCATGCAATTTCTGTTTTTTCCCCATTTCTATCATTGAGTGATAGAGATGATGAAAACAATGTGCTGCGTTTGTAACCATGTTTCTGAATATAACTGGCAAATGATTATCATCAATAACCACAAAGATCTGCAAAATTCAACCACACCAGATTTGGCAGTGGCTGCCATTTTTTCATTAATTTTTTTTTTAATTTTATAGCTAGCTTCTATTTACAGAAATGGCAGCCATTTTGGTTTGATGGAATATCAGATTTTTCAATTCAGCACACAGTTCAACAGGTGATTTCTTTTTGCTATAGTTGAGGATAAGTGGTTGATACACACCAAGTAATGGAAATTGCTCAAAGTGATGCTTCTGGCTTCACAGAAGACAAGATGTTTCCTGAAGGACCAGTTTGGTTTTATCACAAGCAAAGCAAACATTAATAAATATTTTAATATAAATTAATGAAAGTTTGAATTGTTTACAAAATGTTTGGTAGTATAACTAAAATACACACATACATGTAAAATAAAATATGAAATTACTGAATCAAACCTTTAACTATGATATCACAACAGAACAAATTAATCCTCCCTTTAGCTTCTCCAATAAAATTTACCAATCTTCATGACAAAGGTGGAGGTAGAAAGTGTTTCAGTTATACAAAATGTAACACAGATCTAATCTTTTCAAAAAGAAATATCTATCTATACATTTGAATATGTAATAAATCATTATTTCTTTTTAACCTAGTCAAAATGTAGCAATTTTTTTGCATATTATACTCAAATTTTTTAAAATACTGCAAACAAAATTTACTTTTTATTTCACAAATGCAATATTATTCTAACAATATACTTGACAATTCCCTTTGTGGAACTCTACCAACAAAAGTCTACTTTCTATTGATATTATATCCCCTCAACCTTTGAAGAAGTTTGGTATGTTTAAGTGGAGGTCACACATTGAATCCAGAGACTGTGATGTCAATTTTAATACATTTAAAAAGATAATTATGTATTCAAGTGTACAATAAATCTCAGATTTAACCCTAGGTAAGGTTTTCTAGTGACGAAAAAACGTTTTCACTGTCATAAACAATATCAACCAAATATTGTAATTCTTTCTGAATATGCAAATTTATTTCCAAGAAGACATATAAATTTAGCTTAAAACCCATGTTATACCATATTTTAAAATGGTGCTACATTTTGTACCTTAGATAATTTTCACATGAAAATATCTTATACAGAAATATATTTTAAATCAACACTTTCAAATACTTTTCCCAAGATCTATTCTTCTTAGTATTGCTGTCAATCAAATCTAAAAAAAATTCTGAAGTTCTTTCTAAATGCATAACTACATAGGAAAACCATGTTGAAACAAACATTTAAATTTAAACAAAAGAAAAAATTAAAATTCACTTTTAAAGTTGAGCATTATAAAAGCAAAACTATAGAAGTAAAGGTTCAAAGGAAGGAACCATTTCAAACTAAACTCAACATGTTCAAGTGAAAAGAAATTCAAAATTTCACTCAGGTAAGTGAAAAGATTTGATATTCTTCTCTGATAAGTGAAAAAAACAGTGGAATTTCTCTACAGTCTCTCTTTATTTGTGATTTTTAGGGGATTTCTCTATTTCTCTTCACACCATTCATTTTCCTTCCTCACCTGAAATAACAAAAACAGCATTAATATCATTTTGTAATTCTTTATCAAGAAGTGTTTTGTCTATCATGCAGATGATTTGTAGGTTATTAAGAAGCCATGCCTTTATGGCTTTTATTAAACAGTGTGTTTTCTTAGAATGATGAATTCAAATACAAGGTTGCTGGAAAAATTTTGTTTAGTGTCTAGCAAGGTCCTCAGTCAACAGTACAAAATGTTTAACTATTTTTTTAACTTATTTTCACACAATCATACTTCAGGCTATTACAGTTTATATTTTTTCATAATTTATAATTGTTGCTAATTCATTTGATTTTCGTTTAAGGTTTTGTACATAAATAAGGCCGTTAGTTTTTCTCGTTTGAACTGTATTACAGTTTTTATAGTTTTATCTTAGCAGTATGGGATTTGCTCATTGTTGAAGGAAGTGCGGTGACATACAGTTCCTAACCTTCTATGTCATTTGGTCTCTGGTTGAGAGTTGTCTAATTGGCAATAATACCACATCTTCTTTCTTATTTTTATATTATACATTAATGGCTAACCAGTTGCAAGGAATCAAATACTGTGAATGATTTGGATTGCAATAACAAATTATGTGAAACTGTTCTCTTTCACCGTTCTGCCAGACAGAAAGAATCAAAATAAGAAGCAACTTCTCCCTTTAGTTTTCAGTAATGTGCCTAGCTTTACAACACGAACAAGAAAGTACCTTGTTTGGGTCTAAGCTGTATTTCTCATATCAATTAATATCAGGTACCTCTGTCTTTGAAAGAGCGTTACATGATATTGTTAACCAACTAACTTTTGCAAGTGATTTAATTAAACAAAATTGGCTAGCAAAACAATATGCAAATATAAATTTGGGTTTTTCTCATATAAAAATACATCAATAAAATTATAATGTTGTAAAAATAAATACTGTGGATTCATTATTATTAATTTTCATTGATTTCTTGGATAAAGGTGAACCACAAATTTAAATGTTCAATGATGTAAAATTTTCTATAGATTTGCATACAGACTTTGGCAAATCCATAAAATCAAATGTCTAAGAAAATACGTTTTTTCCTCAATCCACGAAAATTGGTATACATGAAATTTGATGAATCTACATTAACCACTATGTCGGTTAGAATGAAATAGAAGCTAAAAATAGAGTTGACAAAAACAAGTTGGTTTGAACAAGGATCCGGAAATTGTTCCAGACAATTTCGGTCATTTTGAGATGTTTGAAAAGTTGGTGCCCCTTTTCAAATTGTCAATATCAACTTGACTATATTCATAGCATCAACGAACATGACGAACTTGTATTGCTGTTTCATCGCATTTACTAAGTAAATGTCTTACCATTACCATGAAGGACAGTTTAGGGAAGGCAACAGTCTAAAATTGAAATGATTTTAATGACTCAAAATGGTTAATTTCTCAGACATTGCTTACGTTTCTTTCGATTTGACAAAAGTTAAAACCGGAAGTTTGCGATATTTTAAAGTACGAATAATTCCAGATTCATTTCCAGGATTTGTTTTGTTTATCAAATTGACAGGAAATCACCAGCTTTTTATGGCTTTTTTATTTTATTACCTTTAAAAGTGTTTGAATATAACAGATAATAGTTGCACTAGTTTAATTTAGCATGAAATCAATTTGCATTTTACGATTAAATATTAAATTTGCTGAACACAATTTCACCCATGCGTACTACATAGTAAATAAAGCACATGTGTTACTCATGAAAAAATACTTTTTTCTACGTAAATTTAGATTTAATTCTTAAATCAGAATTGATGACTGTCTTTGATGAAAAGTAAATAAATAATGAATACACTTGTCAGGGAACTTTGTTTTAAAGATATTATTCTGAGCTTGTGATCACTGTCAGGTGTGAATTGAAACCACAGGTAAAAAGTGATTAGCGATCATTAGCCAATCTTTCCCGGAGGCATTGATATAGATAGTAGGAGGGCCCTCAGGATTATCAAACTACTGTAATGGCTGTTTTATTACAGGAAAAGGATTATAAACAAAAACAAGTGATCTCAAGTGCAAAATGGCGACTGAGAAATCCAATTTCAAACATTGAGTCAATGAAATGACAGAAATTACTTCTGTAAAAAAATAAAATTTGTCCTAAATCCCAATTACTCGTTTAGGACAAATAGTTTCATCTTAGGACATGACTGGCAAATATGACCGTTTCCGGATCCTTGGGTTTGAACATGATACAGTAATTGATAGATGTTTGCATATGTCCATTGGGGTAATTAGTAAATCTGCCAATGTCCTTCTGTGAATTCTTTTTTTTTTTGTTAGCTTTAAAAACAAAAATTATACAAACCTGTTCCTCTTCAGCAGGAGTGAAATCATTCTTTATATTAAATGTTTTCCTAATTTCTTCAGGTGATTTCCCTTTGATCATATTTGCAACTGTTTTACATGTGACATCTAGCAATCCTTTAATGTCTAAATAATTAGCTGCCTGTAATGAGAAATAGGTATATGTATGTGTATGTATCTATGCTACTGTTAGTATTTATTTGTGTAAATTTACATTTGATATCCTGCTTACTGTTTTGTCAGATTCCCGTATCCCGATTACACTATGTACGTAAGCAATTCTCATTTTTTTTGTAATTTCCCGTGTCCCACTAGACTTCATTTCCCGTTTTCACGGCACAATAATTTGACTTTCACGTGTCACACTTACAAAAAATAGGCAATCCCGGGGCACACTTAGACCCCAATGAGACCCACTACAGTATCTGTCTTTAGCTGTGATTTTGAGGGAATTTCATTAAATTTCTACTGTTGTCAAGTATAACCCTGCTCGGGAATTTCTGGTTATAAAATCACATGAAAAAGTTGACAATATATAGAAGGGAAAAAGAATTGTTGTTGTACTTAATCTAATTATGCATTGTCCCCTTATTTTGGAACTGCTGAATATTACCAATATTAATTCAAATAATGTCCCTTGATCAACTTTTAGAAATTCAGCATCCCAGGAGCAAATATCATCTGTGCGTTTTTCTTTGTTTTCGTCATCTTCTTGAGGTGGTGGGTCGTCTTTGTGGTATGTGCACCACTGAATAACTTTTTTTAGGATACCAGCATTTACATTAGGCAAGGGTACAGGCTCCTCATCATCCTCATCAACACCCAGATCTAAAAATACACACATCAGACTACCAATAGAAAATACCATATCTTTGTAACATGTATTGTTACTGTAAATACAATCTCCTCCCATGTTCTTGAAAAGTGTTTAGTCTTATTGGATAATTGTTTAAAATATGTCAGTCGAAGATAAATATTCATCAGTCCAATCCTATAATCCTACATGTATTAAAAGATTCCCTCTGATAAGAAATGTGTTTGTAGAGTTTTAAATTAGTCCCTCTGATAAGAAATGTGTTTGTAGAGTTTTAAATTAGTAAGAAAAGTACAACATTGTACAAATTTTTCAAATTTCTATTTATAAACTGATTTTTTAAATAAATGTATCATTATTTTTATGAAAACTCAGGCTGTGCAAAATGCTCTAACTGATGCTCCTGCAATTTAATGATTTATATGCCAATCAATTATGGGAAACAAGACATTCTAGATGATGAACAGCAAATAAAAACTCTTTTTCATTGCATTAGGTTTTGTCATGTCTGTGAATTTGTGTAATGAATTATAAACAGTAACTTTAATGAAGAATTTTTTTCAGTCATGTTTCATACTATTTTTAACAAATGACAAACTATTAAAAATGTTCATATACTGCTTGTATACTGCAAATTTATTCACAAGTTCTTCTACATCCATTATGGATGCATGCTAGCAATAACTCTTCAAATTGATAGATTCTATCAGTAAACTGATCAACAAAGATCACAAACATTTTTTTTTCCTTCATCTGCTTACCTTCTAACATAGTTTTAATTGTAACAGACTGTCTGGCGATCTCAACTTCAATTTCAAATATCTCTCCATCTGAACTCTGTAACTTGATATTAGGCATCTAAAAAATAATAACATGTACATGCACCTGTAATTGGCTTCATTCTTACATTTGTTTTAATTAGAATTAAGAGATAACTGTATTGTATTTGAAGCTTTGTGGACATCCATCGGTAGTTTTATTGTCGCAATTTGAGTTTACCTGGTGACGCGTAGCGCAGAATGCTGTATAATTATGATGTTTTGATCTAACTATGTTGTAAATTTTTTTTTCAAAATAAACTCGTCAGATTTTTTTTTATTTTGACGTCAAAATTTTACCTTTGTGATGGCGGGCAAATAGCGATAAGGTGTGTAAGAAACATGAAAGATGACAATAGAATTAAAAATCAGCACAAAAAGACTCAGGGCAAACATGTTTAAGTGCAAACGGACCCAGGGTAGAGAGGTACAATGGAGAACAGGAATCGGGGCAAACAGATCTGGATTCCACATTTTTGGCAAAATTTTAATTTAAAAATATAATTATTTTCTTCGCCCTTATCTCAGGAACAAGTTGTTGTAAATTTGTATTGTGGGTTTTTTTGTTGTTTATTAAGAGGTAAGGAAATGAATTTATCATTTCAGATAAAAATGACACATGTATCTATATATGTAGATGACTTATCTGAGAAACGGTGTCAACAAAATAGAATGCGCCATATTTGTTGGCAAGAGCATACAAGTCTATAAATCAGTAAATATTTTGGAAAAAAAATTGACTTTAGGACAGTGTATTTCATTTTAAGACATTACTTTGATCTGATGTGCCTATAATTAGGTGTGAAATCTTTGTCTTTCGTCTGGAAACAACACAAAAATTAAATCGGAAACGAGCTGAGTCTAAAATATTCTAGCGCCGTCTATGATTAAGGGGCAATAATCTATTTTGACTTTTGGGTAGTTTTGTATTTTTTCATTGATTTAATGGAAGAGTCTCGAAGTTCCCGATTTAAATACTAGAATTACTGCCCTTGAATAGAAGACAAAACGCTAGCTGAAACTTGTTTTATTGAAAGACACAGAACACAAAAAGTATAAATTTATCAAAGTTTCAATATCTCTTATAATGTGAAACGATTGAATGTGACATTTGTTTATTTTTACTCCTATAAATTTAGAAAATTAGTCGGGCACGTTTTGTTTACATTGGTTACCAACTATAAAATTAAAAGTACAAAAAATTAAATCAGCATCATCTTTTACTGATATTTAATTAGTAAGCATGTATGTTTTCACTAAATAGTCATCTAATATTCCTTTCTAGAAGACTTGTGTAATTACTGTTATAAATGCATAAATCCAAAGAGGTGAATACATGGATTATACTGCTATTTAACCCTCTTGCTGCCGTAGGGACACGTGTCCACACGGGCTGTGCCGGAGGGACACATATGTCCATGTTTTAATTTATGCAAGCTTCTCATCATTGTTGTATCAGTTTCAAATAAAAGACTGAAGATTAAACAGTGTAATATTTTTCTTCAATGGGTCCCAAATGTAACGGTCATCAGGACGTGACATCATATATCGAATGACATCATTGTTGGGCATGTGACGTCACAGACGTGGAGCTGTCATATTTCCTGGCACTTGAAATGCAACCTTGAAAAACTACTGGCAGCAAGAGGGTTAAAAAAAAAATATAATCATTATATATGAAGCTGGGTCATTTTACTGATGCAAGATACCATACTGCCAATTCAGCCATTCTCTGTAAAGTTGTTAGGGCCATGTTTTTTTTTTTTTTTGTTGTTAAAGGGAGGTTAAATTAATTGTTCCTACTAATATGCGTACATGTTGAGATACAAACTGCAGATGGTTTTTAATCATATATCATTGTCATTTTGCTTAGAGGTATAGGGGGATGGCTGAGATCTCACAAAACATGTTTAACCCCGCCACATTTTTGCGCCTGTCCCAAGTCGGTAGCCTCTGGCCTTTGTTTGTCTTGTATGTTTTTTTTTATTTTAGTTCATTTATATGTTTCAGGGTTTAATATGACGTCCATTTTCACTGAACTAGTACACATTTTTGTTTAGGGGCCAGCTGAAGCCGGCCTCCGGTTGCAGGATTTTCTCGCTGTGTTGAAGACCCATTGGTGGCCTTGGGCTGTTTTCTGCTCTTTGGTCGGGTTGTCTCTTTGACACATTCCCTATTTCCATTCTCAATTTTATTATGGTTAAGAATTTGTATACTTTAATGTATGATCCCTCTTTTCATTTGATAATGGTTAATTATCATTGTTTCTTTGATATATCTGAAGTACTAAATATACTAGTCACTATTTATATGGCCCTAAACAAGGTTGACAGGACTTGACACTCATTATTTGGACCATATTACATTACATGGGTCATAGCTAATTAACGATACGTTACGGAAGTAGAGATGTATAAAATTAGTTCCCAATTTTTTTTATGTTTCCAGATTCACAGAACAAAATCTGTAATATAGTTAACCTATAAAAATGGTCCCTGTATGACTTAAATAAATTAAGGGTCAATTAAGAGTTCAATGCAGCGAGAATCCTGTTGTACTGACTACACAACATTAAACATAAATTAATTAATCTATTCAAATGAAAGCAACCCAGCAAATGTTTAGATATTAGATGCAGTCCTTTAATTGATTTTATATTTTTCAAATGATCTACTATTTTTGTCCATGAATGACGTGGTTTATTTTCTATTCTTTATATATAAAAAATCTGTAAACAAAACCCAAGGACAAAAGGAAAAGTTTTTATTGTCTTAACCAGGTGTAATATAAGAAAGTGTTTAGTCCTCAAACACAAATTTGTTTAAAATGCTCCTCTGGCTGTATTGAAGATGAAAGACTTTTCTAAACTTCATCATGTTCATGTGATAACTTGGAATTTGATAGGAATGTTCATTTTTACTTTTTTACAGTATTTATGTGTATTCTATACATTTGTACTCTTATAATATTTTCTGATCGGTATAAAATGTTCTATACCTCAGAAAGTATGAAAGCATATATAAATTAATTTTCGATGTTTTTGTGCAGTTCCTCATGCTTTAGTTGCATCTAGAGATCACCCATTTACGTACCTGAACATGCTGAACATTACGTTAAAATGTTTAATAAAATTCTTTACCTCATGGAGTAGATCAGAATAAAATTAATTATTAGATATTTAAATAGTTATTGCAGACAGTATATATATTATGTTATTTCCTATTTTTTTAATTTAAATATGTTAAAATCACCAAACTGGCTGTGTTTTTACCGAATTTCTAGGTCTAACAAAATGTACAAGAAAATAGGTAAGTATATATCTATCTTGTACAAAATGGTATACATGCAGTTGGCCCATTTGGTATGAAATGGCTTTGTTTGTTACAAAATGTCTTTGTTGATGGTACAAAATGGTTATGGTAACGAAATGACTAGCTTCATTGCTATTAAACCCTTGGTACATGCTATGTGAGGAGCAAAGGACATATATTTATTACGTCTAGTGTGGTTACATGTACCATATATGTGTCCATAATCATGATAATGTAAGAAAACTGAAAAGTTTTTAACAAAGACTACAAACTTGTACTATTTGAAAATCTACTTTCTTTATATATACATGTAACATATAATTTAGGACTATACTGAATTTGAAAAAAAAATGGTAGAACACCATAATGACAGCTAGTTCTGACGTCTGGAATATTATGCTAAATTACAAAGAGTTTTTGAATTAAGTTTACCATGTTTACTGTGTCAAAGACATTAATAGTGTTCAACACTACATTTAAAAAAGTAAGGTTAAAGGGTTAAACAGGTTGGGAAACCAGAGAAAAATAAATACAGAAGATTGGCAACTTTGCATTTAAGAGCTATTAAAAATCTTTTGTGATCATGTCTATAATCAATCTCCTTGTGCACCAGATTTCTTTATCATACAAATATTTTTGAAAATGAGTAGCTATCCAAGATCAATATATTACATAAAGTTTAACAGGAATTAGAGCATGAAAATCAAAGAAAAAACCTATTGTTTATAAATAGATCATGGGAGGGGGATCTCAGTTTATTGCATGTAACAGTGTGTTATATTACCTATAATTATTGATTGTGACAACTTATCATTTATTTTGCAGCGACATTAGAGTTTTGTTCAGAATTTGTTGATACATACATTTCTTGTACTGTGGATTAATTTATTTTCATGGATACCAATTTTCGTGGATCTTGGAAATATTGTATTTTTGTAGATATTTCATTTTGTGGTTTTGCCAAATTCTGCATACAAGCCTTAAGAAAATGTGTATTTTCGTTGAACATTTTAATTTGTAGATAAACTAAATGAACGAAATTCATGAAAATTGGTATCTTACAAATACATGAAATAATAATTATAATGAATCCTCAGTAACTCAAAAGAGGTGCAATATACATGTACAATTACATTTGTACCTACAAAATTTTGAAACAACAGCTTAATGCACTTGTGTTGTGAAATTAACTGGTGATATTGTGTTGATATTATAATTTTCTATCAAAAACTTCAAATTTCTTTCATGTTACATACATGTATTTAGAGAGTAAAACCCATGTTTTAGAATTATACTTTTTTTTTTTACTTATTTTTTTTGTATGTCCTTTTTGTTTTATTAGTACTGAAACAAGTTATCATATTATTTATCTAGTAATTGAACATTGGTTCTTAAAATTATACTGATAGTCATGATCTAGTCATGATCAGCATCTCAAAGACAAATGACAAAATCTTGTCCAATCAGACATTTTTATCCTATGCAGATTTTGTATTGGAGGTGTTATTAAATTGCATGATATCTTTCCCTTTTACGCTCTTCAATTTATAACTAATTAAACCTCCTACCAAAACAGATCTTAATAATTACCTATATATAGTATATATCATGTATATGTTTATTGTTTAGAATAATTTCTTTTCTTTTTTTATTTCAGTGCCTCAAATAAAATTGGAAACTTATGAGAAGGAAGTATTTGAAATTGATTTGGATATAGCTAAGAAGTTCGGTAAATTAGTGCCAGTATTACAGGGTAAGTTGAGATTTATCGGAAATAAAACAAAAATGATTACCTATCTTTTCTGCCTTTTGAAAGATTAGTTTAATTGAATAAAGAAAAAAAAAACACAGCTCAAAGAAGTCTATAGTATATATGGAATCTAGAAATGACATGCCTTATAATATTTTTTCAAAAACCACCAACTTAACCATGTTAACTGTTATAATCTGCTCTTTACGTTATTGACATTTAAACTTTCCTAGAACATTCCATCATACAGAACGCCTGCAACAATGCTGTCCTGGGGTCCATAGGTTGCCTGTTGCAAGGCAAAGTTTTGCCCTTATCCAAAATACCATCTTTTCCAGTTCCAGTCTAAACTTCCCAGCCTTTATTTTGATCAGCCTACATAGCTGAACCTACCTTTTGTATTAATCATTAATTGTCCTCGTCTTGAATAATACATTTTAATAGATAATTGGCACTGGATTTAAGCAAGCTATCACCAATCAATCATAATCAAGCAAACTAATTAATGACCTGTGAGTACGTTTCTAATTACAGAGTTACTGAATGATGATAAACCACTAACCATCAAGACAATCAACTCTGGTACGTTGAAAAAAATCATCACATGGTGTACCTATCACAAGGATGACCCCCTTCCCCCAGAAGATGACGATAACAAGATGAAACATTCTACAGAGGAAGTCAGCTCCTGGGATGACAAGTTCTTACAAGAGGATGGACAAGCTGCTTTGTTTGATTTGATTTCTGTAAGAACACATATTTATGTATATATATGTGCAAATGTATTTTGAATAAGTGAACAGTCATATAGTTTTATAAATAATTGTTTAAATGTGAAGGCTTTAATAATGCTAAGCTGGGCCGTTCCAGATTTAAATGCATGGGAGGGAGGCACTCTTATTAATAAATTTTGGGTGGGTGCATTTTCATTAGAATTTTGTTAGAATTATAAATAAAATGAAATTTTATATTATGGGTAATTGGGTCTAAAAAAAAATGCCTCTCATCCTCTCATGCGTTTAAATCTGGAACAGCCCTTATTTTCTCTGGCTGCGAACAAAGCCCACATCTGCTTATATGTGCTGATTATTATATACAACTAGCAAAGAATTATATTTATAAATTTTTCAAGCATATACTTATCTTGCAAGTTGAGTTACAGCTGTTCAGAAGATAGCATTAGTCCATATAATGGGATTGGGATATCTTGATTGTTTTCCCAAAAATTCGCCAGTCACACAAATAAATGAATAATATAATTTGAATCTGCACAATGTGCATGTGGACACAATCAAATAAACTCATCATAGATACCCGGATTGAAACTGTTTATGCCAGACACGTGTTTCATCTACAAAAGAATTATCAGTGACGCTCGAATCCAAACAAATTAAGATAAAATTGAGAATGGAAATGGAGAATATGTCAAAGAGACAACAACAGACCAATCTTGAATGAGTGAAATTTTATGATTTTTAAAACTGGTGTAGAAGATAACGTATTGAGCAAAGAGGCAACCAAGTGTAAGGTTCACACTACAATCATGAGATGATACTATAAAAATACAATATTAGGTCAATGTCAGAAAAATATAAACTTTTTTGTATTCCGCACAAAACTGGGGAGGGGCTCGGTAAAACCTCGCCCTTCCCCAGTTTCTCAGCCTCATACAAAAAAGTTTATATTTTTCTGATATTGACCTAATATTGTATTTATACTGCAACGAAATTAATACATTGATAGCTATTTAAATTGTAGCGCAAATTTCAAACTTATTTTCATCCTTAAATGAACCCCTGATTGTGAAAAAAGTGATCCATGATGAAATTGACATTACACAAAATATAGCTTTGTTACTTTATTTAGGAAATAAACACAGCTAGTTACAGTATAAAAACATATACATTTATTGTAAATTCATTGTACTAAATTGTTATTCATTGTTTGAATGATGTTTTAGGCTGCACATACATTAGATATCGATGGCCTTTTGGATGTTGCCTGTAAAGTTGTAGCCACCATGATTAAAGGGAAAGCACCTGAAGAGATCAGGAAAGTGTTTAATATAAAGAATGACTTCACTCAACAAGAAGAGGATCAGGTAATAATGAACAGGGAGAGGTCATCACGATTAAATATTATTAAATTAATAACTTTTTATTCATAATATTTATTTGGAGAATTCAAAATGATTTATTTTTAACAGTATAATTAAGGTCATAAACTGTGATACTGAATAATCACTTTTCATCAGTAGAAAGGTGTCATTTAACTTGAATCATAATATATGAAGTTTTTTAAGAAGAGATACATAAAGAATTTGATGGTTCACCTAGAAATCAAGCATTTTTATCTATAGAGAATATACTTAAGTATTGTAGCTGTTAATTTCCCCTGTAAGTTGATGAAAGGCAAGATGGAAGGTAAAAAGTTTTTGTTGTTGTGATGTCATGAAAATAATTGATCCCGTCAGTTGATGTCACAGAGAATATGGGAAAAAATACATAATTTTTGGCTGAAATTTTTTATCTGTAACATATTGTACAAATTAGTGAATTAGATGAAAAATTCATCCTCTACATTTAGAAAAATAAAATATTTATTGACTGTAAATACTGTGATGCCTTCCACATTGAGCAAAATCTCTCACCTAACTACTCAATATGGCCCTTAGCATGGGTTTGAGCCGAACTTTTTACAAGATATAAATTATGCTACATATGTGCATTGAAGAGCACATCTGCTGGGTAATATCAAAAATATATAAAATATACCTGCCTAAGAAATCTTACAAATACTGTCATAAGTTGCCAGATAAGCACACTGTAAAATACATAAACAATAAGACATGTAAGATAACTTGTCCATACATTATACATTTATATGCAGTCAAAATATTTGTTATCTTCTCACAGGTTTTAAGCACAAATATAATTTATTTAAGATGTATTCACTGTATTTTTTTCACTCATTAACAGTAGGCATATTAAACTTAACATGTAGGTTTTCATTGTGCTTGAAAAAAATTGTTGGATGAACTTTTTCATTCAAATATCTAATGGTTCTGAAACTGCATGAAGCTGCCCACCAGATGCACAGAGATGTAAAAAGAGATGAAAGATTTTTGTTTTTTCGACATTAACATAATGAATTGAAGAAAATATAAATTTATAAAAGTAAAAATTGGGGTCGATTCTTACTGTCTAAAAGGAATAAAAAATCTACAAACAAGTTTTAAGTTAAGCCAATGAAGTTTGTCGAGAATCTAATCAAGAATTGAATGTCCCTCTGGTATCTTTCGCCTCTCTTCTAATACAACTATAAAAAACTTCATCAAAATGTATGATTTCAAACAAATATTCTCCATATGAATGGATGAATATGGTTGCTACTTGGTGTTTCTCAATAAACATGTAAATTGACATTTCAAATCTTTTCATCTATAGTTGAAGACTGAGGTATTTACTGTATATCATAAAATCTTACAATCTTACTTTTTTTAAGTATACTATTTCTTTCTAGTAATATTTATATACCATTTCTGCCATAGTTTTTAATATGACCTTTGTATGTGTAAAGATTCCTTTTGACAGAAAACATTTGTATCCATTGAAAATACACTCAATTTGTAGTGGTAAACATGGCAGAGGTGGTTTAAAGTAAATTTATTAAATCTTGGTTGATGGATCTGAGTAGAATATTATAACCATGAAATAAAGAAAAATATAAATGAAAGAAAATATGGATCAGGCTTAATCTTAATGCAAAACAGAGAACCTAAATATTTAGATAGCTGGTCAACATTACATCAGATCTAGCCTAGTCAGTTGTATCTGAAAGGAAAGGTTTAAATCAACCCTGATAAAGTGGAAAACATTTTTATTAGTAGTAGAAATTTCTGTTTGGTTTTGTGTATGTGTGTGTGTATGGAAATGGGGGGACATGATTTTTGTTCATTATATTTTTAATACAAGTTAATTTTTGGGGTATGATTTTCTTCATTCTACTTTTATAGACATTAAGAATATTTACTACCACGGATGCTTCTTTTCATTTTGCCAAAACAAATCCATATAGAATATATGGGTCAATGGTTAATGTCTAAAATTTGAAGTAAAACATTTACATTATAAATAGAGGCACCTTTGTGATGAAGCATTGTTAGAAATTGAATATCATATTTGCTAGAGTTTTAAAAAATTAAATTCCATAAATGTTTCAATATTTCCATCAAATGTTTCAATATTTCCATCAAATGTTTCAATAACTTCATCAAATGTTTCGATAATTCCATCAAATGTTTCAATAACTCCATCAAATGTTTAAAAAATTCCATCAAATGTTTCAATAATTCCAAAGACTCCTGATATAAATCCATTGAAATTCAATGTTATTGTTTTCAATTTAGCTTCAGTATGAAGATTAAAAGTGAGTACACAAAAAAGCAGAGAAATTCCACGCAGGCTTAATCAAATTGTCCCTTGCCTCTTAGTAAACCAGTATTGTAGTGATATAAATGTGCAACAGTTTTAGAAAATACATAATCAACAAACTGAATTTGTGAATGTAATGGAATCGGTGATCTCTTGGTAGTGTGTTCGCCTCAAGAGTGGGAAGTTGTGGGTTGGAACCCCAGCCTGGTCAAACCAAAGACTAAAATTGATATTTGCTGTTTCTATGCTCTAGCATGTGGCATTAAGAAGTAAGAGCATATACTGGTCGGCTCAGAGTCAGAATAATGTGTCTGGGTAGTGTGACATGTCTTCCTGCGACTGTTACCTTGTGAACTAGCATGTTAAAAATATGGTTCAGCTTGACGGTCAAGCACAAAGCATGTCCTATGCATTTAATTTGCCATTAGATGTTAAACAGCAATCCATCCATCCCATTGTATGGGGAAGCATCAGTTATGGCCATTGAAATTGATGGTGATTTAAGTTGAAAGTTTTCACAACAGCTTTAGATTAAATGGAACAGGCAATGTGTTTTAATCACACAGAGAAAAGAAAGAATAGTCAAAAATTTGTTTTGCAATGTTTTGCTACCAGCTAATATTGCACTGAGAGCTTCCAGCAAGCGTATGTGTCTGAAGTTTGCATTTTATATTAGTCGTAAAATCTGAACTTTAAATATCACCTCTGCCTATGTATATTTCACACAACTTGCAGATCTCTGTAACAAACTTGCACATGTATTTCTATAAATAGACTGGTTCTCTCTCATTTACAACATACGGGTATCTGAGTCAACCTTGTTGTCTTATATCTGTCAGAGCCAAACATATAAAGGACAGGGAATCAGTCTATTTTATAAATTGTTAACCATTAGATTAATAAATATTCTGTTGCTTTTTAACTCATTTATTATCAGTAAACAGTATATATATATTGATACATATTAATCATACTAGTATTACATTTCATTAGTTTTTAACATCAGGTTTAAGACACAATAAGCCATGGTGATCAATCATTCATTAGAGAAGGGAGTTTCAATTCCATCCCTAATTTTTAAATCATCATTAAATTTGTCTTTGTCTTTTGGTAAGGGTAGGTTTAGAACACAAATGGAATCGTAACTAAAGTATTAACTCAAATATTTATTACATGACTCGGGGGCGGATCCAGGATTTTAGGTTAGGGGAGCGCAAACTTAAATTTCTGCGGTAAAATTATCGAAATATTCCTTATTAAACTGAGGACAACCCATGCTTTGCAAATTTCAGGGGGGGGGAGTGGGGGGGCACACTACCGCCACGCCCCCGTCTGAATCCGTCCCTGTAACTAGTAAGAAATGTTTTGGATTATGAAAGAATGAATAGTATGGCATTAAACACAAACAACCAATCTTTAAGGATGTAGTCAGGTGAAATTTTAAAAATCTGGAATTCAGAATTGATACTATGAATTAGAAGAGCATTAGTTAAGGAACAATATAAGCTAAAAATATTGATAGGTTATGGAGCTCCTTTTTCGAGATATTTGATTTTTAAAAAATGGCGGGAAAAGGCTGTCTTGGACTTTTACCTTATATTTAGTATTGGCATGATTTGGGTCTCAAATCGTAAGAAAAGAAATCTAGAAACTGCTTAAAATTTGGTAATTACCTTTTATGACCTATTGAAGTCTTCTGTGAAAAAAACAGTTGGAGATATGGGGCAAAATATTTTACCCTGTATTGTAGGAAAAAACCAAAGGAGTCTGAAATTCTGACAAAAAAATCAAAACCTAAAATGACTACATCCTTAAGTTTGATGGAAATTCTTAAGAGATTAATTTAAAGAACTAAAACATTGATACAAAATAAAAATATAACCTAGTATCCATTTTAGCAATTCTTTTGGATATTCATCAATAATTTCTACTAATGTCTTTGTAATATAAAAAGGTGGAACAGACATCAAGGGGGCAACAGAAATGCATTAGTTGAAGAAAAATAGACAATACTATGGCCAAAAGAAAAAGGACAAAAGGACAAACAAAAGTCATAAAAATACAATGAAATCTAAAGATTGAGCAAAATGAACCCCTCCATAAACTGGGGGTGATCTAAGGTGCTTTAAATGGACCAACAGTTCCTGCTCTGCTTGTGATACCTGTTGTGTTTGATGTATTGTAGTGGCATTGATACAATATTTTATTACAAAAGTTGAAATTTGAATTCAAAAGCAGTCAATTGTACAACATCTAAGCTTTATTATCCTCTGTCAAACTTGGCCTTGAAAAGGATTTTGCCGTTCTGTTTAGACACTTTGTCTGTTATGCTCCTATTAAGGTGGTACATAACACTACAGGGAGATAACTCTGTAAAAATAAGCTGAACGTTTTAATCACATTCTATTGTTAAGGAAATATTAAGCTTCTCAATAATCAAAATTAGTGTTTGTCAAAATGCTATATATCCAATGAAATTTTCCCGATAAAGTGTGTGGTTAAAGTTTTTTAAAATTTTCATATTTTTGTCAAAGGGTCAAAGTAAATTTTTTGTCAAAATTTTATGAAAATTATACGAGCCAAATTAATTTTAGACAAGGTGTTTGGTACCACCTTAAACTTTTTTATATTTCTTTTTTTTAAATTTTGGACTTGAGCATACTTGATGAAGGTTATTCCAGATATATGTGTTATAAAGACTGATATAGGTAATATACATTAATATTATAGATGTAATCAATTATGAATGTTGTTTATGATTAATTTTATAATTTCTTACATTTCTTCTCTGTTTTACAGGTGAGGAAAGAAAACGATTGGTGCGAAGATTGAGTTTTGATGGTTTTCAAGGACAATGACAATATTTGTTATTTTTGTGTTTTTATCATTGAACTTTCTTGTTATACCATATTTGCCTTACCCAAAAGTTTTGAAAAATTTATAACAAAAATAATAAGGTGCTTGTTTACCTTTGTTGATAATGTATGCCAGCTTTAATACATTTTATGTATAAAATATTTGCTACTGGACATTAAGCAAGCAGCAATGAAATAACTAATTAATCTACAGAATGTTAAATGGCCATTGAACAAAATTTAACACAATAAATTCTACTCAAACTGAATAAAAGTTCAAAACTTTGGGTAATGAGTATTGGATACCGTAGACTAGCCTCATATATATTTTCTATTCAATTTAAAAAGCGTCCTCTCTTCTAGTTGTTAAAAAATTTGAGATGGAATGAAATGATTCTCTATAGAAATTTGAAAATCAGATATTTTTATATAACCTCTTTACATTCTTAAAGTTTATTAATTATTGGTAAAAAATTTATGATCAATAACAGTTTAAATGTCAAAATATGTTTATTTTTTTTTATAGTTAATAATGTAGCTATACTTTAAACATTCCAAATGATGGTTATTCCAAAACACAGTTAAATTATGCAAATATGGTAGTATATCTGCATTTATATGTACTGACATTGTATTTATATTTTTAGTTGTGATATTTTTGATTTTACATATATATGTTATATTTATAAACTAACAATTCCGTCCAATGTTATGTTTTAACTTTACAATCATTTAGATATAGCTTGCAGTATAACTGTCAAGTTTATTTTTATGTCTGCATTAGACAAAAACTATTCAAAACACTACTTTTTTTAAAATGTTTGACCATATTATACATGCACACATGTTACAGTGCTCGCAGTTTAATCAACTTTCAAGCAACAAAACAGGCTCTCCTTCTTTTAACCATCAATGATAAGGGATGAATAAATAAATTACATACTCAGGGTAAGGATGAAGGGAAATTTTATTCGCTCGTCCTTGAAAATTATTTTTCGTGTTTTGAATTATAAAGCTTGTGTAAATAATGGCTTCTTTTTTTAATATAATTCTTTTTGAACGCAGTCTAGTTATCTTAACTTTAATTCATAATTATTATTAACTTTATTTTTTGAATAATCAACAAAGAATAAAATATAGGAAAGGAAAGTTATCTCCCCTTTTCAGTGTAAGAAAGGGGAAATGATTCAAAGTTTCTTCCCTGTTTGATACAAAATAATAAATGGAAACAATTTAAGAATTTGTTCAAATGAAAGTTTTTGCCTTAATATTATGCACAATTTTATTCTTGTTCAACTTTAAAAAAATGCTTAGTACAACTTATTTCCGTGCAATTATGTTTAAGTTTGACCTTTTTCAGTGCCTTTTAATTTTAATCCACTAGAATTAACTGAGTTTCACTGGTACTTGATATGTGTTTATCAATAAAACCTTTACTTTTTTATTTGGTGCATAATCTTTTGTTTAAAGTGCACAAATGTATTATTAATTTGTATCATAGACTATTTAAAAATGATATTTTATTGACAAATAGAAATTAAAATTTATAGAAAATGTTTTAATTGGTTGTTTTATTACTTACCAGCTTACATCAGTTCTCAGATAGTCTAATAACTTCAGACAGCATCCCATCAAAAGTAGGTAGCTCTAACCTACATTTAACTTTTCATTATGTCATTGGTACAAGATACATTGGGTATAAATCTAGTAGGCAAATTTGATTAACAAAGTTGCATAAAGTGTTTAACTCTGTCAAATAAAATGCTTCGCCGAGCGCAGCCAGATAGGACCGCAGAGGTCGAACTCTGAACAGTTGGGGCAAGTTTGGACACAATATTCAAGCTTGATACTGTCTGAATTTGGATTGTGATCAAATTTTTGGCATAATATAGGTTTCTGACACAAAATAAATGTGGTCAAAGATCTTAAAAATTTGAAATGGGACATTTAATTTACCTAGCATGGTCTGATATCCAAAATCTAACAACAAGGTTAGATTCAGCATATAAAAAAACACCAAAAATTTAATTTTAGGACCCTGTGGACCTCAATGTAGATCAATTTAAAAATGGGGCCCAATATCTAAAATAGTAATACAAGGTTAGAACCCAATCCCATTGAAATTGGTTAAAAGATTTTTAGAATAATCGAAGAATTCAAATATGAAAAATATTCAACGATTGACCGCACAACACATTAATTCACGAATGCGCGTAGCGCATGAGTTAATTATCAGTGTTGTTCGGTAACGAGTTGAATATTTTTCGATATTTGAATTCTTTAACTAGTTATTCAATTACATTGACAATGGGCTTTTAAGTGGAAATAAAGAAGAAAATGAAACGAACTACCCCGGTATATCTTTTTCTATGCATTCACAATTTGTTTTGACGCAACGTTGTCGACAACGTCTTGACAACGCCTATTGTTGTAGGACGTCAGAGGAGTGAAATTATCAAGTTTATTTCACATGTAAAATTATCAGTTTTTATTTCACTGGGAAATCAAGGTAATTCACTGCAATCAATGTAATAATTGTATTTATTTTCAATTGAAGATTTCTTGCTATTGTGCAATACTGTTATATATAATGATTTGCACACCCTGTTTGGTGTGTATCTCCTGCAATATCAGTATTTGTTGCTTTTATATATAAATCAGAAATAATCAATGTAAAAATGGAAAAAATTTTGGGGAAAAAAAAAAATTATGAAAAAAAAATTCCCCCAAAAAATTTGTGAAATTTTGAAAATTATTTTCTTATCAGGAAAAATGTACAATTTCAGAGAGATCCATAAACTTAAACACTAGTTATTGTCTAGAAACAAGAAAAATGCTTGTTTTTGGCCCCTTTTTTGGCCCTAATTTCTTAACTTTTTAAGAATAATTACCCCCAAACTCAATCACAGCCTTCCCTTTGTGATATGGAACCTTGTGGTACAATTTGAGGGAGATCCATACACTTACACAAAAGTTATTGTCCGGAAACTACAAAAATGCTTATTTTTGGCCCTTATTCCTAAACTGTTGGTACCATAACCCCCAAAATCAATGAAAATCAATCCCAACCTTCCTTTTGTAGTATTGAACCTTCTGCTTAAATTTCATAGAGATTCACTCACTTAAACTAAAGGTATTGTCCGGTATTTAAAATTGAAAATTGCTTATTAATTGAAAGTCGCTGGACCATAACCTAGGCAGCAGGGCCTCCAAATAGTCATCAAACTGATTTAAGCTGATATTAATGCAACTTTATAGAAAATATTATTGATCTATCACAAGTAGTTCATATCAAACTAACTTAAGCAGAAAACTTAAACATTGAAAATTGCACTACACCATGACCTACGGGCAGGGCCTCAAAATAGTCGTCAAACCAGAGACATATGTCTCTGGTCAAACCAATATGTACATTATGTACTGAGGTAACATTACATTTGATCCAACATGTAAATGTGGATTGGATATTGAGGACATGCGCCATTTTTTCTTTGATTGTCCATTCTATATAAATGAAAGGGCTATTCTGTATTATAGTCTCAGCTGGCTTCCCAAAGGCTGCAATTTGGACTTTAAACTATTGGGTTTTGGAAAAGAAACTCTTTCCTACGATCTAAATGTGCAAATTGTTGAACAAGTCGTAAATTTCATAAAGAGATCAAAAAGATTCCTCGCAGTATACATCAACATAGGTAAAACGCACATTATCATCATCCTAATCTCTGTTGTTCCTTCTTCATCCATTTCCTTTCTTCAGTATAGTTTAGTTATATTTATGTTGTTTATATTATTTAATGCATGCTCATATTCAATTTGTATTGTTACAATAATTATATTGTATTGTGGGAGAAGACTTTATAAGTATGTTTTACTTGTGTCTGATCCTTTTTGCTTTGAGCAAATAAAATATGTTTAAACTAAGTTATGTACTGATAGTAATGCAATGTCATTCAAAATATCATTGATCTATCACAAGTACTTCTTATCAATCTTAACTTAGCAGAAAACTAAACAATTGTTGACACCAAAGACATCGACAATGTCGTCACTGGAAAACCAATACCTATGTCTCGCCTTCCGCAACTTTCATCACAATCCGACAAATCAGGCTACTCCATGATCAAAATTAGTGTTTTTGAAACTGCTACATATCCAATGAAATTATTCCTACAAATTGTGTGGTTCAAATTACTTGAAATTTTTATTTTTTTGTCAACAGGTCAACTTAGTTAATATTTTGTCAAAATTTAACGAAAATTAAACCAGCCAATTTTTTTTTTAAATTTAAAGTGTCTGGTAACCCTTAAATGATAATCTAAAAGTGTGTTTTGTCTTTTCACACTCTTATCAGCTGGCTTGAATCCAACACCTCCTGTTAAAAGCCATTTAGACATTCATTGATTGTTGGTTGCTTAAATTTCAGCAGTTGCTGTCTGTGAATAGTCAGGATAATAAAATGTGAATAATAAATCTGTTGGTATTTTAAAGAAGTTATGTGCCCAGTGAAAGATATTTGAAAATTCAAATATAACCACAAAACAAACAATCTCTCTTCCGACCACGAAAAATTGTTGCTGTCAAGTTTTTAAACATGAACTCTATGTAGCTGTGTTTTATCTATATTAGAATTTGCCAAATGATGTATATACCCTTTCAACTCAGCCAGCAAAAGTCTGTCTCCTATGCTTCAGTAAGTGTCAAAATGAAATGAGGAACGGGAGCAGTCGATGTCACCAATTTTTTAAACATTACACTCATTAAAAGGATGACTCAATAAAAGCAATGGTGTCATGTTTCTTTCCTCCAGCTATTCTAAACTTTTCAAATAATACTAGAATTTCTATTTATTTTTAAATTTTGGTCCTTTTCAGTGAAAGAAATACAGGGAAATAAATCTTTTCTATTGACCAATGCTTTTATCTGCCTAAACACCTGCAGACATACAAGACCTGAGGTCATGCATTCTAACTCTTGTTTCTGTGATCACATCATGTGGGGGACATGTTGGCCAAGTGGTATAAGTAATTCATCAACAGTGATCACTAGCTGGTCAACACTGTGGTTTTAAGTTCAAACACTGCTGGTAGGATTGCCAGTTTTCCTGCTTGAGATGGTTGGTGGTTTTCTCTGGGTAGTCTGACTTTCTCCAACAACAAATAAGAGTGCACATGCTGAAATGTCTCGCCTTCTTTACTAACCATTGATTTTATGTTGATAGTCCTAAATATAAAGCTTTACTACAAGTAACACATAAACTTATCATGATCTAAGAAAATGAGGTCAAGGTCAGATAAACCAAATGAGAAATAAATGTACACCTTACAATCATTCAATAAACCAAACATAGTTGACCTATTGCTTATAGTTTCTAAGAAACAGTCTTAACCAAGAAAACTTAACATGGACCAATGAACCATGAAAATGAGGACAAGGTCAGATGAACCATGCCAGACAGACATGTACACCTTACAATCAATTTATGCATTAAATATAGTTGACCTATTGCTTATAGTATCTAAGAAACAAACTTTACCATGAAAACTTAACATTGACCAATGAACCATGAAAATGAGGTCAAGGTCAGATGATACCTGCCAGACAGACATATACACCTTACAATCCTTCCATACAACAAATATAGTTGATCTATTGTTTATAATTGAAGAAAAACATACCAAAACACAAAAACTTAACACTGAGAAATGAACCGCGAAAATGAGGTCAAGGACAAATAAAACCTGCGAGACTGACATGTACTTCATAAAATATTTCCATACACCAAATATAGTTAACCTATTGCATATAGTTGAAGAAAATAAATGGGGAATGTGTCCATGGGACACAGATGATGCCCCCACTAGCATATCATAAAGAAGTTATAAAGTGACATAGCTGAAGAAAAGTAAAACTGATGCTACCCAAATTTGTATTTGATCTGAGTTTTGTGGTAATAAGTATTGTGTATAAGTCTCATAACATTTGGTTGTGGCTAACTTAAGTTAGAGAACAGAAACGAAAAATTCAGCAAATTTTCCATTTGTAAATAGGCATAACTCAAGAACGGTAAAAGTGATACCACCAAAATTCAAACTTGATCTGTATTTTATGGTAATAATCATTGTGTATAAGTTTCATAACATTTGGTAGAGGCAAACTAAAGTTAAAGAATGGAAACCAAAAATTCAGCAATTTTTATGTTTAGAAAGGGGCATAACTCAATAATGGTAAAAGTGACACCACCCAATTTCAAACTTGATCTGTATATTATGGTAATGAGTATTGTGCAAAAGTTTCAAAGATTTGGTTGAGGCAAACTAAAGTTAAAGAACGGAAACCAACTTTGGGACGTACGGACGGAAGGACGGAAGGACGGATGGACGGACAGACGTACAGACGGACAAGGGTAAAACTTAATGCCCCCTCCACTACGGCGGGGGCATAAAAAGACCAAAACTCAAAAACTTAACTTTGACCACTGAACCATGAAAATGAGGTCAAGGTCAGAATGCACCTACCAGTTGGACATGTACACCTTACAATTATTCCATATACCAAATATAGTAGACCTACTGCTTATAGTATCTGATATATGGACTTGACAACGAAAACTTAACCTTGTTCACTGATCCATGAAATGAGGTCGAGGTCAAATGAAAATTCTCTGACGGGCATGAGGACCTTGCAAGGTACGCACATACTAAATATAGTTATCCTATTACTCATAATAAGAAAGAAATTAACATTACAACAAATGTTGACTTTTTTTTCAAGTAGTCACTGAACCATGAAAATGAGGTCAAGGACAAGGGACATATGACAGACGGAAACTTTGTAACATAAGGCATCTATATACAAAGTATGAAGCATCCAGGTCTTCTAGCTTCTAAAATATAAAGCTTTTAAGAAGTTAGCTAACGCAGCCTCCGGATCACTATCCCTATGTCGAGCTTTCTGGGACAAAAATTGCAGGCTAAACAAAAACTAACATCCAGGATATAGCCAAGCGTGCTGAAAATTGTGTTTAACACCAAAAATCAACCAATCGCTTAAAGTCCTCTTTAAGGAATGAATGCACGAAAGGTATGCAGCTTAAAACTCGGATTTTTTCAGTTGGCACTTCAAGGCCGTTCCATTAAAATGGATGTGGGAGGGTATTAAGGGACTTTCCAATGCCCCCCCCCCCCAAACCAACATACTTTCTTAGTCATTTTTCATACACCAAAACAAGCATACAACTATAAATGACCCACAACTCATGTCAAACTGGATGTGTCGAAACGACACAAATGGCCTGCTTTGCAAAATAAACTGTTAACACAGAGATATGTCTCGCCTATTTGTTATTTTGATAATGCAAATGTTGAAATTAAAATAACAATAATTTAACATGTAAGTTATGCAAATATTCAAAGTCAATGAACCATAACTAAAGGTACAGGGCTAAACAATCTCCATGGAAATGAGATGTGCTGATACTAATACAATTGCATACCAAATACCATTGACTTTTCATAAGTCGTTCCCTTTAAAGAAACCTAAACACAAACATTAACTTGTAAACTAATCAAAAGTTTCAAAGTCAATAGACCATGACTGAAGGGGCGGGGCCAAATAATCTCCATGGAAATGAGATATGCCAATGCTTATACAATTGCATACCAAATATCATTGACCTACCACTATTGGTTTCCCATAAGCTGACCTAATCACAAACTAATACATGAAAACTAAGCAAAGTTTCAAAGTCAATAAACCATGACTGAGGGGGCGGGGCCAAATAATCTCCATGGTAATGAGATGTGCCAATGCTAATTCAACTGCATACCAAATATCATTGACCTACCACTAGTGGTTCACCATAAACTAGACCTAATCACAAACTATTAAATACATTGTTGACGCCGCTGCCATTGCCGCCACCGGAAACAGCATACCTGTCTCACTTTTTGACTCTGTCAAGGCGAGACAAAAACTGGAAACCATTTTTAGGAGTGAAAATTTGATAATGAAAGTCTGCATAACTGTTATTTTCAAGAAATTTGTAATTTCGGCAAAAAACAGCAGAGCAGAACCAAACATAAACTTGATCTGTAACTCATCATAGTAGATTAACATACTAAAAGATCAGCTCAATATGTGAAGGCGTTTAGAAAAAAAGTCTGTATAACTGCTATTTTTATGAAATTTTCAAAGCCCAAAGCCCGTAATTTCAGCAAAAATTAGTGGACTGAAACCAACTGTAAAGTAGATCTGTATCTCATCATAGTAGACTCACATACTAAAAATCAGCTCAAAATGTGAAGGTGTTAAGAATAAAAGAAATAACTGTTCGTTGCGGAATGACAGAATGACGGATAAGGGTAAAACTATATGGCCCTGACAACTTTATTGCAGGGCCATAAAAATAAACTTGCTTTCCTACCCTACCACATACATTTCAATGGAATGGCTCTAATTCTTATTGCAATGGTCGGCCAATTAAAACACAAATACATGATAAGTTTTCTAATTATAGGTTTTTATTGATGTACACCAGCAAAACAGCACAAAAGACAACAACGATAAACTGTACACATTGCACATTCTGCCAATTGTTACTATATATGGCACGGTTGATAATGATAAAAATACTTAAAATGCACAATTAATATTAGTTACTTTCTCAGATTAAAATTACAAATTAATTATAAATGAATAAATATACATATGATTTTTTTTGTTTTTGCATGCTACAAAAACATTATATTCAGCTTTAATGATAATAATGGTTTTTATACAATTATGTGGATAATGAGAAACACTACATCATAGGTCCCACTATAAAACAAGTTCTTTCAATTATTTTTCATATAAAGAGAAAAAACATAACAAAATCACAGTTCTGCATAAAAAAACATTTCAAGGTTTATAGCTTCAGCAATTAACAATACTTTTCAGCTAAGAGTCAGATAAGGTTTACGAGATATGATATATTTTTACAATACAGAAAATATTATTCAGTTTGTTTTCAAGCAAAAAATAAACAAACAAACATGCAGTCACAAGCAATCTTAATTTTCACACTACTGAAAACGGATTCTCATATTAACTGATATGAACAGAAATTTGTAATTCTACTTATATTCCACCCCCCTTTAAAACAAGAGACAGTACAGAAACACGATTTAACCATTTTGTACTGGCTCTACTGGGACTAAAGACTAAACCTGAGTGTTTTGTCTGGATAAGAAATAAATCAGTTTTGTTCAGATGGAGATCTATCTTTAAAAAATTTCTTTTACTCCATATCCATAATATTTTATTTTGTATTTCAACAAAATAAATCATAAATTTTAGTCAACGAACAAATATTGTGAGTGCATGAATTTAAAATATAAAGACTAAAGATTCAAAATAAGCTGATTACATGGATCGATAAAAATTGCTCATCTCAAAAATAAGTTAGTTCAAGGGAGAAAACATTGCCCAAAAAAATGCATTCAGAAAGAGATTTCTGATCAAAAGGATACAGTTGCTAAAAACCTCCACCTTTGGTCTCTGGTGGATACTGATGTGGCCTTATCATGCATATTTCACTGGATAATCTTACAAAAGTCATCCTGATAAATTTCTGGTTTAACTCGATCTATCAAAAATCATAAAAATAAATGCTAACATGAATTTCAATAGGTTCTGTGGTTTCTTGATTGTTGATACAATAAAGAGGACCCCCCTCCCCAAAAAACTAAATTGTTTATTGTCAATAAAGTTTCATGAATTATAATGATTTTACATAATAAAATAAAATTCTACAATTTTATATAAAAAATTTTAAAGAAATAAAATTATTAAAATACATTAACCTTGTTATTTCATTAGCAACAGTAAAAGTATTTGGTTCTTTAGATTAAGGATGTTCGCTCCTCTTGTTTTTGAATTTTTGCCAGATATTTGGAATCCTCTGGTTTTATCCATGTAGTGCCATTAAAAATTTTGCCCACTATCCACTACTTTTCTTTTAATATTTTTATTACATATAGTTTTAAAAGCCATATTTGAAAGAAAAAAGGTGCCAATGTTAAATGTATGAAAAATCTGGATAGAATCATTTCCCGCCAAATTTTCAATGGCTTATATCTCGAAAGTGAGCTCACGCAAACTTCATCTTTTTCATGCTTTTTTAGTTCCTTTATTTATATACTATCAATTTATAACAGTGTTTTAAAAAGTTTGTTATTTTGAAACAGAGTAGCGAACATCCTTTAAGAGTGCCTTTATACAAGTCCATCAACTTTCAATAGAATCAAAACAATGACAAAGGCCTTAAACTGGTTTTAATGGAACAGCCCTCAGATAAAAGGTCTTAAACTGGTTTTAATGGAACAGCCCTCAGACAAAAGGTCTTAAACTGGTTTAATGGAACAGCCCTCAGATAAAAGGTCTTAAACTGGTTTAATGGAACAGCCCTCAGATAAAAGGTCTTAAACTGGTTTTAATGGAACAGTCCTCAGATAAAAGGTCTTAAACTGGTTTTAATGGAACAGCCCTCAGATAAAAGGTCTTAAACTGGTTTTAATGGAACAGCCCTCCAATTAAGGACCCTAAACTGGTAAAAATGAAACCGCCCTCAGATAAAGGACCCAAACCTGGTTTAAATATTATATTTGTATTTGTATCAGTAGTATATATATTATATCTAAACAAAACAAAAGCAATAATATATTATAAATGTTATATTTTAAGATCACAAATGAAGGAAGGAATTGCTGTTTTACCCATCATGCAGTATAAATGCATCAGAAACACACTGTAATAGTAACCTGCTAACTTGGAGTCTAGCACATTACACACGGTCAAATCACAATTTTGACCATAAAAACTTATCAGACCAACTACTGGTTTTTCAATATATATATTTACAAAGAAGTTTGCCATCAAATTGTCAGTTATGACCCCTCCCCCCTTTTTTTTAAATAATCAACGGAATACTGATATTAAAGGAAATATTTGTGTCTGAAGAGTGCTACTTCCAACAGTAATGGTGGGATGCATGGTTAAGAAAAATGAAGTTAATACACCAATTGTAAAAGTATGATGATTATTAAACTAATTACTGTAAATTCAGAAATTATTGCTAGGTTTTTATTAATGCGAATAATGCAACTGTGTGAGAATCACAATAATAAGAACTCACATTCTGGTATCTGATACATATATATGTACATACATTTTTCTGAAATCGCAATAATTAGTCTCGCATTATTGTCCATTCTTCGAAAATCGCAATAATAAATGCACGCAATAATGTCTGAATAAACAGTACTTGAATCATTATATTGGTTCTCTAATAACAAATGTATAGCACTTTTTTTTTTTTACAAAAAGCTACATATATATAAATATATATATATATATACCAAGATGACAGGGTATAATTCAATAATAACCTGATCATTTCTTATATGAATACTTATGCACGAGCATGCTGGTTAAGAACATGAATATTTGTTAGTTAATAATAAATAATCAATTCTTTGGCAAATTAAAATAATATGTATGTGATAATAAAAAATACAAAGATCCATAAAGAAATGAGATAATTATATATACTGAGATACATTGGCAGTTATTATTTTTAAAAAAGCACAGAATTACCAATTATGACATGAAAATTTGTAACATAAGTTACTAAAATAAGGTCTATAATCTATGCTGTCCATACTATACATATAAAATTGATAAATATTATCTCTTTTGATGTTTATCATATCTAAGTTCAAGATTGTTCAGTATTCAGAAATGATATGGATTTTTAAACCTTTAGAACTTCAACCATCAAACCTAGCCTCCCTAAATGTTTTGTGTGCATGTTCGAGTAAACTTCTTTAAATAAGAAAAAAAAAAAAAAAAATCTTCAAGTTTGGTGCATTTCATGATTTACAAAAATCATTACTAAAAAGAAATCCTTTCTGACAGTTTTTCATTCTCTGACAACAAAAAACAAATTATGAAATATAAAAGTCCCAAAAGATTATAAAACTGTTTAAGAACTAGTTTCTTTTTTTTATGGGCTTTAATTCAAATCATCTCCCTTTCAGCATGTTAAAAAGAAAATTCTATTATTTAAAGGTAAAAATGTCATAAAATGTCACAGAAACTATGTCTAGAAAGTTTTATATACTGTTCTTCCAGTTGTTTATATTATTTATGTTATATAGTAATTGAAAGTTGTTTTTTTTTTTTTTTTTTTTTGCAAAAATGTAAAAGGGAGATAACTATTGTTGCTTAACTCTCATGAACTAAATATATTCCATTCATAGATTTACAGAACCTATTCATTCATGAATTTCCTAGATAAATGTAACCTACTGAAAAATTTCTTTTAAAAATAAACGTCAGAATATCTAAAATCGTAAGAAAATGAAATAGTCTACGTTTTTGGTATTAATAAAACTTTACAAATTGTTTGAAAAGTATCTTACAGTTGTTGAACATCAATATTTAAACCTATATAACTAATTAAAAAAACACTAAATAAACTTCAACTAAATATGGCTATCTTAATTGCACAGTGAAACCTGCCTAAACCGATCACCTGTTTAAAAGGAAATGTTGTACCAAGATGTATAATAAATTCTCTTCAGTAAGGAGAGAGATCATTTAGGGGCTTATTTGGCCCAATAAATTCACCAAAATTTGTTAAATTCCATTACTAATCACATTCTTTTTAAAATTTAGAATAAATATTTTAAGAAATTATACATTATTGCCTATGCATTAATGATACATTTTGATTGAGGCATCATTAAAGTAATGTCATACTGGATTTTTTTTCAGATTTTTATAAAATATAGGCTAATTTCAGACACATTTTTGATAAGTTAACATAGAGCACATGCGTCGTTGCCAAAAATATATTTTGCCAGTGAATAGTTGAACACAAATAAAATGCCCTTTGTGAATATCTTTTTTGGCAACATTTTCTACATCATGGCTATGGTATTACTAGCAAATCATTTTAGGGCTAATTTAGCACATAATCATAAATTGTCCTTTAACTTGCATAAACAAAACATGTGTCTTATCTTAAGTCCCAAAGTAGTTTGGTTTAGAAAGGTTTCACTATATTAAGATCTGTTTCCAAGCACATGATATAATGCCAATGAAATCAACTTGGAACAACTGGCTAATGAGCACACACTTTTTTTTTCATCAGCTAATTAACATTGCTGTTTAACAAAGCTATTATTTTTTTCCTGTAAGCAGTTCAACAATGATAATATTTTTTCCTGTGAGCTGTTAAACAATACTATATTTTTTCCTGTAAGCAGTTCAACAATGATAATATTTTTTTCCTGTGAGCTTTTAAACAATGCTATATTTTTTTCCTGTAAGCTGTTTAACAATATATATATATAGTAAACTAATTAAATACATAAATCTCAATTAAAAAAGCAACTTGACATTTTTTTTTACAAAGAATCTTCATTAAATATACAACTCTCATACAAAAAAATCAACAAAAAGATTAACAATGTCATTCACAAATAAACAATATTATAGCATAGAAAGCACTTGGATTTGATAATAGAACTAAACAGTCAGATCAACTTTACAAATAGCACATTTACAATATTTTTATCTTATTACAGACTCTCTCAAAAATGTCACAATTGGTTTTGGAATTTCCCCCTTCCCCCCTTCTCCCTCTGGCTAATAAACAAACACACATCTTTTGATAATTTTCATACCTAAATTCTATATTTATATTTGTATGAACTTGCAGATAAAACAGTTATGACAGTGGCAAACCTTGTCTACACAATGCATTGTTATTTTTTTATAATCATATGAAATTATGTCGGTACTACTAAACATTATTTCACAATCTTGTAAATATTTTTTTTTCTGAAAGTAAGCTTATGTACAATTGATTGGTTGAAAAAAAATATTGAATTCTTAACCAATGGCTTCAATGTAAAATAATGAGACGAGTTTAGAGATCAATTTGGTATCTTGAGCCTCAACAAAACATTAAAAAAGTTCCAAAATTTGTATTAATTAGCTATCAACTTTTTATATAATATGAAAATGAATTGATTTAATTTTTTCACCATGAGCTATTTTCTGACATTTCTGGACCATGCTGGCACAGAACTGGTGTGTCAATATTGTTCAAAGGATATTTGACAAATGATCATCTCATATTGATCTCTGTTATCACAGAACAAATCAAGTTTACTCCACTGAAAATCAGCTGTGAAAAAAAACCACTGGATACTTTTGTGATATTTTATAACTTTTTTATCTTCACTAACTTAAAAATTTACTGGCAGTTCTTTTCTAGGTTTTTCAAACCTACATCACAACTAGAATTAATCATATCCTGAAATATCAGGAGGCAGATCTTTTGGTTTTGTTAAAATTGGCTATGATTGAATACATATCAAAATTGTCTCAATTTTCATAACTTAAAACACACAATTTTAAGATTCCTATGTTCCAAAATTTGTGAGACATATATCTTAAGTAACCAGATTTTACGTTTAATTATAACACAGATATTGTGGAGTGGTTATTATTCATGGGTAATCACTTCCATGCATTTCATGGGTTATGTTGAATTTTAGCTTTTTACAAAAACAAACTTTCTTTTTGTTTGCGGAAGTTTATTACAGGCTCAAAATCAATTATCCACGAAAATTGGTACACGGGAAAATAATTAAATCCACAGTATATCATTTAGTGTAAATTAAATCTTTCAAAAAATTAACCACCAAAGTAAACCTGCACTGTGAGTTGTTTCCCCTGATCAACTTCCATTCCGTCGACTTCCATTCATAATCTTGGTTAATCGAAACACATATGTATATAATCATAATTATTATGCAGTAATAACCTTCCAATCAACAAACAACACGACAACAAACAAGACTAGCTGCCCAATGGCGGTTTTTCTTGACAACATGATTGTAAAATTAGGTCAAACTCGTAGCTATGACAACCAAGGTCAGATAATATACCAATAATTAACTTGGTTGATGTGTCAAGGTTCAACCTTATTTAATTAATAGTTATAGTTCAGGTTTGGCAAAAAAACGATGGCAACGTTTTCATTCTGAACACATTCTCCCCTCTTGATCGCCACGTAATTTTATAAATTACCTTTTACAATCATCAATTTTGCTACAAAGCACTTGCAAAAGCTGAAAATCTACTCTGGCAATACAATCCAGTTGTCATTGTTTTTGTTTATATGTTAATTTAAACTGGTTTCCACTCCACTGGTTCCTTATGAGAATTATTACAAATGCTGGTTTTTATGTAATGACCGTTTCTTAAATTTTACTCGCACTCTGCTTCTCCGTGGAAGAAAAAGCCACACTGATCAATTAATGTCTGGATGACTTCTCCTGGAATTTTAGTACTTTGTGCCATTTTGTCATATGATGAAAAATCCATACGTAAAATGGTAGGCCACAAACACAAGGCTAAATTTCGACTGTCCATGCTATGTTTCTCTTTATGTTGACTCAGTCTGAAATTAAATATAAAAATATTGCATGATGGCTATTAAATATCCAACAGCAAATAGTACATATATATATTCATGATATTTTTGTATTGCATGTCTGTAAAGACTTCATATCTAACACCAGCTCCTATTTTGTTTTCCATTTGTTTTTTTCACTTTTGTAAATCATAAACTTTTTTTAAGATAAGGTATAGATCCTACAACTGCATCCATTAAGGTAAGATATTTCTCAACATAACAAGACAGTTAAATTTTCAAATTTTCAAAACATGAGGCTTGCTGGGTAATTTGAATATGGAATTTTTTAAGTGTTATGAGTGGAGAATTATGCTATCCTTCAAAACAGACGTGGAATCTCCTTCAATTTTTTAGATAATATGAATGCTAACTTAATTCTATTTTTTCATTTATCTTCACAAATGTGTGTTACTTCTGTATGAAAGCATAGTTTTGGTTGCTGTCTTATTGACATATATGCACTGTAAATTCAGAAATTATTGTATGCATATATTATTGCGATTTTTGAGGAATTAACAAAGATGCGAGTTTAATTATTGTGATTTTAGGAAAAGTTACATACAGATATATGTATCTGATATCAGAATGTGAGTTCTTATTATTAAGATACTCAAGTAGTCGCATTATTCCCATTAATAATAAAATGCTCCGCAGGGCGCAGCTTGATACGACCGCAGAGGTCGAACCCTGAACAGTTGGGGCAAGTATGGACACAACATTCAAGCTTGATACAGCTCTGAATTTGGATTGTGATTAAATATTTGACACAGCATAGGTTACTGACACAGAATGAATGTGGTCTAAGAACTTAAATTTTTTTATTAAATTGGACATTCACCTATTATGGTCCAATATCCAAAATCTAAATACATGGTTAGATTCAACATATCAAAGAACCCCAAGAATTCAATTTTTGATGAAATCAAACAAAGTTTAATTTAGGACCCTTTTGACCTCAATGTGGACAAAGTTGATAACGGGGCCCAAAAATCAAAAATCTAAATACATGGTTAGATTCAGCATATCAAAGAACCCCATATATTCAATTTTTGTTGAAATCAAACAAAGTTTAATTTTGGACCCCGATTTGGACCAACTTGAAAACTGAGCCCATTATCAAAAATCTAAATACATGTTTAGATTCAGCATATCAAAGAACCCTAAGAATTCAATTTTTGTTAAAATCAAACTAAGTTTAATTTTGAACCCTTTGGACCTTAATGTAGACCAATTTGAAAACGGAACCAAAAATTAAGAATCTAACTACACGGTTAGATTCGGCATATCAAAGAACCCCGCGAATTCAATTTTTGATGAAATCAAACAAAGTTTAATTTAGGACCCTTTTGACCTCAATGTGGACAAAGTTGATAACGGGGCCCAAAAATCAAAAATCTAAATATATGGTTAGATTCAGCATATCAAAGAACCCCATATATTCAATTTTGTTGAATCAAACAAAGTTTAATTTTGGACCCCGATTTGGACCAACTTGAAAACTGGGCCCATAATCAAAAATCTAAATACATGTTTAGATTCAGCATATCAAAGAACCCTAAGAATTCAATTTTTGTTAAAATCAAACTAAGTTTAATTTTGAACCCTTTGGACCTTAATGTAGACCAATTTGAAAACGGAACCAAAAATTAAAAATCTAAATACACGGTTAGATTCGGCATATCAAAGAACCCCAATAATTCAATTTTTGATGAAATCAAACAAAGTTTAATTTTGGACCCTTTGGACCTCAATGTGGACCAATTTAAAATCGGGGCCCAAAATCCAAAAACTTAATACACGGTTAGATTCAGCATATTAAAGAACCCCAAGAATTCAAGAATAAAACCCCATTGAAATTGGTCAAGAAATAAGCAATTAATACTGTGCAATTGAATATTTCTTGCTATTGCGCAATACTGTACAATTGACAATTTCTTGCTATTGCGCAATATTGTGCTATTGGATATTTCTTGCTATTGCGCAATACTGTGCAATTGAAGATTTCTTGCTATTGCGCAATACTGTGCAATGAAAGATTTCTTGCTATTGTGCAATACTGTGCAATTGAAAATTTCTTGCTATTGCACAATACTTATTATATAATAATTTACACATCCTGTTTGGTGTGTATCTCCTACCATATCATTATTTTTTGCTTCTAAATATAAATCATAAATAACCAACTTAAAATGGAAAATTTTAAAAGAAAAAAAAAGGAAAAAAAGAAAAAACATGAAAAAAAAAAAATCCCCCCCCCCCCCAATTTTTTTTAAACCCCTTATGATTCATCACCCCCAAACTCAATCCCAGCCTTCCCTACGTGGTATGGTACCTTGCAGTACAATTTCAGAGAGATCCATACACTTGAACACAAGTTATTGTCCTGAAACTAGAAAAATGCTTGTTTTTTTCCCCTTTTTGGCCCCTTATTCCTAAAATTTTGAGGGAATTACCCCCAAAATCATTCCCAGCCTTCCCTTTGTGGTATGGTACCTTGCAGTACAATTTCAGAGAGATCCATACACTTGAACACAAGTAATTGTCTGGAAACTATAAAAATGCTATTTTTGGCCCCTTTTTGGCCCCTTATTCCTAAATGTTTTGGGCAATTACCCCCAAACTCAATTCCAGCTTTCCCTTTGTGATATGGAACCTTGCAGTTCAATTTCAGAAAGACCCATACACTTACACACAAGTTATTATCATGAAACTAGAAAAATGCTTGTTTTTTGCCCCTTTTTGGCCCCTAATTCCTAAAATTTTGAGGCAATTACCCCCAAAACCAATCCCAGCATTCCCTTTGTAATATGGAACCTTGTGTTACAATGTCAGAGAGATCCATACACTAACACACAAGTTATGTCTGGAAGTTACAAAAATGCTTATTTTGGCCCCTAATTCCTTAACTGTTGGTACCATAACCCCCAAAATCAATCCCAACCTTCCTTTTGTGGTATTGAACCTTATGGTAAAATTTCACTGAGATCCATTCACTTAAACTTAAGTTAGAGTGCGAAAACCAATGTGTCTTCGGACGACGCCGGACGACGCCAGACGACGACGACGCCAACGTCATACCAATATACGACCAAAAAATTTTTAATTTTTGCGGTCGTATAAAAACCTCGCAATAATTTCTGAATTTACAGTATCAAATCCTTAAATTCATGGTTCATTTTATCCTGATATTGCAATAGCTAATTCAGAGGACAGCAAGAAATATGATGGCAAAATTGAAATCTTGCTCCTGGGAGAACTGAGAACAAGCAAACACCACATTTATTCTATAATTGATCAGCTGGTCAGAGAAATTTTATATACATTTAGAATTTGAGTATTGCTCATCACAATCCATACTCCACACACATTCTTCCATGTTTAGTGAATCAGGAAACCAGGGTCGTAATTTGACATATAATTTTAAAAGGTTAACATGTGTACTTAGCTTCACAGTACACTACCTAAACCAAATATTTTAACATGAAACAAGATGTACAAAAAGACAAGACTAAAGAACTGATGCACAGACAGGTAAACATGATGCCACAGACTATCGTAGACAGGCCATAAAAATCTCTTTAACTTATTCACTACTAATTAAATCTACGAAAAGATACAGAATTTGTATCAATAAATGGGGAATGTGTCAATGGGACACAGATGATGCCCCCACTTTGCATAAAACATTATAAAGGGACATAACTCAAGAACGGTAAAAGCGACATTACCAAAATTTGTACTTGATCTGTATTTAGTGGTAATAAGCATTGTGTATAAGTTTCATAACATTTGGTTAAGGTGAACTAAAGTTATAGAATGGAAACCAATTTTGGGACGTACAGACGGACGTACAGACAGACAAGGGTAAAACTTAATGCCCCCTCCGCTATGGTGGGGCATAATAAAAACAAGCAAATAACTTGAAAGATAATTTACTTACTCATTTAAATGCGTTATAAAGTATTTTAATACTTCATAATTGACAGGTGAAATTTTCCGAAGTACGCCTCTAATAGCCACTAACCGTGTACTCTTCTCTGGAATTTCTGTAATGAATACAAATTCAATTTTTTCATATCAGTAAGACAAGAATATTTTTCAACACTATTTCATCACACATCCTCTTTTCAAAAATTAACCTTTTTTTAACATTTAAAGAAGAAAACATTAACCGATTAAAATTTCCCCCTGCAAATGGTCAATGCAATTTTAACAGACAGCCATAGAGGATTTATACAGCTAAACCTTTCATGTGTAAAATTTTCTGCAAATCGATCAAGCGATTTTAAATCATAGATCCTGTCGTCTGCATTATCTACATAAAACTGTACTAAGCATTTTTTTTTGTTTTAATCAACAATTCAATATTAATCGGTGCGGGACGTTTGCGCTTTTTCATAGGACATTTACACTTTTTTTAATGGATATTTGCCCTTCAATTTAAAGGACATTTGCGCTTTTTAAAAAAGGACATTTGCTCTTTTTATATACGATATTTGCGCTTTTACAGTATTTGCTTCTTATGACTTCCCTCCTATTATATCTGGACTCAGGACCAAAAGGTTTGACCTGGCAGAGTTAAAGTCATAATTTTAATTATGGTTAAAAGTTTAATAGTCATTTCATAGCACATTCGTGTTTAAAGGTCATTTCATAGCATATTAATATAGTTATATATAGCTAAAAGTAAACATTCTAAATACATAAAGACGCGTATAGTCACCACAGGTCAGTTTTCGCATGATATCTGAAGCTCAGGGAATGAACAAATTTAGCTCTTGTAATCTGCCCTGACTGGTATTTCGTCCACATTACAAATAAATATTCTAGCTCTCTTTCTCTACTCTTGACTGAGGGCCCTGTTCATCGTGACATATACTTTTTTTCCTTTACTAGTCTATAACTTTAAACTCTATGTTTAAGACTGCGTCAATGTGAACTAACCAATGACAAATATAAGTTGCATTTATTTATGTAATGATTGCAATTCATTAAAATTACAGGTAGACTACTATAGGTAATAAAATGCTTCGCTGGGCGCAGCTTGATACAACCGCAGAGGTCGAACCCTGAACAGTTGGGGCAAGTATGGACACAACATTCAAGCTTGATACAGCTCTGAATTTGGATTGTGATAAAATATTTGACACAGCATAGGTTTCTGACACAGAAAGAATGTGGTCTAAGAGCTTCAATTTTTTTAATTTACCTATTATGGTCCAATGTCCAAAATCAAAATACATGGTGAGATTCAGCATATCAAAGAACCCCATATATTCAATTTTTGTTGAAATAAAAAAAAGTTTAATTTTGGACCCCAACTTGGACAAACTTGAAAACTGGCCCCATAATCAAAAATTTAAACACATGTTTAGATTCAGCATATCAAAGTACCCCAATAATTCAATTTTTGTTAAAATCAAACTAAGTTTAATTTTGGACCCTTTGGACCTTAATGTAGACCAATTCAAAAAACGGGACCCAAAATTAAAAATCTAAATACACGGTTAGATTTGGCATATCAAAGAACCCCAATAATTAAATTTTTGATGAAATCAAACAAAGTTTAATTTTGGACCTTTTTGACCTCAATATGAACCAATTTGATAGCGGGCCCACAAATAAAAAATCTAAATACATGGTAAGATTCAGCATATCAAAGAACCCCATATATTCAATTTTTGTTGAAATCAAACAAAGTTTAATTTTGAACCCCAATTTGGACCAACTTGAAAACTGGGCCAAAAATCTAAAATCTAAATACATGTTTAGATTCAGCATATCAAAGAACCCCATATATTCAATTTTTGTTGAAATCAAACAAAGTTTAATTTTGGCCCCCAACTTGGACTAACTTGAAAACTGGGCCCATAATCAAAAATCTAAACACATGTTTAGATTCAGCATATCAAAGAGCCCCAAGAATTCAATTTTTGTTAAAATCAAACTAAGTTTAATTTTGGACCCTTTGGACCTTAATGTAGACCAATTTAAAAAACGGGACCCAAAATTAAAAATCTAAATACACGGTTAGATTTGGCATATCAAAGAACCCCAATAATTCAATTTTTGATGAAATCAAACAAAGTTTAATTTTGGACCCTTTTGACCTCAAATTGAACCAATTTGATAGCGGGGTCTACAAATAAAAAATCTTAATACATGGTTAGATGCAGTATATCAAAGAACCCCATATATTCAATTTTTGTTGAAATCAAACAAAGTTTAATTTTGGACCCCAATTTGGACCAACTTGAAAACTGGGCCAAAAATCAAAAATCTAAATACATGTTTAGATTCAGCATATCAAAGAACCCCATATATTCAATTTTTGTTAAAATCAAACAAAGTTTAATTTTGGGGTCCAAAATTAAACTTTGTTTGATTTTAACAAAAATTGAATATATGGGGTTCTTTGATATGCTGAATCTAAACATGTATTTAGATTTTTTGACCCTTTGGACCTTAATGTAGACCAATTTGAAAACTGGACCCAAAATTAAAAATCTAAATACACGGTTAGATTCGGCATAACAAATAAATAAATGTGGTCAAAGATTTTACAAATCTAATGCGCCATACTGGTCTTCCTTTATAAATATGCATTTCTTTAAACATAATTTAAAAGCAGTGTAAGGGAAGTAACCAAAACGTTGTATTTGGATTACCTCCCTTACACTGTTTTAAATTATCTTAATTGTTCATTAACCATTACTTTATACATAATTTAAAAGCAGTGTAAGGGAGATAATTTCAATGATGTATTTGATTTATCTCCCTTACACTGCTTTAAATTATGTTTTGTACTAAAGTATTTGTCCATTAATGAGGACAACCTTGTTTTTCCCCCTTTTTTGCCCCTAATTCTTAAACGGTTTGAGCAATAACCCCCCAAAGCAAATCCTAACCATCCCTTTGTGGTATGTAAACTTGTAGTATAATTTCAGAGAGATCCATACACCGTTCCACAGTTATTGTCTGGAATCTAGAAAATGCTAATTTTTGGCCCCTTTTTGGCCCCTAATTCCTTAACTGTTGGTACCATAACCCCAAAAATCAATCCCCACCTTCCTTTTGTGGTATTGAACCTTATGGTAAAATTTCATAGAGATCCATTCACTTAAACTAAAGTTAGAGTGCGAAAACTAATGCGTCTTCGGACGATGACGACGACGACGACGCCAACGTCATACCAATATACGACCACAAAAATTTTTTTGCGGTCGTATAAAAAGCGCAAATGTCCGGTCAATTTAAAACAGGTGTATCAAAATTTAAAGCGCAAATGTCTATAGGGTTTGGAGCGCAAATGTCCTATCATGTTACAGGTAAAAAAGCGCAAACGTCCTGTGCCTATATTAATCAGTTACTTCCCTGCAAAAATATTAATTAATTTCAATAGAAAGTGAAAAAATTTTAAACAGATTCAAAATCATGTATTAGTGTAAATTGAATCTTCACCATTTGTTACTCTTTGCCTAACTTAAGAAGTCATGACCTGTCTCAATTACCAGCATATTTTTACATTTAATTGATAAATCTTTTCTTGCCCAATTGTTAAAAAAAATCTGTTAACCTGCCTGCTGATACATATCAATTATTTATAACTATAAACTCAAGATAGATTGAGCAAGATGAAATATGGTTGGCCAGGTCAAGTCTCAAAATTTGCTGTCTAATGAAAAATGTAGGTTTTCTTGTCCTCTTTCTTGACCTTGATCATGAAGACCCAGGAATGTTGTTGCCTGCATAGGAATTGGGCCTTATTGTGCCCACTGACCATTACAATGCTACTCTATAATTATTTGGTTGCTGTCTTTGTAAGCCCTGTCCAATCTAAAACTTAGATTTGTAATTTTGTCCTATTTTTGGGTGTACTGGGATATGCAACTGTAAGTAGCTGTTTGAAAGCCTAATTTCTCATTTGTTAAATTGCTTAGCCTTCTCACTATATGAGCAAGATACAAAAGGGCAGCCAATCACACCATAGTGCTACTTTTCTTAAAATTTCAAAATCCTTTTTTCTTAGGTAATTGTTTCTTACAGCTCTGCAGGGCAGAACTATAAATTGTCTATAATGTTGCATGAACATGCCTGATATTGGAAAAAAATTATCGAGCCTACCCATGAATGAAATTAATACCAGGGAGCCAAAAACCAATGTTGGGACCTGTTACTCAATTATACCCTGGCCCAGAGGGGTATTGTAAATATCAAACATTTTTTTTCTCCTATACCATAATACAAAAATAAGAAGATGTATAATTTCCAATGAGACAACTCTCAACCAGAGAATTAAAGACATAGAAGTTAACAACTATTGGTCACCGTACGGCCTTCAACAATGAGCAAAACCCATACCGCATAGTCAATATAAAAGGCCCTGAAGTCTTGATTTGTCATTGCATTATTAATTAACTTATGTAAAAATATATCTAATAAAAATTAACCACAAAAAGTCATTCAAATCTCCATGCTCAAGATACAAATGTAACACATGCTTAGTTAAAGAAATTGAGTATATACCTAGCAATGCACATACCAGAAATCCATACATATCATTCACATATGTACATTCATACCATAAAGTCAGCAACAGAGAGCAGAACCATGAAATGAACTCAGATGACCTTTGAACTTAGTTTGAATGAAAGTCTTATTCACATCACCAACATATATTTTCAGAAAGAAATTTTACAGGGCAAAATGTTTTCTGTTTATTCATTTTCTTCTGAATAATGTTGCAATTGTCAGATCTTTATAAGAGGGTAAATTATAAACTAAGATATGCTTATAAATGTGGTGTTAAAATAATTAATAGGCTAATTTCTTAAATTTCTGACAAACTGTGGATTTATTTCTTTTCGTGGGTAAAAATTTTCATTGCTTGAGGAAAACTTGCATTTTTTTGTGGATATAAGTATTTGATTTCATAGTTTTGCCAAAGTCTGCATACAAGCCTATAGATAATTTGTAATTCGTTGAACATCTAAAATCAGGGTTCATTTGTACCCAGAGAATCCACGAAAATTAGTATCCACAAATAAAAATTAATCCACAGCAACTCAAGTCCAAATTGGTTAAAAAGCCTGACATCCTTAAGAGTTGTTCTTTGAGATTTACTTAAACAGTAGGTGATGAACTCTTCATAGAAAATCTAAACTAAGCAAACTTTTTTTCAAGAATCTTTAAATATGTTCATGCGAATAGCTTACACCTCAGCTTAGTATCAAAGATAATAAACAGTCTTCACAGTATTATAATTTGTTTCATTGTAAAACTAAGGCAATCACGTCAATACATTAGTCACTCGTGCACACAATGAAACATTCTGTGAATGTTATGTTTTGAATTTACTAGACTTCTAAAACAACAGTGATTTTTCTTCTCATTAGTCTTTTCGTAACACGCTAGATTTCCTCCTGGTAAATATTTTTAAACAAGGGTTACATGTACAAAAACTGGACTCGATACAAAGAGTGATAAAGTGTTATATCAGAGCATACTTTTGTCAGCCAAATATTTTTAATGAAAATGGATAGAACTTCACAGATCTAAAAGTCATTGCATGTTCACTATGAATTCTCTTTCCTATTTCATTTTCTTCTGTACACATAAACACCCCCTCTTCTTTTTATAGTATCCATCCTAAACAGCAAGACATTTTTTTTTTAGAATTTGATGTACTATTTTCTTGTTAATCACTGTTGCTGTAGAAGAAACAGCAAATAAAAAAAAACAACTCCCAAGACAGATTACTTTCAACCAACAGAACAAAGTACTTCATAAGTGAAAAGATGTAAAGCAAAATGGAAAATTTAGGAAACTCAGTTTTTACCAGGTTCTTTCCCAGCTTCTCTATTTTCTACATATTTTTCTGTACAATAAAAAAAAAATTCACTCTATACACAAAACATGCAAAATATCAACACAAAACAAAATTGGGAAATAAACACAAAGGGGTGTTTCTCAACACAAAACAAAATTGGGAAATGAACACAAAGGGTGTTTCTCAACACAAAACAAAATTGGGAAATTAACAAAAGGATATTACTATACTAATGACTTAAAAAAAACATATTGTAGGCATAACAATTCAATATTCTGAATTCCTTTTTTATCTTGTAATTTCACCAAATGCCATATTTTGAAAAAAATTATATACATATGAATGCTTTAAGATCTTTTTTTTTTCAAAGTATGCAAATAATTTTAAATCTAACATTGCTTTCATTTCAAAGATAGCAGCTTTCGTATTAACATCTTTTTTTCCAGATTCTTTTCAAAATGTGAGTAACCGCAAAAATAAATATAAATATATTTGAATTCCTGATTTAACACGAGTAACATTCTTAAAGAATTTAAAATATTTGCCGACTGTATATTCCTAAGTTTCTACAAAGCATGCATTACTCCTAACATTTCCTAAAACAAGGTGCAGTCATAAAACTTTTTCATCCTTTTAAATGCTAAACCCTGTGATATCTTTAAAACAAGATGCATAAATCTTCATACCAGCTGCTTCTAATAATTCCTCCTGTAAGTTAGGAGGTATGAGTGGCTCTGTATCTTTAAAGAATGATTTCAGCACAGTAGCTACTGTATTAACCTGTATATCTAAACTTCTTATATCTACATTAGGATCTGGAAGAAAAAAATAAGATTCAAGATTAATTTTTGCCGGTATATATAAAATTAGGATCAAGAAAAAAAACAAGATGCCATAATATTTTTTAGCATGTAAAACAAGTTCTCTATTTCTCAGTGTATTAAATTCTGAAAGAAGAGAACCAATGATGTCCTTTCTACATCTAAGGAAGTTATAAGGAAAATAATCATATTCAAAATGTACTTGATACAGGGTTATTTAGCAGATTTGCTAAACTATTATACTCATAGTGAACTCTGGAAACAGAGTCAAAATGTATTTTCAAAGAAGTATAGACAAAAAAATATAAAAGATGTTTCAGAATTTCCTTAAAACTAATTTCCATCTTTTCCTCTCATTTTGTAATCTCTTTAAAATTGAGAATGGAAACAGAGAATGTTTGACTTTTTATCTCCATCTAATATTTTTCCACAATTTTAAAAACATAACACCTCAAATTACATATTCTAACCATTTCTTTGCATTCGTTCAGCTTATTCTAAATTTTATCAAGAGGTATGTACAAAAACTCCATGGTATAAAAATATATATATAGGAGAGTTTGAAACAGGTCAATTCTGGTTACTTAACCTCTATCTGCTGTTTTTCACAACCTGAGCAAGTTTGGTTTTATCAACTGTAATTTGGTTAATAACAATTTGCAATAAAATTTGTTGGAGACATTATCCTAATGCTTGTAGTTTAAAGGTTTGGTTGGCTTGCTTGCTTTGTTTGTATAAATGTTTACTCAAGCATTGACATCTGCAATCAATAGATAGGCGGGCTTCAGCTTGTACATTATACTCTGCATTATACTTAACATCCACTAACATTTATAAGTATAATGTATACAAGCTGAAGCCCCGCCTATCTATTGATTGCAGATGTCAATTTTGGTAACAATGCTTGAGCAAACATTTATACAAACAAAGCAAGCAAGCCAACCAAACCTTTAAACTACAAGCATTAGGAAAATAGCTCTAATATATGTACGGTTTCAGCTACACGAGTTGAAAATCCCTTTCAAATAGCAATTTCAGTAAAAAAATTGAGATTGCATTGCAATCTTACCTTCTTGTAATTTTAGTTGTAATATTTCCACCTGTTGTTTATTTCCAGGTATTCTGTATATACCCTCTGCATTTATACCTGAAAAAAAAACAACCAATTAAAATATGTATAATTTCAAAATTAAATAAGTACAGCAGAGTTTTGAATTTTAGAACAACAATAACTTTAAGGCCATGATTCCTGACAATGTAATTGGTAATGATTCCATGGGAAACTTAATGACTCGAATAGATTCTGATTGTTCCTATGTGTTTGAATGATTATTTGAATAATAGATTGTTGTTTGTTTTAAGTCCAGTGGCAAATATTTCATGCATGTTCAATGTGACCTAGGTGTTTGAGAAATATGTTAACTAATTCTTCTTTACTTTTGATAGCCTCCCTGATATCATCTTACTTTAAACAAAAATTTCATCTTCAGTAATTGTCAGGGTAATACAAAGTAAAGTCGTTATGCAATTTAGCATGCTTAATTTCTTTAAAAACTAATATGACATATTTTTTTCCAAAATTGAGATCGTTCCATAAAAACATGCATGGAATTTAGGAAGGCACTTTGAAACTATGGGTGGATGTCAATTACAGTGAAAATGTAAGTGAAATTCTGAATTGGGTTTTATAGATGGTTACCCCATTTTGAAAGTGTCTTCCCTGGGTATCATGTATGTTTAAATGGAAGAGCCCTTTATGATTTCAATGTGGTATTTTTTTAAGGGGTGGGGGAGTTTGTTGCAATTTTTTGGCAAGATTTCAAGTTTTTTTCTTTGTCAAAAATGTCTTTGTAACTTGCTACAGGTGTCATGCATGCACACCCCTATAGTTATCTATCTACATGTATTCTACTTCAAATCAAAACATACAATACAGGTTGCTGTAAATGTCTCAAGCATACTGAACATGTTAAGTCAAGCTCAATTGTTACCAAAAATAAACAAGTCATCATATATCTCAAGACATTTTTTTTTATAATGATTCCAGACTTTAAAAAATAATTTTCTTTCATGAGATGAAAAAGTATGAGTTTTCTATCAATATTTCATCTTTTTCTAATCATCTTGGGAAATGCTTTTCCCAAGTTTCTATTCAAATACATAATGTACATTTTTCTCCAAATTTGTTCATCAAGGGAATTGGAACAATAACCAAAAATTTAATAAACTAATGCAATGTTTTCATTAATGAGAAAAAATGATTTCAAATGCAGTTATCTAAAATGATATCTATCTGTTATGTTTATTAACAAAATTTTTAAAAATTCTAACAAGACAAATTATCTGTAAACCATGAGCCAATCAGCGTAACTCGCTATCAATTTTAATCATACAATACTTTTGTATTCAAGTCACATTTAGGCAAATTTGCTGTACAAATATTGCATGCAATTATTTCAGAATTGACACATTTTATTACACTGAAACTAAAATGGCCGCACAAAAATTTCATGTTATATGTATCACTCTTGATTAGTATTTAGACTGTCTGTCTGTTCAAGAATAGATGAAAAATGTAATTCCAAACATGAAATTGTAAAAAAAAATTGTGATCTATCAATCCCTTAAGCCCAAAAGAAATTCTCCAAAATTAAAATCTGAAAATCAGACGAGACCTCTCTTTTTTTTTTTATATGATGAAAAACGGTTTCATATATCGATCACTTTTTCGGAATAACGCAAAATAAAATTAAGACATATAAGTAACACATGCAAATTATAAGTAGTTGACTCTGAAGGTCTGCTTTGTAGAGACAAACAAGGAACCCACTTATCATATCAATCATTTATACTGCAACTGTGCTATTTGTGCTATCCCTGACCCTTTAAAGCCTTCTTTATAAATATAATTTCTGTAGAGTTTCATTAATGATATCAATAAATATAATACAGTTTTGCAGAATTTTAACGTTGTTTAAATATAATTTCTGTAGATTTTCATTAATGATATCAATAAAGAATACAGTTTAAATGAGTTTTGCAGAATTTTTACATCATTGGAATATAATTTCTGAACAGTTTCATTAAAGCCATCAATAAAGAATACAATTTTGCAGAATTTTTACATCATCTGCTTCAAATTAAAAATATTTCATCTAAAAACCATTGTAAGAGTTGCAGTATAAAGAGAACAACCACATATTGCCTCCAAATATAAATTTTATTTTATCTACTCAACACAGCACGGGGGAATGCTCAGACAGATGAAGCCTTGCTTTCAACCTATTTCTAAGCCTTGTACAAATAATTTTTATATTTTGAGATAATATATATTTATTCTATATATAATATAATTTGTAATGAGTGAATGGTCTTTTTTTATTTCAGAGTTGTTGCCTTGGACTAATTAATGTAACGAGATGCATGGCCTCTCTTTCATCCAAAAAAAATTTAACCATATATTTATATATTTTTATAAGTATTTCACATAAATAACACTTATCATTCAAAACATTTGTTGCTGTATATCAGATTTGTTATTTTCGTTATTATTTTGTAAATAAATCAGGCCGTTAGTTATCTCGTTTTACATTTATCATTTCGGGACCTTTTATAGCTGACTATGCGGTATGGGCTTTGCTCATTGTTGAAGGTTGTACGGTGACCTGTAGTTGTTAATTTCTGTGTCATTTGGTCTCTTGTGGATAGTTGTCTCATTGGCAATCGTACCACATCTTCTAATTTTTATAGTTATGTTTTTTGTTTTTTTTCATGTAATAATTTGGGATATTGTGTCATTTGAATATAGACCAAATCTTTTAATTTTACGTCTTTTTTTTTTTTTTTTTTTGAAAGTTTTTCAGAAAAATTTCTTCAGTAAAATAAATGTATGTTAAAAATAATTTCTTCTTTCAGAATAACACTATGTTCCTGTCTGTAAAAGTTAACTCTATTATATACACTGATTAAAAAAAGACTTTACATACAAGAGAAAATACATTTTAAATATATTCAGAATATGTTGTAAAGAAATCTGTAAAAAAAGGGAGTTAAAAGAAACTAATTAAGTGTTAAATATATTGTGTATACAGTTAACAAAATTATTGGAGATAGTGCTTTGGGGAAACTGCCAGAATACAGTTTGTCAAAATCTTATGTTTCTGTTGTTCTGGAAATATGTACATTTCATATCATTTTAATGGGCCAATCTTGACAAACTGTATCCTCAAAAGCAACTTGTGAATTGGCATGTTTTAATAGAATGTGTCTACCCATTTTATTTCTACAGTTCTGTCAGAAAATAGTATGTATTTTTATGGCAATTCAATCAATTGCTTCAATTAAGGAAGTAGACCTGACATTAAGGCAAATAACTCTTCTATATCACTTTTATGTTTGTGTCAGGCCATTTTCATGAACGTATTCTAAACTTTTATGCAACACAGATTATTGTAATTCTGTTTCACATGAAGGCTTAAAAAGCATTTATGAAACATACCGTTATAAACGTAATAGTGATTCAATGAGTTACTTCCCATAACCACTGCCTACACCCTTAATATATATAGAATGTTTTACAAACAAAACTTCAGTCACATTGCAGAATTGTCATAATTTCATAACCAGTTGAGAAACTATATATGTATTCTTGCTATTTGCTTTTTATTTTTCCTCCAAAGATGCTTGGAATATCCTCTCTATGAAAGCTCAACAGATTGTAAATTATACAAGAAAAGCTTTTATGGTAAGGATACTCTAACAATGCTTTGAGCTTGCCTTCAAGAATAAATATATGCATCATGAAATACGCAAATTATGCATTTTACAATTTTTTTTCTTTCAACAGGTTTCTTGTTAAAAATAAAAATGTTTTTCTAGCAATTTAATGTTTAGAGCACTGGGTATTTCTTTTTCAAGATTACCTTTGAACATTTCTTATAAAAGTATGGAGAAACAAATATACCAGTGCATTTTTTTTAACAAACAGTATCAATTTTTCTAGACTGACTAAATGGCTAAGTGACTGAAGTTTGGGTGAAATTTTTCTTTATTTGGCTTTTGTCATCTCACATTTTCAACATTCTTTTTATGAAAAAAAAACAACAAATCTATATAGGATATATATTTTCCTAATCTATTCAAAATTTCTTTCAAAGCTATAAATAACTTTTTTAATAATTCTAATATCTATAAATGGTCTCTGTCGAAATCTATTTCATCAAACAAAACAAAAATTCAGACAAAAGCTATATAACTGCAGCGATTGGGTATTATGCAGTAACTCAAGGTGGTTATATTTTACCTCTATCCAACTCTTCCCACGGGACATTTACAAAAGTCATCACTTAAAAAAAATAGAGAACACACAATAAGAACATCACCTTTATATATATATTTCTTTCATTCCCCTGTTAGAATGCATCCACAAATCGTGTACAAATCTGGTCCTCATTTGGATAAAATTATAGTAATAAAAGAATATGAAATGAATTCAAATTTATTGATTGCTGTTTGCTTAATGTCCAGTGGTAATTATGTCATGTATGTTCAGAATGAGAATAAATTTGATAATAAATACAATAGGTAGGTCCTGTAAATGAATAAAGACTTCAAAAAACAAAAGTCTAAATCTTGTTAAAAAAAAATGTAAATGGAATGGCCCAAAACTTTATGCTATCAAATCTGATTCTTATTTGTATAACAGGATTGTGCTTATGACATAGACACAGGCACAGACTTTTGAAATGATATTTAGACATTGATGCAAATTTTGCAAAACACTTAATACAAGAATCATTAAGGACACCAAAATACAAATCAAATTAGAGTTGAACTCTAAAGAAGTTTTTCTGGACTTCATGGTTAATCAGAACTTTTTTTAGCCTCAAACCAACATTTTGCAAAATTTTAAATAAACATTATAATTTCAAGTTCCCCATCAAGATTCTCTGACTTTGTGCACACGTTAATGATTTGGCTTTAGATAATATAAAGCTGGTGGAATATTTCAATATTAGGGGATATTTCTCTGCAGATACAGATCCATAGACCTAAGTAACCCTACATATAATTTACTATAGTAAATCCATTTGCAAAAACAATTTTAGATAACATAATACTGTAAATGGAATATTTTCGAAAATTCAATGCAAAAACCTTTTTTTCAGGTATTAAATTCATGAATCAATGATAATTTGCCACTTCTTTTCTTGGGGAGATATTTTTGCACAATTTACGTGGTTAAAAATCAGCAAAAATAATCCCTCGCCCTGCATGAACATTTTCTATGTTTACAATACTCATAATAAAGGTGTGAATAGCTTGTGTAGGAACACACTTGAGTATGAATCCCAATGACCTGTGACCTCTATTATCCATATTACTTTATAAAGACGAAAACATTTATTAGCTATACCTCATACTATTATTAAAATTGCAGTTAAGGTAGCTGGGGACTCCTAACCTTAACAATTGACTATTTTATACTTTGTCGAAGTGTAATTTAAATGATGCTATTTTGAAAATATTTATGGTGAATGACCTTGTTTTCAATATATTGGTTGCTAAGAATTCCTTTGAATTAAAAAAAAAAGAAGAAAAGCACAATTATAATTTTCAAATTAAACTTAAAAGGATAGTTTTTTACGAAATTTTCCCAATCAAATGAGGGTCCCTGTTATCCTTTTCTTGTAACATAAAGTAGGTTATTTTTAAACAAAATAAATATTCAGAGTTACTTCCCTTCATTAATCAAATTTTTCAATTTTTTTTTTCTCATAAATTTTAATTTTTTGTATCTTGACAACAACTTAAAATAAATTAAATAATTCATAGGATTACATTGGAAATTCACAAAAATAACTTGTTTTATATTGAAAGTTGAATATTTCAGTAGAAATGCAATTAGTCCATTTGAAAACCCTGAAAACTTGGAAAATAATTATTTATAAATCAAATGTATATTTTACTTTTAATTTAATACTAATATATTGATGGACAATATTTTACATATCATAAACACAAGAAATTTACAAAAAGTAAATAAATTATCCATTCAAGATAATAGTATTTTTACTATATATATTTCTTTTTTACTAATGAACCAACCATATGGACAATTGCATGTTTTTTTTCCCTTTCATTTCATTAGGAAATGTGTATTCAAAAAAAGAAAAACAAATGATTCAAATTATTTTTTATTGTGAAAAATTAATCTTAAAACTGATTTTTAATTATACAATTTCGACATTTTCCGAGTAAAAAAATGCACAATACAAGAAGTTTTCAGATCCAAACTAGCAGTCACAATTTTAGACCCCCTTTTTCAGATCCAAACTAGCGGTCACAACTTTAGACCCCCCCCTTTTCAGATCCAAACTAGCAGTCACAACTTTAGACCCCCCTTTTCAGATCCAAACTAGCGGGCACAATTTTAGACCCTCCAACTACCTTAGTAAGTTATTATTGAAAGTAATAAACCATTACCCCAAGCAAGATTCAAAATATTTATATTAAGCTAATATTCACAATTATATATTTCACGTCAAAACTTTCTTTTACCTTCTTGGTTTAAACATGAAAAATGATTTGTTTTATATATTATATATGAAAATTCAGCCAACTACATTCAGATTTAAAGGTCTGATTGTCTGGCACATAGATATGTGTAACAGTATATTTAGTTCCTTGAATAAAACATACTATTGCTTTCCTTTTTTTTGTAATATTACTTCTGCTCGAATTCAAAATCCCCCAAAATATTTGATGTTTCCATTTTTGAAATAAAGGATTCATTGAACCTGTCATACAGAACAATTTATTCTGATTGATTTTTACAAACAAAACAGCATTCAATTTTCTGGATTTCCTTAAAATTTCTAAAAAGTAAATTCCACCTTAACATAAATTTTAATACTATTAACTTTTTTTTTGATTTTTTGTGCAAATTTAAAAAAAAAATATAACTGCTTATCTAATAGAACACTGCAATAAGCAAAATACAAGGGAGATAACTGGATTTTTACAAGGAAGACAACTCTGTCACCATGGAAACCTACCTTCTTCCCTGATAAATTCTACACAAGTTTCTACGTATTGAGGAAGTGAAGGATTTGTAGACGACATCTGGAAATCTACCAGTCGACAACCACTTTCTGATGTCCCTGGCCGTCCATCTGTTTTTTTATGTAATTTCTTCTGCTTCTTCTGCAATTCTTTTTGCTTTCGTTCCTGAAATTATAAAAATTTTAAATCTAATAACAAATGGATATTTACGTGAGGTTGAGGTTGAGAGGAGGAACACTCAAAATTCAAGTTTGTCAGCCAGTTTTGAAGAATCAACTTTCAAAAACTTCACTGCTACAATTGATAATAATTGACACAGAGTAATGTTCTGACAGCAAGGATAACACCCAAGAAACAATCAGTTATTTACAACCTATTTTCTAATGCATCTGACTGGATAACATAAAATTCTCAATCTTCTTGTTTGTAACACAGAAAACTGCAAGTTTGAATTTTTTGTATGTGATTTCTACAATAATTAACAAGACAGTAATTTTTTTCTCATGAAAAACTTGTAATTGTAAAATTAAATCCATTCTAAACAGTACAAGGCACCAAAAAATATCCTTAGCCATTGAGGCCCCAAAAATTTTCAAAGATACCAGCGTAATAATTTTGTACATAAGAAATGAGTTTTGTCTACAAAAGACTCATCAGTGATTCTCAAATCAAAAACCTTAAAAGGCCAAATATACTACGAAGTATCAGAGCATTATAGACCCAAAATTGACTATTTAATGTCATTTGTGCTACAAAGAATAAATCACTAAATAACCTGATTGGTCAATGACTTAACTGACCAGCTCTAACTAAAACCCTGCTCACCTCCTCAATTACTATATCACCATTAGCTGAATCAACATGATTTATTGTACTATCAGACTTTGGAATAGTACTTGCTGATTTTGGAACCTGTACTGTACTGTACGGCATTACATGTACAGAGGCTGTGCAGCCCATATCAAAGACGTCGATCAAATATTATGTAAATATCTAATCTGTTTTGCAATTCATGTCATAAATCCTGAGTTTTTTTTAATTTCCTTCCGAATCAACATTTTCACAAAAACTATCTGCTTGCTCAGGTAAATGCACTATGAGAACATATTAGACTGTCACAAAATTCCTATGATTTAAGATGCAACTGTCAGAACTAATTTTATAACATAATCACCGTAAAACAACAGTTATAACTATGCTAGTTGGTATTTACGGTAAAATCACTTTCACTGAGCTATTTGCAAGTCATATCCAACGATATAGAATTATCAACGAGTTTTCTTTAATCGTAAACATCAAATCTCCATTGATACAGATTTAACCATCATAAACATTAAATCTGTTATTATGTGGATGGCAACACTATATAAGGAACAGATCAACTATTTAAATGTCCAGTATGTATCGTACATAACTATATTTTGTTACACAAAACAAAAGGTAAGCAGTATCGTCAATTAAATATTGCCATGCACTGATACATTTATTGTTTTGTACAACATGTAAATAGCTATTAATATGTCGTAATCCAGGGTCCAATTCAAAATTAAAAACCTAATCATTATAAAGGTTCAAACTCCTAATCAATCTTTATTCCAATTTAAAATTTTATTACTTAAGAAAAAAAACATGAAATATTGTTAAAGAGATCACAGTAAAACTTCTTTCTTCCAAGTAAACAAAAAACTGCCGGGTGGGTCGACACAATGGATCAAAAGCTACACTTTAAACAGCAGAATGTCTGATTTTGGTGATAATCACAAATATGTAGGAATACAGGCATAAATTAAGTCTTATATGCTCAAACAAATATAATAAATTCCTTCAACAAAATGTTTCAGTATTTTCTAAGACATTATTCCTAAATTAAATTCAACATCCTTATGTGCTTCATTTTTCAGATTTCCAACATAAATTGCTTCAACACAATATTCCAGTATTTTCTAAAACATTATTCCTAAATTTAACGAATAGTAAATTAGATAAAAATGCAATATTCAGTCAGGTTAGATTACTAACAGCCAATATTTATTTATTCCATTAATCCCACTGAGCTTTGTTTACCTGTACATACAAAGGTAGGTATTTATGATAGGTAAATATAGATTTGTCACCTGGAAATGAACATATCGATTGTAAACAAACAGTATTCAATGCACAATATTCCTAATCAGGTAGAATCTAAATAAAACTTCTAATCCCAAACAACATAAAATGAAATGTTCAAATATTTCAGATCATAAATGCCATTATTTTGAACTGGGAAAACTAATATTCATTCATTTCTTGAATCATATATTATAAATCTCAACATCCATGTTAAATCCAATTTTCACTGCAGGTATTCATATTACAAAAGCCAACTTCTACCGATTTCATCTTTGTTCAAATAACCAAATGACAGTAAATTTTTAATCTCCTTTCTCCATTCATGTTCATATATAATAATTATGAAGATAAAAAAGCCAAATTAATCAGCGTGAATGTTGTCATTTCAATTAATTCCATATGAAATGGATTACGGTAAGCAAGTTTCTCTATGAAAGCCTTGCATGTTTATTTCAAGGTAAAAATAGTCCATATGGAAGCTTGTCAATTTCAAGATGAAAACATTTCAGATTCTTTCTGTCTATTTCAAGATCAAACGTAATATTCTCTACAAAAACATCGATTTGAAAAAACACATGTTGAGGACACAGAAATCAAATGCATTTTTTAAAGAGGGTTTGTAAAGCGAAATGTGCATAATATGTTGGGTTTCAGTTTCTTAATTCCATTTTGAGACAACAATTTACCTGCGTTTAATATCTAGAAATCGAAAGTAATCAAGTCTTCCAGAGATTATGCATTGATTGGTTTTTAAACACCATTTCCAAATGAAATACTGTCAAATGTTTACCTAAGGCATGATCTGCTAAATATAGATTTCTTCCTCAATAAACCAATACAATATTTATAAGAATGTAAAATAAGTGTCAACAATTAAATGATTTAAATAAGTTGAAAAGAAAAAGTCAATTTCAGTTAGTTATATTCAAATTTCATATATCTAATCCGGTTTTGTCTTTCATTTTACTTTAAAGCCACCTGAAAATTATTGACATAGCTCAACAAACAAAATGAAACATTTCTAAAAAAAAATTAGTCAATCAGTCCAACTTTATCAATTTCAGGGGAAAGCTTCAACAATGCTTAAATTTGCAGTTGACAGCAAATCCACAAGATACCATTCCATAAGAAAATGAAATACAAGTATACACAAGATATACATGTTATATAATTTTAAGATTAACTCCAACTGACTCTATATTTGTACATATTTCACTTCAAATATACAAAATAGGAGAAATACCAAAGTACATGTATAGAAATATGATTTTCAAGATTTATATATTTTTCATAATAATTTGAAATTTCAAAATTACAACCAAATGAAGTACTTTAACATTTAATGGTGTTTTTAACTTCCAAATGCACTATTTAAAGTTTTATTACGACACATAAAAGAAGTGATTCAAGTTTTATTTAGACATTTAAATGTTATTATACAATACATCATTGATATACATGTAACTGAAGCACTAAACTTTAATATCTTCAAAATTTAAATGATAAATCAAAAAGGAGTCAACCTTGAATATCAATTTTTAAAGTAAACAAATAGCTGTCACTGTCTGTTTATGAAATTCATTGGCAATTTAAAGGCTGTATTTCCTTGTTTTACAATAGACATCATTTTTCCTCTATGTAGTCATGACAATGTCATTTTTATAAAATTTTCAATAAAGCTCATAAAAATTTGTTAAATTGTTATATCAAAAAGGCTGAAGTAGAACAATTTGATTCAATAACAACAATCAGAGTTCAACAAGAAAAATTTTGTAACAACTTCAGCAGCTTATATAAGGATTTGATTGCTATGTTGTTATTCAGTCATAGAATGAGCTCTACAATTGTTCTTGCTATCATTTTTTGTTGTAGCTAACTCAAAGTTCACAGCACAATGAACATATGAACTAACTTTCTTGTGCTTTGGTCTTGGGCGGATACTGTAATATCAGAAATTATTGCGATGTTTTCATTTTTGTGAAAAATGCTAAAAAAAATTCGCATTCCTAATTTCTGTTGTGATTTTCCTTCACAAAATGTTTGCAATGGCATCAAGTAGATCTCAAATTTGTACAAGTAATCATAAGTGATTAGCAATAATAAATCCATGCATTAATTTCTGAAGTAGTTGTTGTCTCATAGGCTATCATACTACATCTTCTAATTTTTATCTATAACCTAATTTGTTGGAGTTAGCTTTCCATGAAAACTATTTAAGAATTGAATGCTTCTTTTTGTAAATTTATTGGGGTGTAAAAGTGTTGACCGAAGTACATTTTGTATGAAGCGCACAAGCGCTTCATTCTAAAAAAAGTGTGTGCATAGTCAACGCTTTTACAACCCTATAAAACTACTAAAAGAAGCATTCAATACTTATAATTACATTTTTTTGCTAGGATCATGAAAACACGATTTCTATCAAGTTTTTCTTTTATTTACCTGTGCACTTTATTGTGGAAGCTCGTGTCATCATGAATGTTACATTTCATTTTTAAATGAAGGTTAATTTCAGAATGACGCAAGATTGCTGTTAGCCAATCAAAATAACGTATTATAATGAAACATACATGTAATGTAATTACAATGTATTGAATCATTAAAACTTGAAAATAGTATGCAAAGTGTACAAACATAATGAATGATAAAAACTTAAGGGACAACTGTTTATTAATGCAATTGAATAATTCACCGAGGTTAAAAACAAAATATAAAGCTTTCATTATACTTATGTCTCAACGTCGGCAATGAGCTGAAGGCAAGGAAAGACCTAGGTCCTCCAGATCAATCAATTTCAAAATTTCTTTTTTCAAAATTTTAACATGTATAATGATGATGGACTTTTTGGTTGCAACTGGAGGTCAACTGGAGGCCAAAAGCCATTTAACATAAGTCATCCTATTTCGCAAGACCAGAAGTGTTCTTAAGAACCTATGAAGTTTCTGAGAAATTACATTTTTGAGGAAGCTAAGCTTAGTAATTCAAAAGTCTAGAATGAGCATAAAAATCAACTAATTTTCAATGGACTGTATTTTCACTTATTATATACTTAGTAGTAAATACAGATAAATTGTTTGTGTAATACAGTCATTGGCAAGCGTGCTGTATCAGCCACCCGTGATGATATCGATATCAGCATGGTTGCAAAGGCTTTATCACACCTTTAATCTGTATGACGTCACGTCATCGATTGCAGTCACTGTTGCAAAGGCTTTATCAAACACCTAACCTCTATGACGTCATGTCAAAACTATAATCTGTATGACGTCATTTCAAACCTCCTTACCTGTATGACGTCATGTCACATAAAAAACATCTACGTGAGCTCGAGGTATATGTATATAATAAAGTGTATATGATATGGCTTTTTCAATATCACACACCGTATCAACCCTCAACCAATATAATCCCTTGAGCAGAGCTCTTGGGATTATATTGGTGTCTCGGGTTGATACGGATGTGATATTGAAAAAGCCATATGATATTCTCTATTTATCTTTAAAACATGTAACTAAAAACTTATTTTATTGGTGTATTAAATTGCAACCACCATAACCAGATGTTCATGTGAAAGAACATGCAATTTAATCATTATGAACCTGCGTAGCATATGTTATGTAACATGAACAAGTTCTAGCTGAACTGGTTCACATCACAGTTCCTATCACACAGCTCCAAGTAATCATTATCAACAAGATGAATGTACATGTATTTGTATATGGTATCTGCCTGGTGTTGACTTTGATCCTGCATGAATGTGTGGAAGCCAGATCATGCACAAAACTTGGTAAGTGTCCATTTTAACAGCAAAACTCAATACCGGTACAAATGTTAACCAATTATCTTGTAACTGTTCTATTCCATTTCAATTTTATTGAGAACTCAACTGTTTAAAAAAGTGTCAGCTGTAGCTGGGATCTCCATGGATAAAAATATTATACGATTTGCTGCATCAACCACAAGAAGTTTCATACCCGTTTTCTTTAAAGTTAAATAAAGATTTGTGGAGGGCAGCAATAGTTTAAAACTGATCTACCTGTTTAAGTGATTGGCGACCATTAGCCTAATATCCCTCAGGGCTTTGAAACAGTAATATGGAGGACCCTTTGGATTATAATACAATACGGGTCACACAATTACATGCAATTCATTATAATTGCCAAGAAAAATGGCACCAATTATAGGGAAACAAAACAAATTTTGAATACACCTTTCAAACATAGTGCAGTTTTTTAACAATAACGAGGATCATTTGACATTGGCAGAGGATAATTCAGCAATGGTGGTGCGCTATCATAAAACAGGTAATTCAGATCCCTGCTGTAGTAAAATTAAAATTGATCCGATGGTATATCAATGTAGTGCCATTCATTTTTTTCCCCCTTAGTTTTTGAAAGAAAAAAGGTGCCCATGTTGAATGCATGAAAATTCTAGAAAAAAAAATTTCCCACCAAATTTTTAAATGGCTTATATATAAATATCTCAAAAACAAGGACAAAGCTTTTTAACTTCCTTTATTAATATTCTATCAATTTATAACAGTCTTGTTATTTTGCAACATCCTTAAAATCACACGGGAAAAAAGGCTGTTTCACCTGAGCAATATTGATTTCTACATCTAACTGTAATAAGATATAGCAAAATGTGAACAGAATGTTTGAGGATTATGCTGTAATTTGAAATAATTTATTTCCCCCTGGACGCCATTTAGGCAGGGTTAATGGTTGATTTTCTTATTTGACTTATCAAATTGAAACATGCGGTACAACCTCGTCTGACAAGAGATCCTTATTAGATCCCTAAGTAATGAATTGAGCAAGGCTCAAAGAAATTAAAACTGTACAGAAAACAACTCTTTCTAAAGTTTAGCAGTCAATTTAACAAGTTAAATTTGGCTGATTTATGAAGGAATTTGTGCACATAGACCTCCAACATTGAAACACAAGAGGCTCTCAAGAGCCTGAATCGCTCACCTGTATTTCAGAGGAGAAGATTTTTAAATGTTAGCAAACTTGATTTCAGAGGAGAAGATTTTTAAATGTTAGCAAACTTGATGAACAAATTGTGTAAAATTGTCTTTAAAGGGCAATAACTCCTTAAGGGGTCAATTGACAATTATGGTCTTATTAACTTTTTTGCAGATCTTACTTTGCTGAACATTATTGCTGTTTACTGTTTATATCTATCTATAATAATATTCAAGATAACAAAAAACTGCAAAATTTCCTTAAAACTACCAATTTAGTGGCAGCAACCCTACAATGGGTTGTTTGATTCGTCTGAAAATTTCAGGGTTGATAGATCTTGACCAATTGAACAATTTAACCCCATGTCAGATTTGCTCTAAAAGCTTTAGTTTTTAAGATATAAGCCAAAAACTGCATTTGACCCCTATGTTCTATTTTTAGCCATGGTGGCCATGTTTGTCGATGGATCAAAACTTTGGATACAATTTATAAACTAGATACCCTAAGGAACATTTAGTTAAAGTTTGAAGGTATTTGGCCCAGTAGTTTCAGAGGAGAAGATTTTTTAAATAGTTTATGACGACGACAGACGCCAAGTGATGGCATAAGCTCACATGGGGCTCCTTCGGGCTCCGGTGAGCTAAAAAGGGAAGAAACTCTTGCTCAAGTTGTATCATTCAAAATCTATCTATTGCGTATTGGTAAAAGAATCATATTATGAAGGATTCGCTAGCAAACTATTGCAAAAATAAACATCTTTAATACCCATTCATTGCCTGATATTTTATCATAATTTTGCAATATCTTTTTCAGTGAAATAAAAATGTTCAATTTATTTACATGTTTAGATAAAGAAAATGATTGATGCCTCTTTTGATACGAAAATAACTTTAAAATCTTATATACTTTTATATACACAGTAAAGCATCCTTTAGATAACAATGTTCTGTAGGACAAATTAAAGTAGGGATCACTTATCAATTAATTGCTAATTACAGGAAAAAATTAAAGTTTAATCAATTAATTTCTCTTTCAGAAAACAAGATATTTAACAACCTACTGGATATGATGGTTGCCATCAAATCTAAATGTCTTATATCAGGTAAATAGTTAATTTCAATATAATAATTAATACTTTGAATTCATTTATTGTTTGAACCAATTTTCATGGATTGAGGAAAAACTATATTTTCATGGCTGTTTTATTTCATTGTTTTACTAGCATATATATAAGAAATTTGTAGCTCGTCAAACATTGAAATAATGGCTCATCTATACCTAGGAAATCCATGAAAAATTAGTATTTCAGGAAAAATATAACTAACTTTTTAAGAACGAGGGGTATTAAAGTATTTTCTTTTTTTAAATATCACAAGTAGAATCATAAGCCTAGAGGTCAAGGTCATCTCCATGAAATCTAAGCCAATTACTTCTGTCCATTATACACCACCTCGGCGGTCTTGTTGGAGCATGTTCGCCTCGATTGCCAGATGTCATGGGATTGACCTCAGCGAGGTCAAACCAAAGACTTTAAAATTGGCATTTGCTGCTTCTCCATTAGGCACACATCATTTGGTAACAGCAAATATTGGACGGCCTGAAGTCAGAATAATGTGTCTGAGTACGGTGATATATCTTCCTTGGGACTGTTGCCTTGTGAACTAACACAATAAAATCTGACTCAGTGTGTCTGTCTAGTACAAGGCTGGGTTAATATTCATATTTCATTAACATTTTCTCCTGCTGAATATGCATTTAATTAGTTGTAGGACGTTAAACAGCCATCCATCATCGTCGTCGTTGTCGTCGTCGTGGTCGTCGTCATCATCATCATCGTCATGTGGTTGTCATCATCATCATCATATCACAAACTACATGTAAAGTGGTCGTCGTCATCATCATCATATCACAAACTACATGTAAAGTGGTCATCGTCATCATCATCATATCACAAACTACATGTAAAGTGGTCATCGTCATCATCATCATATCACAAACTACATGTAAAGTGGTCGTCATCATCATCATCATATCACAAACTACATGTAAAGTGGTCGTCGTCATCATCATCATATCACAAACTACATGTAAAGTGGTCGTCGTCATCATCATCATATCACAAACTACATGTAAAGTGGTCATCGTCATCATCATCATATCACAAACTACATGTAAAGTGGTCGTCATCATCATCATATCACAAACTACATGTAAAGTGGTCGTCGTCATCATCATCATATCACAAACTATATGTAAAGTGGTCGTCGTCATCATCATCATATCACAAACTACATGTAAAGTGGTCGTCGTCATCATCATAATATCACAAACTACATGTAAAGTGGTCGTCGTCATCATCATCATATCACAAACTACATGTAAAGTGGTCATCGTCATCATCATCATATCACAAACTACATGTAAAGTGGTCGTCATCATCATCATATCACAAACTACATGTAAAGTGGTCGTCATCATCATCATCATATCACAAACTACATGTAAAGTGGTCGTCGTCATCATCATCATATCACAAACTACATGTAAAGTGGTCGTCGTCATCATCATCATATCACAAACTACATGTAAAGTGGTCGTCGTCATCATCATCATATCACAAACTACATGTAAAGTGGTCGTCATCATCATCATCATCATATCACAAACTACATGTAAAGTGGTCGTCGTCATCATCATAATATCACAAACTACATGTAAAGTGGTCGTCGTCATCATCATCATATCACAAACTACATGTAAAGTGGTCATCGTCATCATCATCATATCACAAACTACATGTAAAGTGGTCGTCATCATCATCATATCACAAACTACATGTAAAGTGGTCGTCATCATCATCATCATATCACAAACTACATGTAAAGTGGTCGTCGTCATCATCATCATATCACAAACTACATGTAAAGTGGTTGTCGTCATCATCATCATATCACAAACTACATGTAAAGTGGTCGTCGTCATCATCATCATATCACAAACTACATGTAAAGTGATCGTCATCATCATCATATCACAAACTACATGTAAAGTGGTCGTCGTCATCATCATAATATCACAAACTACATGTAAAGTGGTCGTCGTCATCATCATCATATCACAAACTACATGTAAAGTGGTCATCGTCATCATCATCATATCACAAACTACATGTAAAGTGGTCGTCGTCATCATCATCATATCACAAACTACATGTAAAGTGGTCGTCGTCATCATCATCATATCACAAACTACATGTAAAGTGGGGTTTGAGGCTCACACTAATAATTTGCAACTAAAAACAAGGTGACTCAGATCAACTAGAATGTAATAATTTAGATATTTTTTTTGTGTGTTTTGAGGGGGGTGGGGAGAGGGAAGATGTATGGCTTTCCTAAATAAAACTTGCAATGAAAATTTCCAAAAGTATGAAACAAAGTTGTGAAAACACAGACCTTATCTATGTGAAACATTTGGGATTTACCTATCATCTTACTTTGCTGTTTATTTCATGCTTCTATCAATAATACATGTTTATATTTTAAATTCTGATAGATATCTTTTTGTCGAGCCTGCAAAATTAATTCCCAAAAGTGAGACATAGCGATCCTAGATTCCGTCGGTGGCATCAACATTTAGGTTCAGTCTATGGTTAAAGTTTTTCAGTCATCAATAACTTTTTTAAATCTTTATGGAATTTCATGAAATTTGGACAGAAGCTTGTTTAGAACCAAAATACAGTATCCAGAGCAAAATTTTGAAAATATTTTATTTCCATTTTTCCGTATTTTACTGATAAATGGACTAAGTTTTTTTTTTACATTAAACAAATAGATACAGTCTGGGGTTAAAGTTAGTTACACATCAAATACTTTGTCAAACCTTCATAGAATTTTATGAAACTTTTTTTATAGATTAAGAGATAATGCCTGAAGCACACTTTTGAAAATATATTTCATTTTTAGTATTTTTCTGATAGAGTGATTTTTTTTACAGCTAACATTTACTGACAGTCTGGGATTAAATTTTTTTGACATGATAAGTTTGTTAACCTTCATGGATAATTATGAAACTTGAACAGAAGCTAATCTTCAAGACCAAGAAATAGCATCTAAAGAGAAAGTTTGATTCTTTTTTAACATTCTGTATTTTACTGATAAATGGACTCACATTTTAAGTCAACATTACACTTTTACACTGACAGCAGCAATCGTAGGCGAGACACAGGGTTCCGCAGAACCCCTTACAAATTTTTTATTGTTTTGATTGGTGTTTTTCTTTTGTCCATGACTATTATTATCTATATTTTCTACTTCTGCTATCTCATGAAAGTAGTGCTTTTGGGGATTTCCAAGCTTTCTTTACGTTATTCAAGGGCAACTTTGACCTTTGGGTAAGTGGGTTTTTTTTTTCATGACTGAGATCCTTGTGACTTTTGAAGTGTTAGCAAATTCAATTTTAATTAAGTTCATGATTTTTTTTTATTAAAAAAAAAAAATTATCTAATATCATATAAATATCTAAAGCATTCATCTTATTCAATTAGCCAAGGCAAAATGGAATACATTTTGAATTGTTGGAAATACTACGGATTTTACCCCATGATCACATTACTTAAGCTGTATTTGACAAAATATAAAAAAAAAAATTAAATATGATTTTTTTTGTTCAATCATTAGTGAAAGTGAAAAATAATTCGCTTCTTACAGCCAGATTGGTTCAGTTTTGTCAAATTAAGCAAAGAAAGATCGCTAATGAATTATTCACTTGCAAGTGAATAATTCAACATCATTGAATCTGTATTCATGTTAACTTTAATTGATCCCTATAGTTAGAAATGGGTTAAGCATGACTAGGCGTGTTCAGATATTAAACGGAAAAGAATGCAAACATTGAAAGTGAAACAAGGGTAAATGATTTAGTTGACTGGTTTGATCTAGAAAAACTCGTTCTTATACAAGTAAAAACAATTATTAACATATTTTTTAACCTATAATATGAAATCAAACAGACCTAGAAAAATCCAATTGCATGAGTTTACAATCTATTTATATCTCTATGTTTATGTTTGTATCAGGTTATATGACCGTTTGCAGTCTTCGGAGGTCACCTCAATGGTTAATTAGATTGCGTCTAGACTAAAATACACATGAAATGCTGACATATACTATCGAGTCTATGCATAAGAATTTGAGTCAAATCCGTGAACATGAATTTGACAGCTAATGCCCCTTTAACTTCCTACTTTATTTGGCCTTTTAACTTTCTTGATTCTAGTGTCATTGATGAGTCTCATGTAGACGATGTGCATGTCTGGCATACAAAACTACAAGCCTGGTATCTGATGAACTTTTTTAACACTTAAGGATGTTTTCGCTGCTCTGTTTCAAAATAACAAGCTTTTTAAAAGACTATTATAAATTGATAGTATATAAATAAAGGAACTTGTAAAGCTAAAAAAACATAAGAGTCCGTGTGCTTGTTTTCAAGATATAAGTCATTGAAAATTTGGCAGGAAATGAATCTCTCTAGATTTTTCATACATTTAACATTGGCACCTTTTTCTTTCAAAAACTATGAAAGAATAACAAGAGTTTTATACGATTTTCAAATATGGCTTTTAAAACTATATGTAATTAAAATATGAAAAGAAAATTAGGGGTTTGCGGGCAAAATGTTTTAATGGCACTACATGGACAAAACCAGAGGATTTCGAATATCTGGCAAAAATTCAAAAACAAGAGGAGCGAACATTCTTAAATTCGAAACAATTTTATCTTTATAGGAGGAATTATTAACCAAGGAGGACCCGCTTTTACATCAACACTGAGCCACCATTTTAGTCTTACTAAAGATGCTGCAATTAAATTTAACTCAGTCCTTTTGAACCGTGGTGGAGGCTAACACAGGTATATTTACAGCAACTAAGAAAGGACTTTATCAGTTCTCTGCAACAATAATGTCAAATGGTGGAATTCAGGTGCATAGTTACATCAGTAAGAATGGAAGAAAACTCATGAACCTGTATGCCCCAAAGATCCATGGTGCGACTGAAACTGCCAATCCTGTGCTAGAACTTAAGAAAGGAGATAGAGTATCTGTGAATGGCTATTATTCTGAACTGGTATATGGTCGCCATTACTCTTATTTCTCAGCAGTTTATATCTCTGCTTGATCATAACAAATAAATCAATGAAAAGATGACTCTTCTTTTTGTCTCTCCTTTTTAGAAGATTTAAAAATTTGTAAACATCATGTGTTTATGTCAAAATCTTACGTTTTTACATTTATTTTCTTTCTCTCTCAATCAAAATTGATTTGTACCATCTTTGTCAATGTATAAAATTAGCCACAGAAATTTTGCTTCAAAGTGCCTTGTCCAATAATGCACTGACGTCTAGGACTTAGTAGGGCCATGGGACGTCAGAGTGCATTCCATATATGAAACATAGAAGTTGCCGACCCATTGGGGCAGCAAGTTTCTATCTCAAAATTGTGATAGATCCATTTTCAAGTAGACGAAGTATACATCATTCAATTTCTGAATCCTTTTACTCCACGAATATGTAAATCTTATTCACGAAAATTGATCTATTATGATTTCGAGACACAAACTTACCACCATAAGTCTAAGTTGGTGATTTCAATGTTTTCTATATGGACTGGGCTCTGACATCCCCCTTACTTTTAATTCCTTCAGTGGTCTTGTGGTAGTGGTTGCTGAAGGTTGTTGGTTTGATTCAAGGCCAGATCAAACTATAAACTTTAACTTGGCATTTGCTGTTTCTCCACCAAGTATCCAGTAATTTAACTCAAGAATTAGTGCATAGACTTGTCAACTCCTGAGTCAGAATTATGAGCCTAGATAGGGTGACATGTCTTATCTTTTATTGTTACTTTGTAAGCACTTTAAATATCTGACTAAGTGTGCTGGTCTAGTACAATTCAGGGTAAATGAGCATGTACCGCTTACTTTGTTTGGCCCTTTAACTTAACAAAGTAAGAAGCTAATTTTTCAAGAAGTTTATTTATATTAATTTGTTAATTGGGATAAAATCCCGAAAAACATCCCATCACACAAAATTGATCTGTAAGGGAGGTTAGACTTAATAGAGGCAAGAAAAGTCCAAAAATAAAACCTCCTGGACTAATTTTGCACTAGAAATCAAGCAAAAAACTCTATACAGTACCACATAATATGTATGCATGCTATACTTGCCACTAGAATTAAAGCTTCCATTTACCCATGGATACTACTGAGAACAAACTGATTTCTATAAACCCCGGATTCATTTATTTTCTTGGGTACCAATTTTCGTGTTTTGAAGCAAAAATTGTATTTTTGTGAATATTTGATTACACAGTTTTACAAAAGTCTGCATACAAGCTTATTGAAAATTTGTACCTAGTTGAACATTTAAATCTGTGGTTCATCTGTAGTACCTATGATTTGGCGAAAAGTTGGAATCCCATGAATAATAAAAACGAAAATCACTGTATTTTGGGTATTTTTTCTTTCATACTAAACCATCGCAATTTCAATATGCCAATGTTTTGGGGCTTAAAACCCAACTATCAAAACTCTATTCTAACAAGAAATGATTGTAACAGGATGCTGTTACGAAGTCTCCCAAACGAAGCTCCCATAATTCGTAATTCCCAGTGTCGCCTGACATTGGACAAAGTCCAGTGAAAATTGGTTTGGTCCAGTAAAGTTAATGCATTAGTGATGCCTGGGGACTAACCCTGTATATCATTCAAATCATCTTGGCATGACAAACCAGAATATATGTGGTTTAGGGGTGGGGATCTCGACCATTTACAAGATACTAGAACATTGGGGGTGGGGGGAACCCAGTGGGGACTGACCGTATACGTCATTCAAATGTTCGAGACATGATGAACAGGAATATATATGGTTTAGGGGTGGGGATCTCGACCATTTACAAGATATTAGAACTTTCTCAAATGGCAGGAGGTCGTGATGACCCCTGGGGACTAACCCTGTATATCATTCAAACCATCTTGGTATGACAAACCAGAATATTTATGGTTTAGGGGTGGGGATCTTGACCACTTACAAGATATTAGAACTTTCTTAAATAGAAGGGGCTGGGGGAGACCCCTGAGGACTAACCCTGTATATCATTCAAACCATCTTCGCATGACAAACCAGAATATATATGGTTTAGGGGTGGGGATCTTGACCACTTACAAGATATTAGAACTTTCTTAAATGGCAGGGGGTGGGGGTGACCCCTGGGGACTTACCCTGTATTTCATTTGATGTGCTTTATCATGACAAACCAGAATATATATATGGTTTAGGGGTGGGGATCTCGACCATTTACAAGATATTAGAACTTTCTCAAATGGCAGGGGGTCTGGATGACCCCTGGGGACTAACCCTGTTTATCATTCAAACCATCATAGCATGACAAACCAGAATATATATGGCTTAGGGGTGGGGATCTTAACCACTTACATTAGAACTTTCTTAAATGGCAGGGGGTGGGGGTGACCCCTGAGGACTAACCCTGTATTTCATTTGATGTGCTTTATCATGTCAAACCAGAATATATATGGTTTAGGGGTGGGAATCTCGACCATTTATAAGATATTAGAACTTTCTCAAATGGCAGGGGGTCGGGATGACCCCTGGGGACTAACCCTGTATATCATTCAAACCATCTTAGCATGACAAACCAGAATATATATGGTTTAGGGGTGGGGATCTCGACCATTTACAAGATATTAGAACTTTCTCAAATGGCAGGGGGTCGGGATGACCCCTGGGGACTAACCCTGTATATCATTCAAACCATCTTAGCATGACAAACCAGAATATATATGGTTTAGGGGTGGGGATCTTGACCACTTACAAGATATTAGAACTTTCTTAAATGGCATGGGGTGGGGGTGACCCCTGTGGACTAACCCTGTATTTCATTTCATGTGCTTTATCATGACAAACCAGAATATATATGGTTTAGGGGTGGGGATCTCGACCATTTACAAGATATTAGAACTTTCTCAAATGGCAGGGGGTCGGGATGACCCCTGGGGACTAACCCTGTATATCATTCAAACCATGTTAGCATGACAAACCAGAATATATATGGTTTAGGGGTGGGGATCTCGACCATTTTCAAGATATTAGAACTTTCTCAAATGGCAGGGGGTCGGGATGACCCCTGGGGACTAACCCTGTATATCATTCAAACCATCTTAGCATGACAAACCAGAATATATATGGTTTAGGGGTGGGGATCTTGACCACTTACAAGGTATTAGAACTTTCTTAAATGGCAGGGGGTGGGGATGACCCCTGGGGACTAACCCTGTATTTCATTTAATGGGTTTTATCATTTAGAACATTTTCAATTAAAAAGATTGTGTCTATCACAAACTGTTTTCAATTTATAATCATTTGAAAATTTAAAAAAATAAAATCCCATAGGGTTCTATAGTAAAACCCTCTTTTCTTTTTGCCCCTCAAAGTACCCCTTTATAAACCCCATTGCACAAACAAAACCCTGATTGCACCACTAGACATGTTAGTCTAACATATTGTGAAACCCTAAGTTAATCTGACAAGCGGTTTTGGAGAACGGGTGCGGACAAGTTCAAATTTAAAAGCGGCGGAAGAGGAAGAGGAAGAGGAAGAAGAATAATAATAATAATAAGAACTGAGCAAAAACAATAAGTCTTCCCAAACTTCGTTTGGGAGACTTAATAAATTTATGTGAGCTAGTTACAGCAATGATTTTTTTTAGTCATCAAAATAGTCTAATCAAATACCAGTTCTAAACTTAAGTATCAGAAAAGGGAGAAAAGATACCAAGGGGCAATAATCAAAAGCCATAAATTAAAGAAATACGGACCTCATTGCCAAAAGAAAAACAATGAACAACACAAAACCCCATAAAAACTCGGGGATAAGTCGCACCTGAGTATAAGTCCCAGGTAGAAAAATCTATATGTTGTATGAAAGGGTATGTTAATTTGTTAATCTCTTAACTGAAAGTTACCTCTTCCTTCCTTCTTAACTTTTCTTCTTTCTTTATTTTTCGGAGTGTGTCTTTCTCTAAATCTTTCTTTCTTCTCCAGCCTCCGCTACTATTCAGGTCTAGCTCACCATCCATACTTGATGTCATGCTCTGATTAAAAAAAAACCCAAAAAACAGATTAATAATTTCATTATTTGAATTTTTCAACTTTGTCTACTATTTAAATTTGTTATACTTCATGTCAAAATGCCAGATTTTGATTGGTTAATACGAGGGAGACAATTTACTCTATCCCATGGCAAATACTCTATTACCCTTCATGGAGACGCTTCCTCAAGTTTGCGCTTTAATAAATACGGATGATTGTTATGTACAAGACGACATAGTTTATTACTTTGAATTTTAAATTTAATAGACAGTAATAACAGAACATTCAGTATAATGAATTAAATAACACATATCTGAGAGGGTGATAGAGCAGATTGTTACCCCTCGAAAAGACATTGTCAACCTTGGCTTCGCCTCAGTTGACAATGTTTTCTCAGGGTAACAATCTGCTCTATCACCCTCTCAGCTATGTGTTATTTATATACTATTAACCATACTGGATGAAATGGTGTAATAAAAACATAGATTTTATTAAGTGTGGGCATTCCTTTTTTTAACAGTGGTTTAAAATTAAAATTTCCGTCAAATATTTTTAGAGGATAATTTGACGAGCATGCAACTGGTTCTTTTGATTTCGAATGATATCTCTTTACTCTAAAAAAAATTGCGCTTCTGTGAAAAAAAGCCAAATCAAATCTGCTTGTTTTAATTATAGACAGTGTCCTGAATTTCAATTCAACATGTAAAAGTCAACCTGTGAAACCGTCAGTACTAACAAAATGGCAACGTCAAAGGCCAATCGAGAAGGGTTAGTTCTGTTGGCAATTCAAACCCTTTTACAAATAGATCTGTCTGGATAACATCAATATCAACATTAAAAACTTTGTCGCAATGTTCTCCAATCTTACATTTTCCCCAAAAAAATGTTGTGAATTGTTTTAGATATATGATATGGTTCCTTTAAAGTTTGGCTATTTCAAGGGCTATCCAGTTTTCTTCAATTTTCCAAATTTTGCAAAAACAAAAAACCTATCATATAGTTTTGGTACTGATGTTACTCTAGTAAAAGTCAATCCTTTTATATGTTTGACGTTTTCATGTCAGATATCTGAGACTTGAGTTTTGACACCTGAGTAAGTTGGATGATTTTTGTCATTTCTTCAGATGTGAAAATTGGCTGCAGCATTTCTGCAGGTGCTAAAATCATGAAAATGGGTAATCTCTTCTAATAAAATTAAGGCAAATTTATTTTTTCTGTACATTCTTTGACAGTGTAATTTGTACTTTCACATTAAATGTGCAGTTTGTTTATGTTTCATGGATCAATGATTTTATCGGTAAAGCTAAATATTGAAAGCCAGCAATTTAGAAAAAGTTTTCAGTAAGCTTAGTTGTACTTACCCCTGGGAAAGTGCCATAGTTTTCTATTGTATCATAGGGATTTTCTTCTTCTGGATAACCTGTAATAAGATTATTCTTCATTTATGAATAATAAAGAGGAAGTATTCTAATCCAATACACATTATAATGTCAAGCTACTGATGCTCAGAAACATTTATTTAAAAAGGTTAAAAAAATTGTTGTGAAAATTAACTATGTGTATTATGTTAATGGTTAGAAGCATAATAGAGAAACTGACAAAGGCCAGAGGTTGAAAAGCCTAAAAAAAATGGTGCAAAACTATAATAATGAAAACATATACATTATTGGAATTTCTACACAATTGAAAAAGGTCATTTCTCAAATTTTTTTGATTTTTTAACACTAAACTGTGGGCAGAGAGATATGTCTTCCCTGTATGAAAGTGTAATGCAAATTTTGAAATTAAAATGGCCACTCTAATTTGTAAACTATGCAAATCTTTCAGTCAATTTACCATGACTGAAGGGGAAGGGTCATATAATCTCCAAGGGAATGAGATGTGCTAATGCTTATACAACTCAATACCAAATATTAATGACTACAGTCTATTAGTGGTTCCCCACAAACTAACCTAATCACAAACTAACATTGAGGCTTGAGCGTTGAGCCCTCACAAACATGTTTAACCCCACCACATTCTGTATGTGTCTGTCCCAAGTCAGGAGCCTGTAGTTCACTGGTTGTCGTAGGTTCATATCTGTCATATTTGTTTTCATAAATTGTTTTGTTATAAATTAAATTAGGCCGTTAGATTTCTCAATTGAATTGTTTCATATTTTTTTATCGGGGCCTTTTATAGCCGACTATACGGTATGGGTTTTTCTCATTATTGAAGGCCGTACGGTTGCCTTTAATTGCTTACATCCACTTCAAATTTTGGTGGATAGTTGTCTCATTTACAATCATACCACATCTCCTTACTTTTATATGTAAATTATATGAAAGAGTCTAATGATCCTGTTGCATTTAAAGCTTTCGTGAAACCTTTGTTTACTTTGAAAAATTAATAACATGAAGATTTGAGGGGTGATCTATATGTTTTTTACTTTTGAAATGAAATATATATAAATATACCATGCGGGGATCCAGGGAAGTTGTCATCAGAATATTGAGGACTAAATGCTCCGCGGCTACCCTCACTACTACCAGGTGATCTCCCCTTTTTCATAGACCGCCGTTTACGTTGCTTCTTGAGAATGGCTATGGTATCATCTCCTGTGCCTTCGCTTCCTTCTGATGGAGAATTACTTCGGTCTGAAATGAAGAGAATACAATGACATTTGATCAAATAGTTCACTAAAAATCATCCAGTCAAATGTTTACCAAGAAAAAAAAGCCAAAAAAATTTGCATATCTGTATGTATTGGTGAATAACTATCAATGACAATCAGAATAGAAAGATTATAATACAAAGCTAATTTCATGCCATTTCATATATCTTATTCTCAACTAGAACTGGAAAGGTCCACAATGCATCATTTTTCTATATAAGCTATATATGTTATCAAGAAAGCTAATTATACAAAGCTATCCACAATGCAACAGTTTTCTTACCTCTGTCATCAGCATCTCTCAGAATACCAAGATGTCTCCCATGTTCATCTGTGGCAAAAGGCATGGAAATAATTGGTCCTCCTTCTGACCTTTGTTTGGTTTTCTTTTTATGTGGTGTTGGTTTTCTGTTGACCTTAGAGTAAATAGCACGGTTCCCTCTTTCTCTCTCTAATGAACTCACCTCTGAATCATCTGAGTCTATTGATTAGAAATATAATTACCCCATAAAACTATCTTTAGTTCAAAAATGTTTTACTTTTAATTTTTCGTAAAAAAAAGCATATTTTTCCAAGAAAAATAAATTTTAGGAATGTTAATAAAGGTGTTTATTCACAAACCCAATGAACATTGATACAAAATATCTCAAAGAAAAGTTTATTCTTTATGCATGTTATGCAAAAACATATCTCCATGGGTTAGTCCTCATTTGTATATATTAGCCTTCCTACTTTTATTTCACTATTTGATAACACAAGGTCATAATTCTTATCAAAATTTAAATTAATCATCTTCAAAGTAAATTAAACTGACTATCATGAATATTGTAAAAAAAATATTTAAAAAAAGGATTAAAAAGTGGACAAAAAAATGTATTTCATTTATCAATCATAATAAATGTTCCATGCATGTATATTTTTGGCATTCATTGTGTTAGTATGGATTTTCTACAGAGCAGACAATTTTTTAATGATTATATATCTGACAATGTTTAAAATATTTTATTTTTTAAAAAGCAAGTCTACATTCTTGTACAGCAATACATGGTTCCCAAAACTTTTTATTCAGGCACAATGGGTTTTTTCTCTCGAAATGCAGGCCAGTGTTAACTTATGCACCCTCTTATAACTACCATACCTGAGGCCACCTTTAAAAAATTCTTTGTTTGATGTTGACTACCCATGGCCATGCACTGTAGGGTAAGGTAGGTAGGTAGAGATTTTTTTTTTTACCAATAACTTAGTTAGAGTAACATGTATTAGACAAGAAAAGGACGTTAAGAGCAGGAAAAATCTATAAAAAAAAAAATTGAAACAAATTTGTGTCATAAATTTTTTCGGGTAGGCTGTTTTTGAGATGGTTAGGTAGGCAACATCAAACAATTGAATTTTTTTTCTGGCCTGATCTTTTGCTTATGCATGTAGCAACTACCTCACATAACAAAGCAGACCAAACCAACAAATTATTGCCATAAAACCAATATAATTTTTACCTGACGTAATGATTTACAACTGAACTATCTGAAAGTGTACTTAGTACATAAAATTCAGTTTTTTTTGTTTGTTCAGTGAACCATGAATTCTTTTTAAGTAATTGGAAATATAGAAAAACAACGGGTCAAATTAGCTTCTTCAATAATCGGAATATGCGGTTGCATAAAAAGGACAATACAGATTTCATGGTTCCCCTTACAAACAAGCAAACTTAAATTCTATGCATTAAGTACACTCTCAATTAGATCAGCTGTAACGTTTAATATTAAAATGAGATGATGTGGAATGATTGCAAGTAAGAAGTCTCATTCTATGAATTTGAACAACTTGAAGGTGGTCAGCGCCATTTAAGGAGGAAACAAGAGCATACAGGAAAATCATTGACCTGTCATTGTCATCTGACACACAAGAACCAGATATAAGCTTTTACTGTATGGAGGATGGACTTAAGGATCTGTTGGTGAACCCAATCACCTAGCTGCATCCTTCAATAATGAAGTCCTGTGCCATACTTAATATCAAATGCCTCTTGTACTTTGTATAAGGGCACTTTCAAAAACTTTTTAAGGCAAATTTCTTTGGTCAAACATATTTTAGTATTTGACTGTGTGGTCAAAATTCTCTGAATGGCATGTCTATTGAGGAGGTGCCTTCAGAGTCCCAAGTATATTTTTCTGGAACAGCACTAAGCAGCTTACAAAGCCAATTCCCATGAACATTTACTATTATATAACTTACTTCTTACAAATCTAAAAGCTTTTAAATATGGAAAATTAAGTTATCAACAATCTAACAAAATGCAATTCATATTATCATCATGCTGAAGGGGATATTCTGAAATAACTGATAAATACACCCTACATGTTCCATTAGAACAAATTAATATGGTACATAAATGTGATTAACTACAATACATTTCAGATATGCATATTCAAATCAACTTTAATATATTTAACAGCCTTTCACATGTTACTGTGGAAACAGTAATAGCGAATGATAATTAGCAATTATTAACAAACTAATATTTTGTAATATTTCTGAATTCAATTATAACCTGTTTATGTTTATTTACATCAATATTAAATTAGTATTATAATATATTCAACACACTTGCTGAAAACCAAGAACAGAATTCATTCAGGACTACACCAAACATGCATCTATGCAAAAGAAAGAATCTTTTCAATAAGCGTTGTTACCATTACTTTCAAGACAAGGGACGCAATTTCTGTTTTACTTACACAAAATATCAAGTGTACTAGAAGAATATAGGGCATCATAGCCAATAGTAGGAGAAGAAAAATGTCTGGTGAAAATATGTTGCAACTTTTGACATCGATACGACCACTGAAGACGATCATCTATAGAGAACCAAGAAAGTATCATCAACATGTGGTTAGTTACCATGGTTACTTATGTTAAGTATGTTCACCTTTTTTGCATTTGTGGGTTGCTGTCTGGTTAACATTTATGCTTGTTTCTGAATCCTAGACAATTATTGCATGTGCATTATATTGTAATGTGCTGATTTTTCTGAGTAAAATTGTTTCAACTAACATATTTGATGTATACATAACATATTCTTTTAATCAAATCTCAATTAAAAATGAAATTAACACGTTATAAATTTCATGCGTCTGAAGCGCTTTTCTGGATTTACCTTCATCAGGAACGCTCAAAGCCAAATATTTAAAAGCCAAGGATGTATAAGAACTGAAACAGTAAAAGAGCTATATAACCAAAAAGGACCTAAAAAAGATAGCCAAATCCATCTAAGGTCAACTTTGCCCGAGCGACTTATACTTAATTATACTTCGAACATCAAGTTTTCAAGTCATGAAGTTTATATTCATATTGACTATACATTTCATATTTAAAATAAAGCCAAATGGTTGACTGGGGTATAAAAATATGGTAATCCCTTGGTCTTCTTCCTACTGGCAGTTTAAACCATTGCCAAAGCATGAATAGCATGGCATACGTTAGCCAGTGTGGGATGCATAAGTTCCCAGCCATGTCCAATCAGAATGGGAATTTTAAATCTGAAGCCTTGCGTAGAGAGAGTGCAACATTCTCTGCATGTTAAGAACCTTTGCAGCAACTCTTTGAGAGGTCCATATATGTCCTGTTACAAGGCTAAATTTCTGTCCCTATCCAGTATAGCTTCTTTTTCCAGCGGAATTCCAAATTTCCCATCCATAATCCCTGTGGACCTTCATTGCAGGACCTATTGCATTGTATCCTTCATAGTGATTTTTTTACACATACAACATTTGAATGTATTTTTTTTTTTAGAATCATGTTAATTTTTATACTAATTTAAAACAAGAATAAAACATTCTGTATAAAGTATGAATACCTTTCTTTGGAATGAAAACGTGTAATACCTCATCCCTAATTATGAGTTAATGATAATTTCAAAGAAAGGAAGGAAAATTTCATGTATAGTTATTAATAATGTTCTTTCACTTTGTGTGGGAAAAGTAACAGTTCACTTTACTCATATGAAAGTTATTTTTTTCTACACTTTTGCTGTTTAAACAATATTTCAAATATTTCCATCCTCATCATCAAACGTTCCTAGAATTACTAGCTTTGAACTTGAAAACTCTTATTTTCTAACACGTATACTTTCATTAACTCTTAGAAAGGTAATTGAAGAGCAGGACATGGTGTATCAATTCAAGACAAAAAATCAATGCACTTTTTAAAATGAAACCAAAAGTAAAGGAACAGCATTTTTATTGCTGTTCTTCATCTAAACGTTCAATTTGTAATCTCAAAGATAAGAACACTAAAATGTCAAGGTCAGTTTAAACATATCATATTCAAGTCATCATTGTTGAAAGAAAAGTTTGTACCTACTGACATACATGTAATTCTAAATATAGTACATGGACAAAAGTCATTCACTTTTCAAAATTTTCCCTATACAAATTTGTAGATTTTCAAACAAATACTTAAAGCTCATTTCCTGACTAATTTTCATGAAATTTTATCTTTATTCTTGCAAATATTTGTAGTTTTCTATATAAATTTTCCATAATATATTAATATTTGTTTTCCAGAATTCATAATTTAAACATGAACTTGTTTTTTTTTTAACTTCATAAGTAACTTTATGTATATAATAAGATTTTGACATAAAAAATTAACTTAAATTTGAAATTAAATCATGAAATCTTGTAATTTAAATTTTCATATATATTTTGACAGTAACCATAAGAAAACCGCAAACATTTTTGAGATTATTAGTGAAAATTTTATGAATGAGCTCAAATTATTTTTTTATAAATATTGATAAAATTATATATAAAATACATAGTGAAAAAGAAAAAAAGAAATGAATTTTGACGACACACTAAATGTGCAGTATAACTGTTCATGAGTTCATGTAGATGTAGAATTACACAACAAAGTTCACCTACATGTATCAAATCCTTCAACAACAAAATTCACATACATGTATCAAATCCTTACACATAAAACTTACATATATCTTGCCTATACATGCATACCATATATATTGTATGATACAACAGAAAAAGAGCTGGAAAAACTAATAAACATTGTATCCAAATAAACATAAGTACAAATAAACACTTTGTATTGAAAAACAGTGCATATACATAGACAAGGTAAAATGCATCTGTATTATCATCTCCAGTGAGATCATTTGGGAAAGCATCCACACTACAAAAGATTTTGTGTCAACATTTTCCAACTGCACAGAGTTCAAAACTTGATCCTTTGTAACCCATGAACAAACAGTCTTTTTATTTAGGAAACATAGAATTATAAAGGACTAGACTCCATTGAGCCCAATTGACCTGACCCAGACGTTTTTGGACAGTGACTATTAATTTTATGCATAGAACCATTTCCTTTGTCATGCCAGAAATTTACAGAGGAGGAAATATTTGAATTCATGCAAAAAGTTTATTTGAAATTGTTTTTATTTCATTTACATTTCTGCATTTTCAGACATGTTTTTGATGTTACTGTCCCCTAAGCTTAGTTTAATAGTATTCAATTAACAAAGCAAAAAAAAAACCAGCAAAATTTGAGCCAGGGTTTAGTTTAAATAATTATCAGTTACTTCATTTAAACTACAATGGATAATTGCTATTGGTTTAATAAATCACAATAAGTAGTTGAACATTGATTTCACAGGACTTCAGCTAGTAAACTGAGTTTATTGCCCCTTCTTCAATCCCCTCTCAATTTCAAATTCCAATAAAAGGCAATCATTGCAGTCTGGAAAACCCTGTTTTAGCCAGTTGGAAAATGTATCAACACACATAAACATTGTATATATATTTCCTCAATTATAAATCTTATAAATATTTTTTTCAATTTACCAACCTGTTTTGAGCTTGTTCTTGTCTTTAGCTTTTCGCTGAGTAGATTTAATACGTTGAAGTTGTCCTACGGGAAGTTGGTCACATACTGAAGCATAATCATTCTCTATCAGTGGATAACCCAAGGCATCCTGCAAATATGGAGAACACATTTATAAACATGTTTTATGTAAACTTGTTTTAATGTGAAAATAAAATACACATGTGTAACAGGTTTTTTAAAATTCTCACAAAGATTTTGTTTCTTTAAGTTTACCTCATAAAGAGAAGATATTTACACATTTATTCAGGGCTATTCCAGAAAAAAATGTATGGGAAGGGGGGGAGGCACTTTATATTAATAATACATGGGGGATGGGTATTAGAGCAACTTTTCACATGCATAATGCACTATGATTCTCAATTACAATTGTCTGGGTGGCGGGTGCTGAAACAAACTGCCTTCCAACCCCCCCATACAATTTTTTTCTGGAATAGCCCTCATGTAAGTATAAATGTGAAAATAAATAAAACATGTAAAGAGTTTTTATTTTCTCACAAAAAAATAGCTTCTTTCAGCTTACATCTAATTAATTACCTTTGTTTCATTTACTCTAAGTAAAGGAAAATATGATCTTTCCTAATACTCAAACCCAAGACTTAGAGTAGCCTGTCTGTCCTTAATCTGTTTGATTTTTACATATACAAGGACCAAGAAATCACTGTCTTAATTTTCAAACAACATGGAAAATATATCTTATTTCAAGAAATGTGATATTCAAATAGGGTGTCAATAAAGTCAACTATTGCAGCAGTAATCCCTATCATCTTGGATACCCGTTCTGAATTGATAAAATGTTTCCATTCTGGATACGGAGGGAAATTGTCCAGTTAAACAATTATCCACTATACAGTTTTAATTACTTATCATTAACCCACCTTTACTGTGGCATAGTCTGCTATTTCTATTTGTTCTGGTTTTGCTAGGGGAGCATTGATTCCAGCAGAATTCCTTTTCTGGGGACTATACAACTACAAAAACAACAAAACAGCTAAATATTTTTCTCAACAAAAAATTACAGAAGGTTTATTTCAGCCTGCATTATATCTGTTCTATTTGACTTTAAGTTTTAAGAAAAATATATTATGATGCAATTTATAGAATAATTGTTCCTGTTTGACAGGGGAGATTTTTTTTTACCATAGGGTGTCCTGATGGCAAGGGTTTTCTAACTTGATTGATTTTGAAGTAATCTGGTATTGGAAGACATGACTATCGCAAAAATAAACTGCTTCGCCATGCGCAGCTGGATACGACCGCAGAGGTCCAACCCTGAACAATTTGGGCAAAATGGACACAATATTCAAGCTTGATACAGGTCTGAATTTGGATTGTAATTAAATATTTGACACATAATAGGTTTCTGACACAGAATAAATGTAATCAAAGAACTTGAAATTGGTTATATGATTTGAATTTATATTCAATTGAAGATTTCTTGCTGTTGTGCAATACACTGTGCTGTTGCGCAATACTTAGTAAATCTGTTTTCAGACTAGCTATATACAAAGAATTAGCAAAATAAATTGTGACCCCCAATTTTTCTTTTGAAAATTGACAATTTCTTAAATCTTGAGGAAAAATTGCCCCCCCCCCCCCCCTCAAAAAAATAAAATTTGTTTACCCCCCCCCTCCAAAAAAATAACATTTGAAGAAATTTTCTTTTTGTAAAATGTGGTACAATTTAAGAGACATCCATACACTTAAACACAAGTTATTGTCTGAAAACTAGAAAAATACTTATTTTAGACCCTTTTTGGCCCCTTATTCTTAAACGGTTGGGACATTCACCCCCAAAAAACAATTCCAACCTTCCTTCTGTGGTATTGAACCTTTTGTTTAAATTTCATAGAGATCCATTCACTTAAACTAAAGTTATTGTCTTTGGAAGATAACGACGACGACGTGATAGCAATATACGACCCCAAAATTTTTTTGCGGCCGTATAATAAATGCTCACAATAATTTCTGAATTTACAGTAAAACACTATACTTATTGTACTTTAAGATAAAAACCTGGCAAACAAATCATATGGTTCCTTCTTTTTTCAAGTCTATAATCATGATAATATTTGTTACAAGTTATAAATTTTCTCTGATAATTTTTTTTCAATGCTTTAATATTTCATTGGGTTAGATATGAAACAATTAAAAACCTGAAGAAACAAAGTTTTCTAGAAAAGTAAACTGCTCCACAAGCTTAACTATCTAATAATCACAAAATTCTCTTCATATGATTAAATCAAAGTCATTTGGTCTTTGGTTGATAGTTGCCTCATTGGCAATCATGACATATCTTCTTATCTTAATATTTTTTTTAATCGTAATCCTAATGACTTACATTTGATTTTCTCTGCATTTCATAAAAGGAAGCATATTGCTCATTTTCTACCCAAACCGTCTCTTCTGAATCTCTCGATCCTGTTGAAGGATGCCGAGACTGCTCACTCCAATTTCCTATAAACAAAACACAGAATAATTTATAATAAACAGCTGCAAAATAATTTTTCATCTGACATTGAAAGCTAACAACAATACTTATTTCTATAGATAAAAGATTTATGTAAGAAAAGTAAATTATGAGTCATTAGGAAAAGTGACTGACATAAACTAAACACAGTTCAGCAAAAAAAGATCTTAAGACACATCGTTTATTAAAAATACCATTAAACTTTCTAAAACAAATATATCAATTTCATAACCTTGAAATTATTTCCTAAAATGTATCTTCAAAGAGCAATTTCAAATGTTTTATCTTACCCCGAGATCTTATAAAATCAAATACCTATCTTATTAATCTCTGATTTGTAGATATAGGAAGATTTAACTTTTTTTAAGAAAATAATTTGCTAAATAAAATTGAGAATGGAAATGGGGAATATGTCAAAGAGACAACAATCTGACCAAAGAGCAGAAAACAGCCGAAGGCCACCAATGGGTCATCAATGCAGAGAGAAAATCCTGCACCCGGAGGTGGTGCAAAAGACTATTTCAAAAGAAATGTTACTTTTATACACTGTTCATTTCCCCACTCTTTTGACTTATCATAACATCACCTTTTATTGCTATTAATGTGTTATTTAGGACTCTTCTTTTCTATAACTTAACAATTTAGGACTCTTCTTTTCTATAACTTAACAATTTAGGACTCTTCTTTTCTATAACTTAACAATTTAGGACTCTTCTTTTCTATAACTTAACAATTTAGGACTCTTCTTTTGTATAACTTAACAATTAAGGACTCTTCTTTTCTATAACTTAACAATTTAGGACTCTTCTTTTCTATAACTTTAACAATTTAGGACTCTTCTTTCCTATAACTTAACAACGTGGAGTGACCACATATTTTTCTTGTAATATGAGTGCTCAGGCTGAGATGTCCAGCCTGCTTGACTAATCATGATAACATTTTATGCTGAAAGTTTTTAAGGTCAAGGTTTTACTACAGATAATCATTTCATATAAACTTAATATTAGCAATATTTATGAAAATAAGGTCATGGTAATATGAACACTGCCAGACAGAGATATACGATTGACAATAATTCCATACACCAAATATAGCTGACCTACTGCTTATAGTGTCAGAGAAACAGGTGTCAACAGAAAAAAAATTGACCAATGAACCATGAAGATGAGGTCAGATGAAACCTGTCAGACAGACATGCACACTTAAATATCATTCAAAATATAAGTGATTCACAGCTTATGGTATCTAAGAAAAGGAACTATTCCAAAATCTTAACATTGACCAATGAACCTTAGGAATGAGGTCAAGGACAGCTTTTGCCTACTGCTTATATCATCTGAGAAACAGACCTAATCTCTAAAACTTAACATTGACCAATGAACCATGGAACGAGATCAAGGTCAGCTGAACCCTGTCTGACAGACATGTACCTTGCAAGAATTCCATATACCAAAAATAGTTATCCTAATAAGTGAGAAATTAACATGTACACCTAAATACCATAAAAACTAATGTAAATTCATAATTGTTTGCAAGCATTTATCATTTTTTAAAATAGCAATTGTAGAACAATGGACAAAAATGTGATATTAATTATTGACATTTCAGGAAATATTACATACAAATAATGCTATAGATCAATAATTTAATTTTGGATGTAACAAGGTTTCTGATTGGCTAAAAGTTTTTTGTCTATCAGCTCATATACATAATTTTGCTATGCGAGTTATTCCCTGTGTACCACATTTTTGATAAATTTCTTCATAGACAGAAAAAATATTACAGTCATTCCTTAAATATTGTAATGCTTTTTTTTTATTTTCTTGCTACATTTGTTTATTAAAACTACATCTTGATGCAATTTTTCCCAATAATGAAAATCTGGCAAAAATGTCTCAATTTAAGTAATAATTTTTTAAGAAAGTAGATGCTGAACCATGAAAATGTGGTAAAGTACAATGGACATATGACAGATGGAGACATCTGTATGAAAGTAATATAGTGTCTCAGAAATATAACGTTTTGTACATATAATTTACATGGTTGACACTGTTGACGCCACTGAATTGACATTCTTATGTTTCCCGTTCTGCGACTAAAGAAACTTCATCTTTTGGAGTAGTAGAGAGGACTTATACACCTTTGTTTCAGAGATTTAGTTGAAGAACCATTTAACAGCTTAAGTAAAATATTTTCCTTCAAGTGGACAATTCAATTATCATTTTTATCAAGATCTGCCTACAACAAAATTGCATGTGGTTTAGGCAAATCTTATGTTTTAAGATTAAACATATTAAAAAAGTGAATTTGCCTAAATCAAGCTGTTTTGTCTGTGCAAATTCAGTTTCAAAACAGCACAATTTTTAAAAAATAGGAAAAAATTTAAATTGAACTAACCAGTTATATGAAAACAGGGTAAAACATCCAATGGTTTTAATCGTAAACAGCATATACATGGGGAAGGGGTTCAACATTAGGATTTACAACACACACACAGTAAAAAACCTAATCTAACATTCATACAGAAGAGCCATGCTTTTAAAACCATATCTATTACTTGGTTAACTATTAACATCATTGTAATGGTGTGACTTATTATTATAAATAGAAATAAGAAAATACCTGTTTTATAAATAGAAATTAGAAAATACCTGCAAGTGTTTTAATTCTTAATTCTTTTGTCAAGAAATTGACAATAAGAATGTATACTTTGACATGCTAAGCACAGCCCCACTCGTAATTCAAAGTATCTAAAAACAGGAAGTAGGTGCATGACAGACCTGAAAAGCGCTAACACTTTACAACCTATTACTGCCAAGCTACTGACTAGATATGAAGTCATTCTGTTTTGAAGTCTTGGAGAAAAAAGTTGTTGGAAAATTTTAGATTCATTCATCATAAAAAATGAAATGTATTGAAAGTGGTATTCTCATTACTGACCAAAGAGTAATTCATTCTGTCCAGAAGTTCTTAAGAAAAGTGTTATGGAAATATTTATTCCCACAGTGGGGGGAAAAGGATATTCATGCAGAGAATTTTTAGAGAGATGTGCGTATGATGTATACATGTTTTTTTGCTGCTTTTTCAAAGCTGTGCATTGTCTGCATTTCCCACACTAAATTTCCAAACAAATGATACAAAACAATAAAACTAGAGTCATAAATATAACGCTAATTTTTTTTTTTAAGTTCAAATGGCATTTTAATTGCTGTAATTTTTTTTTTTATCTTTAATTTAAAATCCAGTGTTTTTCTTCATTTTTCCAAAAAAGGAAATAGGGAATGTAGTAAATATACACAAAACCTAACAACATGTTCTGTGAGCTATTGGCCAGTACTTTAAAACCCTGCTTCATTAAATTTAAAGATTTATATAATATATCAGCAAACAGGACACAGGAACTGAAAAAGTGTCACATGGTATAGCATAACCAAGTCACATGGTATAGCATAACCAAGTCACATGGTATAACATAACCAGGTCACATGGCATGGCATAACCAAGTCACATGACATGGGATAACAAGACAAAGCTTGGCGCTATATATTAAGAAGTTATGACTTGTAGTCGCTGATAAAAAAGTGACAGCACTTAAATCTACAATTTTTTTTACAGCAGTATAAAAACTTTATCTTCCAGTAGATTGTTTTTGTTCATAGATATCGCAAAATCTATTCCAATTTGACCATCCATCCAAAATTCCTTTTAAAAAATATGATTTTTGCACTTGATCATGATTCTGGCTAATTTGACCATATACACTATATATAAAAATGCATTCAAAGATACAATTTATTAAAGATTGTGCAAATCTGTCAGACAAATGTACAATTTTTCAAATAGAAACAAAAAAAGGTCTCCAATATGAAAAGATTCTATGCTAGTTTTTTTTGCGTTTCACTGCTACCAATACACAGCTATCACAGTACATTTGTCATGGGAAAAAAACATCTGGAACAAGTCTTAACGTGACGCTGCATTTATAAATAAATATGATAACAATGCTAACATCCATGCTGTTAAATGAATAAAATAAAAGCTTTCTAAATCTAAAATGCTTCAACTACTGCAAAATGTCTAAACAGAAACACTTAGTTCACCGTTTTCATGAAAATTTTGTCCAATGTCTGTGGGTAATGTCGATGCTTTACTTGGTAGTCTTCTTTCGTTGAGAGCCCAAGCTTTAGAAGAAATGACAGCACGATGAAATGTGAATTGACAAGAAACAATGAGACATGGCACCAAATAAAATTAGGTGTTCTTGCTGCAAACAATGCAAATCAAGAACCTGAGAATATCTCTATAACCAATGGTGGATTCAGGATTCTTGGGATGATATTCCAGAAAACTTAATAGATAATGCAGAGCTAATAAATCATATAAATAGTGAGAAACATGAGGATTCTAAAAATTGTTTGGCAATCAAAGGGGGATAAGCTCTCTATGCTCTATCCTAAATCCACCACTGATAATGATAAAAGGTTCGTACAAACAAATTTCAACTAAGAATATATGCTACCTAAACTGATATGGCCAATTTTTTTTAATTTCACAATTCTATATGCATCAGTAATTCACTTTCATTAAATCTCTTAAAAAACATATTGAAATAATTTATAAAAGTATTTAAAATATATACATATAATTTGTTTTAAAAGGCTGTAAAATAATGCATCTAGTCTTGAAAAACACAGCATACATAGCATAAGAAAATTGAACGCTGTCTTTTTCTATGAAGATTTTGCTCTGGGCTATTCCATCTAAATGGGTATACAAGGGTCAGAAGGTACATAGATTTTGCTCTGGGCTATTCCATCTATAAATGGGTATGGAAGGGTCAGAAGGTACTTTGATTTTGCTCTGGGCTATTCCATCTAAATGGGTATGGTAGGGTCAGAAGGTACTGTATAAATCCCCATACAACCAACAGATTTTCTTTGAGTAATTTTGAAGACATCAAATAGATGATTGATGGATGTATGGCTGTTTAACATCCAAGTAGCAAATCAAATGACATCAAATGGACATACAACTATAAATAACCCAAAGGCCAAGATTTCCTTCCTACCCTCCGACATTCATTTAAATGGAATGGCCCTTAATTGCAGAATTACTGATGCCTATTGATTCATTGATACACAGACACTGAAAGCTAAAATGTCAGATTTAAAGCAAAGCATTAATTGTTTAAATAAATAAGATATTTTTCTACAAAATGAATAAAGAATTTAACATCAATTGATTAGTTTGTGAAGATTTTTAAACATGCTTAACTATCATAGATAAAATGAAAAATAATGAAAAATAAAAAATTAAATATTATTATGTTGAAGTTATATTATATCAATATATATTTTATATACTTTTTATGCATGTATATGCGTATGAGATATATAGGTATGTTATAGCACAAAATTTATCGGCAATTTTTTTTCAACATTGCTTACATCAAAATAATTATAATGACACACTTGTGTTGTTAAATACGAAGTAGTGTCACTCACATCAAATGGCAAATAAAAACTTAGCAACTACAAATTCATTAAACAAGTGACTCTTTAATCTACTACACTGCAACAAAAAATCTAAAAGTATAACAAATCAAATGCAACAATTTCTTGAAGTGTTGATAAGTTCCATCTGACATCATATGCAACATTTTCTTCCAATGTTGCCAATATCTGTCTGACAAGATAGTATTCTCCCCACAGCCTTTAAACATCATGGTGATGTGTTGTTATATTGCTTGAAAATTATGCCAAACCGAAAAGATTTATGTATAGATTGTGCTATTGATCAATTTGATTAAATTCAATCCTGTGTCCTCGCTTTGCTTACAAGGTCCTGAAAACACTTCGTTCAACTTTCACTTCTTGTAAAATGTTAAAGAAATTGCTATCTTTAAATTTTTGAATTTGTGTATCATTAAGACGAAATCAGAGGATTTCAAAAGGTCTTTAAAACTGAAAGTAAAACGAAATGCTTTCAGATCCTTGTAACAAAGCGTGGACACAGGATCTGTTTTTCAATTAGATTGGTAATTGAAGGCATGATATGATTTCTAGAAACATAATGGTATTTCAAAATTCCCAGTTTAACAGGATGCTACATGAAAATTTTGGGGAAAACACTGCATTGTAAACAACAATTTCTTGGAGTGTTGCTTTAAAACAGATCTGTCAGACACCAAATGCAACAGTTGCATATGCTGACAAAAAACCCCACTTCAATCACATATTAGAATTTTTTTCATTAAAAAAAAAAAAAAAAAACTCTTCTGAAAGAAGATTCTTATTATCAACTCCAAATTGCTTCGACTGAATTCAAATAAAATTGTTGCATCAGATTTTAAAATATCTATATTGTATTTGTCAAGTTAATTCAAAATATTTATTTTTCTAATTTTTATATCTAAAAGAATGAATGTAGTAACTACACTACTAGCAATCCATAAATTCTTCATGTAATTTTTTTCTAAAAGAATTTTAGATATAAATACAATACAGCCTTCTTAAAAAAAAACAGAAAACCAAAACAACTGTGACAATTAAATCTGTAAATTGAAAATATTAAATTAAGCACAGTAGGAAAACAAAGGATGGTGGTTGTCATGGCAACACAATATCGAAAAATTTTCCACCAATCACCTTCATCCTCTTGCTTCATTGCAAGTTTCATACTTGATGACTTTCTGAAGTGATACGGTTTCTCTAGTTCCCGCTGAAGTTTAGCACCTTCAGTTTCTATAGCAGGGTACGACTTACGATAGTGGTCGTGGTGGTACCCTGTAAAGGTCATCTCAAGGTCAATGATTTCATAATTTAAATGATAAATATGCAACTGCTATTCTGCATTTTTATGAAAAGATTAATGTTAAAAGGTTAAAAGCAAAAAGCACCAAAAGCATTTTACCATAAAATATTTTCTTTGTTATAATCATTATACTAAAGTATCATTTTTGCAATATTTTTTTTCTCAGTATTAGGAAATTTCTGCATTTCTGTGATTTTTTTTCAATGAATAAATTGGCAAATAAAAGAAACACGTTTAAGATACTCAAGACTTTACCAAAAAAGTTTCTTATAAACAAATTTGTGTTATACATGTATATACAAATTTCACCATACAATACAAATATACAAATTGTGTAGTTCAATGAACTACTGATTTATATGCAAGCCAATCTCCATATTACTTAAAACTCCTTTAGGGATTTCAAAAATATTTATATATTCTACAAGAAAACTTAATTTTCCTTAGATAATTTTAGATAGCAGCATTTCAGGCAAAGACATTAGTAAATTTTCTATTGTAGAAAAGTACCTTACTCATGGTATTAAAATTTTCTTACAAAAAAATGAACTAAAAAATAATCCAATTTTCATTATCTTAGGACAAATAAAATAAATCTTTAAAAATGTAGCTTCTAAGGCTAATTATCAAAATTCAAGATTAAACAAAGTGGTACTTTTTTTTATTATCTTCCTCCAAAATTAATATAAATGTACATTGTATTTGATCATTGTACATGGAATAAGCAATTCTAGGGAATACTGTAAATTCAGAAATTACTGTATGTTTTTATTTTTGCGATTGTTGAAAAAGTGATAAAAGTTTGTAATAATTAAAACATTGCAAAACTTCATTGTTTACAGATTTTTTCATGTTACATATGGTTCATGAAGGAGGGCTATACGTTAAGCAAAATATCTATTTTTATTATGTCTTAACAATGTCTGACATCACATGACCATGGAACATAAAAAAAATGTTATTTTTATATACATTTCCCTAAAAAATAACAATACAAAGCATATTATAGATATCAAATTTTGCCAAACCTTAGGACCAATCACATACTGTGGATACATCATTATTAGTATACCAAGTTTCATGGGTATATGTGAACAAGTAATAATACGTTCAACCAAATCCAAAGTTTCTATAGGTTTATTTGCTGACTTTGGTAAAACCACGAAATCAAATATCCACAAAGCCACAATGTTTTCTCCATCCACGAAAATTAGTTCTCCCAAAAATAAATGAATCCACAGTATTGCTTCTTAAGCTTTCATTATATCAAGCCCTGAAAATGTATGAACATGAAATAGAAGCCTGAGAGCAAATCCAGTCAAATATAAAATCTAATTAAAATTCAATGTATACAAACCCGCATTCATATTGGTCCTTCTTTTAATCACGCTTGGTTTGACTAGATGTTCACCATTTTGAGCATACTCTCCAGACTGATCTGCTCTGAAAGGAGGAGGCGAAGTGGACGATGGTCTCTCCGGCTCACTATCAGATGGATGACGATATCGGGAAGGCTGGTCATAAAGAGGGTCAGAATCCTCTGTACTCTGGCTGTAATTACAAAGTATTCTTTCATTGGTTTAAAATATTCACATTGCAAAATGATACAACTTTTTTTTTCAGATGTATTTGAGCATGAATGCCCATGCCTTGAAGGCTTGTATAATTTTACTTATTTCAGGGGCCAAATAATGGCTCTTATCCTACTCCTCCTTCTTGGTTTATTTTTTTTTTTTAGTTGTTGACTTATATGACCTGAAGCTCCAATGAGTGTTTGCAGTCTATTTGCCCAAAGCCTGAGAGGCTGCGGCAGACAATATCAAACTTACCTGTTGCTTGTACTACTTTGGTATTGTACGCGTCATATGGTTTAGGTAATAGTGTTTGCAATCTGTTTGCCCAAAGCTTGAGAGGCTGCAGCAGACAATATCAAACTTACCTGTTGCTTGTTCTACTTTTAGTATTGTATGACTCATATGATTTAGGCAATGGTGTTTGCAATCTGTTTGACCAAAGCCTTAGAGGCTGCAGCAAATATCAAACTTACCTGTTGCTTGTACTACTTTGGTATTGTATGCGTCATATGGTTTAGGTAATGGTGTTTGCGGTCTGTTTGCCCAAAGCTTGAGAGGCTGCAGCAGACAATATCAAACTTACCTGTTGCTTGTACTACTTTGGTATTGTATGACTCATATGGTTTAGGTAATAGTTTTTACAGTCTGTTTGCCCAAAGCTTGAGAGGCTACTGTAGACAATATCAAACTTACCTGTTGCTTGTACTACTTTTAGTATTGTACGCATCATAAGGTTTAGGTAATGGAGCTGGAGGTCTGTTTGACATTGATTCATCATATGCTGGTGGACTAGTGGCTTCATAATAATACGACTCATTTATTTCTTCTCTCTTTTGCCATACTTCCTTCAGGAAATTATTATATACTAATGCTAAAATAAAAAGTCAAGATTTTTATGGTGATGCATTATAAATTTCATTGAAATGAAACAGATGATGAATATCGTCTCTTTCAATAATGTACTAAATAAAAGAGATACTGTGGATTCATTTATTTTCATGGGTACCAATGTTTGCAGAATATTTGATTTAAAGGTTTTGCCAAAGTCTGCACACAAAATTATAGAAAATATGCACTCGCTGCATTGAAGACCCATTGGTGGCCTTCGGCTGTTGTCTGCTCTATGGTCGGGTTGTTGTCTCTTTGACACATTCCCCATTTCCATTCTCAATTTTACTTGGTTGAACATCTAAACTCAAGTTTCAACTATACCCATGAATTCCATGAAAATGTGTATCCTAAGAATAATTATGAATCCCCAGTACATATAAATCACTACTTGACCAATGTGTTTTATACAAACAAATAGTGAAGAATATTATAAAGAGAAACAGAATGAAACATAAGACTTTCATGCATAAATTCGTTGAAGTTTAATATAGAAGAAAGCATATTTTGACCCTGTGTGTCTCTTCAATTTACTTGTTCAATAGTGGTCATCCTGTTGGTAGTCGGGCTGTTCAAGTTTTTTATTGTGCTAGTTACTGTTACGACATATGCTCTAGATGTCTAGATGGATAATGGGGAGGTTTGTGCACAATTAAAAATAGTTTAACCCCACCACATTTCATACCAGTACCAGACGGGCTATCTGGACTGTGTTAACCCCACCACATTTCATACCAGTACCAGACGGGCTATCTAGACCGTGTTAACCCCACCACATGTCATACCAGTACCAGACAGGCTATCTAGACCGTGTTAACCCCACCACATGTCATACCAGTACCAGACGGGCTATCTAGACCGTGTTAACCCCACCACATGTCATACCAGTACCAGACAGGCTATCTAGACCGTGTTAACCCCACCACATGTCATACCAGTACCAGACAGGCTATCTAGACTGTGTTAACCCCACCACATGTCATACCAGTACCAGACGGGCTATCTAGACCGTGTTTAGGTGTAATACCACCAAATCATAGTACGTCACATCCGGTTGCATACGAAAATAGGTCGAAAAAAAATATTCCCTTGAATTTGACAGTTGTAGGTAATTAATCCTACATTTCATTGCAGTAAAACATTTCTGAGTCATAAACATATATCTTGGGTATTTCAAAGCACCATTATTTCTTTATTTGGGGTTTCTATAGAATATTTTGGAAACTTGAGGTTACATGGTTACTAAAGCTTGTACACAGGTTAAAAAAGGGGGAAAATTTGATTGGTTAACTTCCAGAGATGGTTATTTTCTTATATGCAATGAAATGTTATGTGAAATTTTTTCTATAGTACTGGACAGGATAAAACTTTACTCATGCCAAGTATTTCTTTATTTGAAACAAAGATAAATTCTGCACAATTTTTTGAAAAGTGCAAATTTAACAAAGACTAATAGGGGAAAATCAATGGTGGTATTACACCTAATATGGGAAGCTGTACATGCACCTTTGACCTTGTGAGTACTCTCATTTGTTAAAATTTCTTGCTATTTAAGTGAAATATTACAAATAATGAAATATTCTGAGTGGATTGAGTCTCCAAAATACATTTTATGAGAAAATTTCCTTGAAATAGGACTTTACAATGAATATCAGTTGACAGAACAAGTCATACTTAGAGTCTTTGGGAGCTTTTTCTCCTTATTTCTTATATTCTGCTATACTAGAAAATTTTCCCTAAGAAATACTTTAATAAATATATAGTTTTAAGTAAATGAAATTATTTTTAAAGCAGTAACAACAAATTATTCACCAAAAGAGAAGTTTTTTATGTCCCTCTCTGGAACGCGGCGTAAATTTAAGTTTTACGTAAGGACTTATTGAAACCTCCTTGGTGACAGTAAACTTTTATATGGATAGTTCATTCAGCTTGAATACTTCAATTAATCATTTATAATAACATTTCTATCATGATGGAGTGAAAGTTACCCCAAAATTTTTATTTATTGGCCTAAAAAGTAGAAATTTTGAGGAAATGAGAGGTATAAATGGACCAAAAGAGACCTTATAAGGAAGACAAAGAGGTCCATTAGTAGTATTTATCATCCTAAAGTCATCTTTTGTATCATATTCAACTGTTTGTAGGCAGATGAGATAAATATTTGATCATTTATTGGTCCACACTATATTCTATCATTATACGGCTTGGTTTGAATTTTTCGAAGAAATTTTGCTCGAATCGCTGTAGATGTCGTCTTACATTATACTAGATTTTTCTCAAACTATTGAACTGATTATGACAAAACTTGACAGGAATGCTTGAAATAACCAGTATTACAAAGGAAAAAAGTCACATTCAGTTTATTTAACAAAAAAGTCTTCTTTAGGTGTAATACCACCAAATCATAGTACGTCACATCCGGTTGCATACGAAAATAGGTCGAAAAAAAAATATTCCCTTGAATTTGACAGTTGTAGGTAATTGATCCTACATTTCATTGCAGTAAAACATTTCTGAGTCATAAACATATATCTTGGGTATTTCAAAGCACCATTATTTCTTTATTTGGGGTTTCTATAGAATATTTTGGAAACTTGAGGTTACATGGTTACTAAAGCTTGTACACAGGTTAAAAAAGGGGGAAAATTTGATTGGTTAACTTCCAGAGATGGTTATTTTCTTATATGCAATGAAATGTTATGTGAAATTTTTTCTATAGTACTGGACAGGATAAAACTTTACTCATGCCAAGTATTTCTTTATTTGAAACAAAGATAAATTCTGCACAATTTTTTGAAAAGTGCAAATTTAACAAAGACTAATAGGGGAAAATCAATGGTGGTATTACACCTGTTAACCCCACCACATGTCATACCAGTACCAGACAGGCTATCTGGACTGTGTTAACCCCACCAAATTTCATACCAGTACCAGACAGGCTATCTAGACCGTGTTAAACCCACCACATTTCATACCAGTACCAGACAGGCTATCTAGACCGTGTTAACCCCACCACATTTCATACCAGTACCAGACGGGCTATCTAGACCGTGTTAACCCCACCACATGTCATACCAGTACCAGACAGGCTATCTAGACTGTGTTAACCCCACCACATATCATACCAGTACCAGACAGGCTATCTAGACTGTGTTAACCCCACCACATGTCATACCAGTACCAGACGGGCTATCTAGACCGTGTTAACCCCACCACATGTCATACCAGTACCAGACAGGCTATCTGGACTGTGTTAACCCCACCAAATTTCATACCAGTACCAGACAGGCTATCTAGACCGTGTTAAACCCACCAAATTTCATACCAGTACCAGACAGGCTATCTAGACCGTGTTAAACCCACCACATTTCATACCAGTACCAGACAGGCTATCTGGACTGTGTTAACCCCACCAAATTTCATACCAGTACCAGACAGGCTATCTAGACCGTGTTAACCCAACCACATTTCATACCAGTACCAGACAGGCTATCTAGACTGTGTTAACCCCACCACATGTCATACCAGTACCAGACAGGCTATCTGGACCGTATTTACCCCATCACATTTCCTACCAGTACCAGACAGGCTATCTAGACCGTGTTAACCCCACCACATTTCATACCAGTGCCAGACAGGCTATCTGGACCGTGTTAACCCCACGACAATTCATACCAGTACCAGACAGGCTATCTAGACAGTGTGGCATTTGTTTTGTTTTGTACATCCCCTTCGTTGGAGTTGAGTGTTAGGGGATGGTATGGTCTATTGTACTGTGGTCTATGGCAATTCCAGTAATTCTTTTTTGCTTCACATCACTGTGCTGAAGCTATAAGTCTCATTTGATATTCACACCATCTTGAAATTCTTACTTAACAAATATCCGTTCTAATTGGTTGCCTTATGATGTGGCTAAGGTTTTATTGGCAAATATGAGATAAAAAATTGGTAACATTTCCTAGACAGGAAAAGATATTAAATAAGGAAGATAAGGAAAGAAATTACAGTATGGGTATTCAAGACCCTTTCAACAATTAATGTGGATTCATAATTATTCGTTGGATACCAATTTTCATGGATTTCGTGGGAACAGGATAACCAAGAATTCAAATGTTCAACGAATTACAAATTTTCTATAAGGCTTTGTATGCAGAGATCGGCAAAACCATGAAATCAAATATCCACGAAAATGCAAGTTTTCCAGAATCCACGAAAATTGATACCCACGAAAATAAATGAATCCACAGTATTGCTTCATGTTGATGTAACTTATGATACGGCAAAGCACGCCGTATCTGTTTAGATAGGTTAAACTTGTTATAATTATGGATCATAAGTATCCTAATTATCAATGTTTTATCAATATTCTGTGGATTCATTATTATTCGTTGGATACCAATTTTCGTGGATTTCGTGGGTACAGGGAAACCATGAATTAAATCTTCAACGAATTACAAATGTACCCTATAAATATATGTTGACTAAAGCAAAACCATGAAATGAAATATCCACGAAGATGGAAGTTTTCCTCAATCCACAAAAATTGGTACCCACGAAAATAAATGAATCCACAGTACTATAATTACCTTGGTTTTGAAAGTTTGGAGGTGTTGTCATATATTCTATCCCTAAGTCGTCTGCTACTTTAATAGCTTTCTGTATCAATGACTGACTCATTTCGTCCTGGAAAAATACTGAAGAGGCACCAATCTCTGTAATGGCTAATATTAGTATAGGCATGGAAGGCCAATACCGTCTTAACAAGTCCGCAAATGCACTGAAACATAAAATAATCACTCATTAGCATTATTATTCATGTAATTTATCTTCTTTCAATTTTTTATCAGAAGTATCATCTACCTATCTTGATAAGTTAAGCAAATTTCAAACTGGTTTTAACAGTTTTTCTTATGGTGTGCTGTTACACCACTGTCCAGGTATGGGATAGGGTGAGTGCTCTAAAACATGTTTAACCAGATTCATTCTTTATGTGCCTGTACCAAGTCAGGAGTCTATTTCAGTGGATGTCCTTGATAGCTGTCATCATATCTGTCTTTCATTTATTGAGGGGCGTAAAAAGGGGTATCTGCACGGAAGAACGCGAAATAAAATTTCACGATGAACGAACAATTAACAATTTCTTGCATGTTGATTTTTTTACCGATTTCACGAAACACAGTGAATAACGAACCCTTTTCACAGCTGCACGTGAAATAAAAATGGCAAAACACGTTGCACAAAAATAACCCTTTACCACCCTCTTTATTGTTTTGTCATAAATTAGGTTGTTTTTTTTTTTTTTCTTATTTGACTTTCTTTACATTTATCATGTTTATAGAAGGATGACTTATATCAGTATCAATATTTCCTTGTTTGATGTACCTACAAAAAGGCCAGAAAAGACTATAAATAATGTGATATTTAAACACTTTTAAAACAGCCAAAATTGATACAGTAAAACCTCAATTTCTAAAAACAATAATTTTTTAAAACATTTTTGTTTTTATTTATGAGTGGTGTAACAGAGGCTAGTGTTACAAGGATGCTTTCTTTATAAAATAGAAAACGAATTTCACTTGTGAAGCAGAACTGCAGACCCTTCTAGAGAACAAAGTTCACCTCATTGTAATATGTAATCTATGACAGCTGATTACAATTGCCCTATGTCTGTTCCACACAACTTTTTCACCTGATGTTTAAGAGGGTAAGTGTTGCTCAATATTTAATTTTTCTTGATTTGCTTATTTTACCATAAAATAAACGTTTGTCCAACTTGTTGTCGAAAACAACTTAAAGTGTTAGAATGAAAAATGCCCATTCACCTGTACCACTCATATTTTGCAGTTCTGTATTCAAAAGTCTAATTGATTCTTTATAGAAATCTACTAGATTTCTCACACTTACATTACTAGGAAGATGACAGAAAAGGAAGAGTATTTTTTTCTTTTAGCTATGATATTATTTGTTTTTCTTTGACTTTTGGTATTTTATAGCCCCTTTGGTATCTTTATTCAATACAAATTTGTCATTTCAGGGCCTGTTATAGCTGACTATGTGGTGTGGGCTTTGCTCATTGTTGAAGGCCGTACGGTGACCTATAGTTTTTAATTTCTGTGTCATTTGGTCTCTTGTGGAGAGTTGTCTCATTTGCAATCATACCACATCTTCTTATTTTTATACATTATCATACTCACTTCATGGTACAAAATGATGCTTTTCTTTTTGGCGAGAACACAAGAACAAAACCATGATACACATCTTCTTCCTCTTCCTTCTGAATCTTTGCAACAAAGTTGTGATATGAACCACAGCATACTTCAATTTTTTGTTTGGTAAGGTCTGGCGTACTCTCTAAATTAGCCTCAATGGTGACGGAAGGATTGGTGTCAGATCTGACCTGGGTTGGGTTACTGTTTAACAGTGGCCCCAGGGGAATCTCAGCAGAAAAGGCATCACCACACATCAGACACATACCAACTCTAAAAAGCAGAAAAAAATAAATATGATCATATGTTTTCATTTCAATGTAACAAAAAGCAAATAGCTAAAATTAAAATAATTATTTTGCAATTATGGATGAAATTATTATGTTACGTTGTTATATTGTTTATTTTGCATAATATGGAGCTTTAATCAATAAAAGAAAGTACTTGCTTTGCCCTAGATAATAAATTGTAATTTTTGGCATGCTCATAGATCTGTATTAAAACAGAGATTCATTTTGAGGTGCATGGTTTTATTCTAGGCAATCAAATTTTTGTGGAAGAAAATGTTTTGCAATTGGAGATGAACATATTTTAGAACTGCCCATTTTCATTTTTTATTATCATGGTTGTTCCAAAATATTTTTTAAATGTATCTGTGCTTTTTTTTTTTTGTAATTTTTGTGATCTGAATTGAATGCTTCTTTTTATAAATTTTTTTGACGTGTAAAAGCATTGCCAGAAGCACATTTTGTATAAAGCACAGAATTCTTATAATTACATTTTTATGCTACAACTACACAATTTAGAGTTATGTCAAGTTTTCGTTTGTTTTTCATTGCATTATTTTAACATTGTCACTGATAGCACATGCAGTTATAGCTGTTCTATTTTATATAGACATAAAATTTGATATGGGAGTGCCTCACAATTGTTGTCATTCAATCAAAATAATGGATTATAAAGAAAAAATATGTGTAATGTAATTATTTGTTATTGTTTCACCTTAAAGTATTTGAAAGGCTATTACACATACCTGAGGTCAGGCTCCATAATTTCTGATAAAGGTCGTCCATCATTATTAAATTCTATGCCTAATGATTCTAAAGCTCTGGTTATTTGTTGTCGACAGAATAGATCTTGCACTTCATATTCAAAAGGAATGTCTACAAATACACACTCTAACCTATAATAGAAAAAGTTAATATACTACATTATCTATGGATCTGTGGTACTATATTTCACAATAAAATTCAAATATAAACATCATCCATATCTATTGTGATTCAAATCCATCAAAAGGCAATGTTTATATGTAAAAGAAGGCAAATGATGTGTTAAATCATTACACAAAAGCCATAAATACACTTTTTTCACGGATCACTTCTTTTTTGTGAGTATTTTTTTAACTTTTTGTTGTATTTTCATAGGTACTCATTTCAATTTCATTTTTTTCTGATGAAATCTGATTTCGTGGTTTTGACAAATTCTGCAACAAAGCCTATATGAAATCATTTTGTTGAACGTTTAAATTTGTCATTCAACTATACCAATGAAATCAACAAAAGATCGTACCCAATGAATGACAATGAATCCACAGTATTTAAATCCCATACAGAACACCTGGGAGTTGAATGTTTTACATTTTTTTATTTTTTTTTTATTTCCAATGACCCAGGTTATCGTCTATCTTCATAACTAGGTCCAAATGTGCTAAAGATGAATTTCTTGTTTTTATTTACTAGGGATACATATATTTTCGTGGGTACAAATTTTGAGGATTAAGTAAAATTGGCATTCTTGTGGATATTTGATTTCATGGTTTTGCCAAATTATGCATACAAGCCTAATAGAAATTTTTTAAATTGTTGAACATTTAAATTCATGGTTCACCTGTACCCATGAAATCCATGAATATTGGTTTCCCACATATAATAATTAATCCACCGTAGTCCAAAACACAAAGAGTTCAATACTCATCCATTCTATTTATCTTTGGTTTCATTTTGACTAAACTAAAATTATCTACACTCTTTTCTATATTGTGACTTCATTTTTGGTTTAATTTTTACAATTACCGAAATTATCTACACTCTATTTTCTATTGTGACTTACTGTTGGGCAATCTTTTGACCTCTTTCGTGGAGAATGACCTGCTCCTTCTCGGATAAATTCTTATTGTAAGCTTGGACAATAGCTATTGGTAAATCTTGTAACGTGAAATTATTATCGTCTGTTGTCTGCAAACTGGCTTTTACATAATCGAAGGACTCTCGTGAATTATACACACATATACATACTGAAATAAAATTATGAAAGTGGTAACATCTTTTAAAATGTAATATTTTAAAAAATAAAAGAAAAACCTATATAAATATAAGATGTGGTATAATTGACCTTTTGCTGGACATTTTGCATGACACTAACAGCAAGGTCCATTTCCATTATCAGTTTATTTTCATAATTTTTTTAAAAAAGATTGACAAACAATCAAAAATTGCAAAGACCTTTTAATGTTAAAATGGCAGCATGCTGAATATTAAGTGTTAAGGAGGGCTAATTGGAACAATGTGGAAAGCAATACTAATTTTCTTCTCAGGAAGTATTTCTCATGGATGCTTTTTAAGAAAATACACTCTTTAAACCTATCCTATATTGGATTAAACAGTTAACACAGAGGAGATATATCTTCCCTTTAAGTATTTTGATATTAAAATGCAAATGTTAAAATTAAAATGGCAATAATTAAACAAATGAACTACGAAAAACATTCAAAGTCAATGAACTATGACTGATGGTGCAGGGCAAAATTTCAATCGAAATAAAAGTTATTACGAAAAATTAAATATTTAAAATAATTTCTTACCATGAGGTTTAAACATGGCAAGAGTATTAAATTCTACGTTAATGTCATCTTCTATGGTTCTATAATCTAAACTGTATAACTTCCCAAAGCACTGGAATTCATCGTTACTGTATACAAGCTGAAAGAAAATCAAACATGACATAGATATTTTATTACAATTACATATATATATATAGCATGCTTTAGGTAATCTGCACTATAACTGGTCATGTGATTTCAGCTTATGGAGAAAAATCTCATTTAAGGGACAAAACTCTTTAGAATCTCTATAACATTTGTGTCAACCGTTTTTCATAAATGTGATCTTAATATCTCTGTAACCGATTACATTAACTTCTTTTTCATGTGAGTACAGAAAAAAGCATTGACGATTCTGACAAGTATGAAAACATTACTGATTTATTTCTCTAAACCAGGTCTACCTTCCTTCAAAGAGGAGCCTGTAAGTAAACTATTTATGAACAGACTGCAGGAAACCTCATGATATGCCAAATCTTCATTCAAGTTCTTGTTTGGAGAATTTGGTGATAACAGCATCTTTGATAGTCTTGAAACTTTTTTTTATTTCAGGGCTATTTAGAGTCTGACATATAATATGGACACCTGTCTATTGTTGAAGGCTGTTTATTGAACTCTAAATGTTTTTTTTTTTGGGTTATTGGTTTCATAGAGTCATGTTGAGTTGCTGTATTAATGACGTAAACCTGATTTTTCTTATTCATATTTGAAATTCACAGTTTTGTAAACATAAAACTATAGACCTATATCATAAATATATCATGATAAAATCTTACATCTAAGAAAGAGCAATCAAAGAATGACTCCCAAAAGGAATTCATCAACTTTGTCAAATAAATGCAGCTTTATCCAAATCTTCAAACTGGACTATTTTAGAAGGAAGTTTGAAGTCTAAGTCCATGGACATATCTTTCACATCAGACAACCAAATAATGAGTAAGGGTGAAATTAGCCTTGCATCCGACTACCCACAAACCCCTCAATCGGTTGTTCAAAGGGTTCTTTAATGTGTAGAGAATGCTTGGGGCAATCTCCCAATGCATTTCAAACAAAAATTCAAATCATTATACACCTAGTACAGATGTAAAAAGTAACCACTGACTTAGTGTATGTCACTCCTCCTGACACATGGCACATAAGAATCTAAATCAATATACACCTAGTACAGATATATATGAAGTAACCACTAAGTGTGTGTGGCAAACACCCTACACGTGGCACACACAAATTTAAATCAATATACACCTAGTACAGATATATGATATGTATGAATAAACCACTAAGTGAGTGTGGCAATCTCCTGACACATGGCAAACAAGAAAATAAATCAATATACACCTAGTACAGATATACATGAAGTAACCACTAAGTGAGTGTGGCAATCTCTTGACACGTGGCAAACAAGAAAATAAATCAATATACACCTAGTACAGATATACATGAAGTAACCACTAAGTGAGTGTGGCAATCTCTTGACACATGGTAAACAAGAACATAAATCAATATACACCTAGTACAGATATACATGAAGTAACCACTATGTGTGTGTGGCAATCAACCTACATGTAGCAGAGAAGAATTTAAATCTATATGTACAAGTAGGCCTCCTAAGAACCCTTCAATTGTTGTTAAATTCAAATAGTTCTTAAATGTGTAGAGAGTGTGTGTGGCAATTTCTATGCACGTGACAAACAAGAATTTAAATCAATATGCATCTAGTACAAGTAGGCCTCCTAAGAACCCTTCAATTGTTGTTAAATTCAAAGAGTTCTTTAATGTGTAGAGAGTGTGTGTGGCATGTGACAAACAAGAATTTAAATCAATATGCACTGAGTACAAATATATGAAGTAACCACTACACACTTATTGAATTAGTCACTACTTATCATAAGATATTGATATGAATGGGATGATAAGTGATCGTTTCCTTCCCCGGTCATTCAGCTATGTCCGGAATGTTAAGCTTGTAACACCCAAATAAATGAGGAAACAAATGATGAAGCTCTTTAAACTTCCTTTCTTATTTGCAATCTTGTGTTTTGATAATGTTAAATTTATGTGGAAGTTCATTCCATATTATAATCTTGATGTAATGTTTCCTAAATAAACTCATTTTTGTCTTATTTTGTGGTGTTTGTCTCATTTAAATAGGTTTTTTTCTTTCCTATTACATTTATTGCACTTTTTTTTTATTATTGTTCTTCCTCATATTTTTGTTTTTTTGTTCTTTTAGGGTTTTTTTGCTCTTTTTTTGAGGGGGGTATCTGTGACACATATCAATCATAACATATTCTATATCATTATTTAGTATTGTCCTCTTTTATACTTAATACTATAACAATTTTGTATACTTACCCGGATTTCTTTCATTATTGATGTGGCTAGGCCATCTTTACCTAACAAGACTAGGTTAAGGGGAGAACACTCTGTTGGTTGGGTTATTGTCTGTGGCTCTGGCCTACAAAATACATAAATAATCTTCAAGGTATACTTGATGCATTGCATTGGATTTAAAAATAAAAAGATAGACATCCTCTCTGTGAAATTTAATTTGACCACAAGTGGTAAATATTGCTGTGGTTCTATGTTGAAGACTTTCCTTCAACAGATTTCAATAATTTTTATTGTTCAGTTATGTATTCTATTTTCAATTTTTTATTAAAACTTTCTGATGCCAAAATAAGCAGAGACATCACAGAAAAGTCACCATTGCATGTTATTTTTCAAATGCATATATTTTCGTCAATTTTTACAAATAGAGAGCATATGCCAGTACCAATCAATTTACATTGGTATCTTTGAGCAACACTTCTAAAGTAAATATAAATTCTATTCATAGTGAGGGCTGTTCCATAAAAACATACATGGGACCCAGTGAAGGCACTTCGAAATCGCAACTATTGCTGCTGGGTGTTAAAATTATTTTGAACAATGAAAATGTAAAGAAAAGTTCTAAATTGCCTCTATAGTTGGTTATTCCATTTTTAAAGTGCCTTCCCTGGGTACCATGTATGTTTTAAAGGAACAGCCCTGAGCATGCATGTGCTCCATATTTCCAACTCACAAATATGTGTCAAAATTATGCATTTTTGTCATTTTTTGTATAAAAGTCAAAATTTATACTACTATAAGTACCAATGAATCACAGTCAATGTTTATATTATCTAAGACCTAGTTTTTATTTACTATTGGTTATTTATGCAAGAAATACATGTCTTTTTAATAATACTCCAATTTGACTGTCAGACCAAACAAGGACCTTACCAAATCTCCTCCTTTAGCATTTTTAGCCTGAGGGCTATTCCAGAAAAAACTGTATGGGGGGGTTGGAAGGCACTTTATATTAATAATACATGGGTGATGGGTATCAGAGCAACTTTTCACACTATAATGCACTATGATTCTCAATTACAATTGTCTGGGTGGCGGGTTCTGACAAAAACTGCCTTCCAACCCCCCATACATTTTTTTCTGGAATAGCCCTGAGTAAGAAATGACCTTGTTCAAACTAAAATTTCCTTCAGCTCTAACAAAATGTTCTGAACCCACCTCAATCTGGGTATAGTCTTTTTGGGACAAGGATTTATATATATATGACGCTAATTTCTAATTCCTTCTCTTTTATTTACTATACCTACCTTACAGGCCTTGAAGCCAATAATAATTGAACTTTATTTTCAGCACATTTCTCACGGAAATGACATCTATCTTTTGACGGACATTCCATAAATCCTAAATGATTCAAAAGCATAATATTTCTTTCTCCTTCCATTTTGTCTAACTTTCTGTACCTGTAAATAAAGATTTGTCAATTAAAGAAATGCAACACTCAACTGAATATCAAGAAATGTGTTATAAACAATGTCAGTGATAAAACAAGGACTACTGGACTGATGAAACAGTCACATACATTCAGTGCTAAAACATGAAAATAACACTTTATAAATTTAGTGTGACTGATGTGCTTTTCTGCGTTTACATACTTTGTACATAATTTTGTCAATAATGTATAGTTATGTGTTATTCAATCTTTTCAGTAAGCCAATGAGCTTCTTTTACTTTCATCTTCATATTTCACACTACTGAAAGCAACAAATAAACAAAAACCAAAAAAAAACCAATTTCTCTCAAAAAGGTTAGAAAGATATATGTATGTGAAGGGGTTAAATATGTGTTCATGCTGTTAGAAAGTCTATCCTGGTATCAAGATAGTCAACATGTGCTGTCTTCAACAATTTTATCCATTTAAAATGTATGAATTTTAAGTGTAGTTTTCAATGTCAAAAAAGAAAGATAAAATCAAATGTTTTCATCAAAAATATGAAACATAGCATTCTTTAAATTACATGTGGTTTAAAATTATTTTATAAAAGTGAATCGTCTACTGAGGATTTTTAATTATTCCTGGAGTACCAATTTTTGTGGTTTTTGTGGAGACAAGTGAACCACAAATTTTTGTGTTCAACAAAGTTCTAATTCCCTATAGGCGTGTGTGCAAAGTTTTGCAAAAGCGTTAAATCAATAATTCAATCTTTCCCTATAAAAGTATAAATACACAAAAACTATGACCCATGAAAATGAATTCACAGTATCTTTATAATTCTAGAGCAGTGCTTGGTAAGAATCAAAACAAAAGAGTTGAAGATCTATTACTGTGAACTGATTTATTTTTTGTGGAATGAGGAAAACTTCCGTGTTTGAAGGTATTTGATTTCGTGGTTTTGCCACAGTCTGTATACAAGCCTACAGAATTTTTTTAATTTATTGAACATTTTTATTTGTGGTTCACCTTTTCCTATGAGACCCATGAAAATAGAAATAATAATGAATCTGCAGTGTCACATCTAAACAACAGAAAGAAAATTTTCAATCACCGATAATTTAGTTACCTCAAATCATCTTCTAAATCCTTTGTGATAGATTTGATATCCTCCTGTGTATATGTATCACTGGTACCGATCATCCGGATAAAAAGTTCTAACTTTTCCCATAATAATTCCTGAAATTCTAACTTGGCTTTTTGTCTAAGTTCGGCTTGATGTTGTTCATAGACTTGTTCTCGTTCCTGACTAAGAAGGTCATTGTAACATTCTTTTCCTACGAAAAATATGTAGGTTTCTTCTAAGCCTTTTCCTGGTATCACATGTTGGTTTTCTTCTAGAGCTATTTTGAATTTCTTTTTTAATCTGAAAATGTGAAGAAGAGAATTCCAACTTAATGAGGTTCATTAACATGACTAATATGGTTGTCAAGTATCTGGTTTTTAAGAAAGTACTGAAAATTCAGAATATTTTTCATTCAATTATTATTGTGATTGTCATGATTGTTGGAAGAACAAAAGTATGAGATGCTACATACTATAGTGCTGTCAAAATGAAATGTATGTTTTTATTTTTCGAGACCTATCCTATAGCAATACCAATAAAAACATCATAAATAAAATAAGAATGTGTCCACTTGTAAATACACAAGAGTTAATGTTCTAATTCAAACCTAGTGACAATTTGTTTTCTTTGAAACTTAATGTCATTTATTTTTGTATGTTGAGTGTGCAAAACAACAAATTGGCAATTTTTCATTTATAAAGGGGCATAACACAAGAACGGTGAAAGTGAATTTTTTTGTGTAAAATAAGCATTTTTATTACTTTTTATTATGTAACCTTTAAAAGTTTGAAATACATTGTTTATTGCAGACGATTGTCAAACTTCAAATCATAAATTGATGAAAGGTTAATTAAAGACCTTCGACCTAATATTTGAAAGTCTCTTTATCAATACAGTAAAACCTCATTACACACATGAATGTATGACGCAACTCACTGTGATTTTCTGTATTCAGCTTGAAGATTATCAAGATGATTTCGGAAACATTTTTCGGCATCAGAGGAGTTGAGCAGATCAAAAGGAATTCTTAACTCTGAGTAATTTTCGACAAAATCTTGTTTTGACTTCCAGCTTTCATCACCAGGAGCCACCTCTATAAAGTATGTGTCATAGTCCGGATGGTCAGCGATGTACCGTTGACAACCAGACCAGGGTCTAAAAGAATAAATAAGATGTAAAATAATTAATATCGGAAATGATTTAAGTCAGGGCTCAATGGTTTTTTTATTTACTAAAACATGTATAAAATATATTCATACAATAAATTTCACTTTTTTTTATCAGCTTTTCTTTATCCTGTATAAGACACAAATCTATTCAACCAATATGCTGGCCTTGATGTCTGTGTCATATTTAAATGCAGCCTTTGTCTTGTTGTTTTGAGAATTTTCTGTTTCATAGTTCTAGTTAAATCTATTCACAGATTTCTTAAGACTCAGGAACTTGAAAGACTAATATTTTCCACCTATGTCCTCAACCTGTCAATGTTATAGTACTGAAAGATTAACTAAGAACTATGAACATTTTCAGCTAAAATTTATGGTTCCACCCAAAATTAGTAGCCTGGGTTACTATCCCTGCTCATCTTTTTATATAAACCGAGGTGAATTCTAAGACCAAATGTTGCCCTGGTTATTTATGTCATGGGATTTGCTATCTGATCAATGTTTACATGGTATATGCATGAATCATTATTTTGATATGTGACATCTTTTTTCAAACCCATAGTAAAACTAAAATAATAAGCTGCGCCATGAGAGCATGATGCGCCCGTCGCTTTTTCAACGAATAAAGTTCTCTTACTCCTCAAATGTCAAATCAGAAATTTATATAATATCCAAAGGGAGCTTACTTCAATAGATATAAACAATTCACCGAAGTTTCATGAAATTTGGCTAAAGCATTTTTGAGTTATTGGCTGACATTTTGATGACCGACGGACGGACAACGGTATACCATATTATGTCTGTAAACGGACGTATAGAAACAAGGAACCACCTTTAAATCTAGTATCATTAATTCTTCGATATTAAACAGAGAGCTGAAATTTCATTTTTAATAATGGTCGACCAGTGGAGATGCGTTATGTTCAACTATTGTAACCATTGCAACATAAAACACACCATGTCTTTATTAACTTACTTGTCATTTATGGAAATGAGATCTGGAAGGAAGTGGTTTATTGTCTCCGGCAATTTCTTTAGAAAGAACTGTTCTCGCTTCTTAATTTGCTCATCACGTAAATAGGCAATATGTCTTCTGAACAAACGCTTGGCTGAATCAGTCCCAAAAAGATCAACATAATGCCCAAAGTCAGATTCTTTTTCTAGTTTCCGTTTAGTTGGAGACCAAATCGCTTTTGAATCTATCACTTGCAACTTTAACAAACTCTTGTATGCTTCTGTGGCCACATCCAGAATTTCTTTGCGCTGTTTAACAGCTTCGCTGAATGGAATTATTTTTGGCCGTGTTTTAGTTTTGTCTATTAAATGTGCTAGAGTCATAAATGCTAATTCAATGTTCACATTTTCGTGAGCAGAAGTGCCAATCAATGGAATATTATTTTTATACTCCTTACGCGCCACGATTTTCTCTGCTTCCTTTAAGTATCTTTCATTTCCTTCGTCAGTTTTTGTTGTCACTAACACTACAGGTTTCTTATTTTTTAACACGCCATTCAAGAGATGAATCACAAAATCAACTTGATGTTCAAGAGTTCGTTGCTGTATTTGGCTCACGTCAAAACAGCATATAAAGCCATCAATGTTCAGTTTCCCATCAGGCATTATCTTCTGTTCATATGAGCTGTCTGTTTCCATACCTTTTAAAGAAAAAATATTTTATTTTGTTAAAAATCAAAAAATTTAAATACACTCACTTGACATAAAGTTCAATTTACGTTGCCAGTCTTCACAATGAACTTTAAAATCTACAGGCCCGGAGCTCAATTTTTGGAAAACTTTAGTTAGATTCTGTTGGCCTGTAAACATGATTTTTACAGGCCCGAGAGCAATTTTACAAGCCTGGGCTGCTGGGCCTGTGGTTCAGCGTGAAGACTGCGTTTCTGCACTTTTTTAAATAAATAATAATTGTAAAATATATTAAATTGTTCATTACTTTCAGAGATTTCTTTCTTAAAATATCATCATGGAAAGAATTTCAAATAAATGAGTCAAAACTATTGCAAAATAAATAAATAAATCAACGTTTTATCACAAATATTCAATGCTGGTTATTATTCAACAATATGTCTCCTCCTGTTCATTTTTTTGTTTGTTCGGAATGCAGTTTCATTGTCATAGTATTTATACCTGACACCTACATGACCTAATTTCATTCATAAAATTGCAAGTAATTCATGCTCTTAAATTTACATAAATTTTCAGGTAAAAAATTGTTGTCTATTCAACATTGTTCACCTTGGACATGCTAAACATATTTTTTCTATACCATTCACTGCAAGTTAATATACCACATGTATACTGATGTGAAATTTTCCAATGGGATAGTTTTTTATACAAATTTCATTAAATCATCCAACATTATATTATTAATAAACACCACTGGTTAAATGTAAAGTGTCCTGTGGGGAATACTTTGGTTAATATACTAAAAATGAAAAAAAAAAAAGAAGAATGTCAGCTAAACTAGTCAAATTACCCCCTAACTAATTGCCCTATATTACCAGTCTTAGTAGTACAGATTGAAATTTAATAACAAGGCATATATATACGATATATCAGGCTGCAAGTGTAAAATGACATTAGAAATACGAGATACAATTTATAGCAAAATTAAGAAGGGTCTTCCTCAAATATGTAATGATAAGCTATATCTTTTGATGAACTTGAGTTCTTGAATTGCTTTCTCAATAACATCTAACCAAAATGTCCTTTTTCACACCATTTTTTCCAAAGTACTGTACATGTGGATTAATTTATTTTAGTGAGCACCAATTTTCACAAAATGATTTTAGTAAATTGAGGAAAAATTGTATTTTCGTAGATATCAGATTTTGTGGTTTTGCCAAGGTCTGCATACAAGCCAACATGTACATCAAATTTGTACTTTGTTAATTATTTAAATTTGTGGTTCACCTTGCCTATACTATATTTATCTTTCATGATAATGTGGCAGGTTAAACCCCTACGCAAAAACTGTAAGTATTTTCCCCTGCACCAGTAAACCTCTAACATAAAGTGTGATAGACACGTATTTCATTTATTAATTACCTAGCTGGTCTTTGCAGATGTACATCAGCTTTTCGGCTGACTGAACCTTCGTCATGATACATCTTTTATGGTATGGGTCGGTTCGTCCAGTTTTAAACGGCTGGAATGAAACATCATCAATAAATTCTGTTTGCTCAATTACATGGAATGTAAAGTTCGAACCGTCATCAGTTTTCGTAACCTCTCCCCAGTATAAGAAATGATCATTGTTAATAACACGGCCTGCAAAATCACTCTGACTCAAGACTGAGATGTGGTCATGTGAATACTTATCCGCAACCTGACAGATGAAACGGTTACAAAAACACGACTTCCCAACTCCAATAGGTCCTTTGTCTTTTTCCGTACCAGACAAACCAATAACACTAACATTGAATGTACGGTCATCTGTTTTCTTTGCCATGATCTAGCTATTTATCTCAGGGTTCAGAAGGTCACCAAGGGGAGATAATCTATGAGATTTATCTGGTAGTAAAGTTATTTCAGCAGTTGTATAACCTGACGATTCACACTGGCCCATCATGTCAGTAGCATCACAGATATAGTTTTGGTAATGGATGGTATTGTATAAAGTTAAAGATTAATCCAAATACGAATGTGGAATTCATGGTATCTCCAAAAAAATTGCTCGTCTTCTGCCAGCAGTTCTTTTATGGATAGTTCCTACAAACCTGGAAGAGAAAAGAAATTTGTAAGAAAAAGATTGCTAGTGCATATATATTATACATATAGGGTACCTAATGGCATTTACTTAAACTTCAGGCTGGGGAATTCCTGTAAGTGCATGTATGGCTGGTGCTTATTTTAGCAATGCAACCCATTGGACAAGCTACAATTAGCAAGCCAAATGAAAATGCAAATAACACTTAATAAATTTGGTGCTTTCAAAGGGGTTTTCTCGATTAACCTTCATCAGGAACACTGAAATCTTAAATTTAAAAGCCAATGATGTAAAAAAAAATGTGTTTTCAACTACACATGCTACAGTTAATTCAGAAATTATTGCATGCATTTATTATTGTGATTGTTAAACAATCAACACAAATGAGCAACTAATTAGTGCCCTGATTGGATAATTCAAATAAATACTGGGCCCTGATTGGCTAATGTCTTAGTAACCCAAATAGCAACTTAATTAATTAGTACGTAAGGGCTGCAGATACTGGGAACAACCCAATCTGATTGGTTAAAATGCAATGTATCTCTAACAATTTATAACTTGTTTTTAATATTCTAATACAAAAAGCGACAATGTGTTAGCTTTCTTTCTGTTTCATTTTAGTGCTTAAAAGAAGGGCTTTTAGAGAACAGTCTACACCTAGCCAAGAGCAGTGTTTGAACTCACAACCTCTATGAGATAAACTACATGTACCAAGAACACTTGGCCACTGAAGCCCCTCTGTTATCCACTGTAACAACATAACATACATTTATCATGTTTATATGACTTATAAATGTTTCAACAATAAAGACACCAACTTCTTTGTATTAGATACACCTACGAGGGTGTTAGTCCGATTGGGTGTATCTAATTTACACCAAGATATTATTGTCAATGAAGAATTATAGTTTTCAATAATTTAGGAGGGGGGTCTTTCAGTGATTTGACCATATGTTATTGAAAAGCATGATAAATGCAACTGGTATCCAATTTCATTTAACGACATCTTGGTGTAAAGTATATCATCATTGTAAGATTCTAATCTTGTATTTTCTGTATTTTTTAAATACACAAAGTTTATTTTCATCTGATGCTTTCATTATATAAAAAAATCCCATAATTTACATGTGAATTTATAAAGAGCTCATGTATTCTTTTATTTTCCATGTTTTGTTCTCAATTATATCATTTCATAATCAAATACATGTTGTGTACAAGTACATCGTAATTGCCTTTGTTAAAACAGAATATTTCAAATGTTTTTATCAACAGATGTATACTTAGTTATCTGACCAACTTCCTGACCATTACAAGGGTCAAAAATATTTAGTCTAGCTATTAATAAAACAACATTACTCAGAGTAAATTCAGCATCAGCCATGAATGTTGTAGATAATATAACAGATTAGAACTAAGATAATAAACAATATAGTTTTCCTAGTGTACTGTATGGTCAATGCAAGACTCAAATATCCAACTTCAATAAACTTGATATACATTTAATAGATATTTTTTTCATATATAAATATTTAATATATTATCAAACAATTTTATCTGTCTTACACCAAGATGTCATTAAATATAATTGGATATTCTGCATTTAACCTGCTTTTTTTTTTTTTATAAAATTAGGTCAAATTGCAGAGAGACCCTACACATACCACACCCACCCCCATTTCCTAAATAATTGAAATCTATCATTTTGCAATTACTATAATATCTTTGCCAAGTTGGTGTAAATTAAATACACCTGATTGGGCTAACACCCTCATGGGTGCATCTAACATGTCTAATACAAGTTTAAAAGTATACGACATACATGTCGTATACGTAAATCAAGTCAAAATAAATTATTTCTGATATATTTTCATCTCTGCTCCCTCCTTCCTACTGGTCAAGCTTCTCCAAATCCATATTTTCTATTTATAACAAGAAGCTGAAGTTATAATGTTAATAAGTATACCTAAAAAAAATAGATCGATACATACATGTACTCACTAATTACATATCTGACCCAGATTATATATAAACTGTAAATTATATACAGTAGACGTCTGTGTCTATAAGTGCATGTACATGTATCATGTGTATGTAGAGAAAGAAATTGACATTCTTTACATACGTAAATCCATGTACAAATTTCCACAAAAGTGATATGTATTAAAAAAAGTTTATTTAAGGAATTGACGTGAAGCGTACATTTCAGGATGTACTTTAGACTTAACTTGAGACACTTGAAGATGATCCACGATTTCCGATGTTATTTGCTATTGTTTACCAAAACAAACTACTAAGGTGTCATATTTTCTACTTTATATTCATATATGAAGCATAAAATTAAACGTATTATACACCAAAAAACCTCCATATATGATTATGTTTACTAGTTTTTCATGGAACTGGTGTGTTCAATTTGAATAATTAGAGCCAAGTATTTAAAGTAACATTACTTAGCTTGAACAAGTTAAACAGCTTGCCACAAACATTAAGTACAATGTGCATTGTTTTGCAATAAGTACTTGTCACATTCACTTTTTACTATAGATTTCATAAAACACTGGGTCTTTTTTCAAAAAGAAATTGTGAGGTCATTTATATAAAGTATATATATAGTAAAAAATTAGGAAATAAAACTATGTTTTTTACTTCAAAAAAAATATTGTAAGGTCATTTATACATGTCTAAAAGTATAAACCAAAAAAATTGAAGGTGACAAATTCTCATTGCATAACACTGTACCTACAGAAAAAAAAATTGTACATGTATGTATATGATAAAAGACAAGATCTGACAATTTGCCTTATGTCTAGGGACAGGAACATGAAATGAACAATTTGAAAACAAGCTTAGGGTTAAACATGTAATGATGCTGCTTACTATCAATGATCATGTAATCTTTAATTCCTGACTTCAATATCCATTAAAATCAAATGCATAAAATGAACCAAAACTAAATTACACAGGGTAACATTTGAAACCATGTCTGATGATACAACAAAAACAATCAATGTCAGAGAAAAATGAACCTTGAAGCACAAAATGAAGGTTATTTTATCTATATATTTCCCTTCAAAATTTTGTAGCCAATTTCCTAAAATGCACCATTCCAACAGGAAATAAAAATACTGTATCTTTTGTTAAAAAGAATAAAGTGTGTTAAATAAACAATTGTATACATATGAATTAAAGCTACTCCTAAATCCAATGTTTTCATATAGATAATCTGATATTGATTTCAAGGTGTAATATTTACACACATGACTGCATGCAATGTACAAGTTGTTAATTTCATGAATGAAATACACAGTTGTATATAGGTACAGAAGTAATAATCTGCATTCTATATCTGCATATATTTTATGAATGGTACTTAAATGTCCCCTAATCTTTTTATTAATGAGCCACAACAAAGATAAGCTATCATACATGTATGTCGTGTATGTAAATATTACTTGTATTTATAGATAAAAATATCTACATGTACATATTTGAATGTTCATACCAGTCAAAGATGAAAATTAATAAATATTTCATTAGAAGGAAGTTTTTATTTTATCATCCTTTGATCTATCTTTTTAAAACTGTATTTCCTTTACGACTATCTGCAGGGAAATTGCAATAAAATAAGGTGTTTTTTAAAATTTGGTCATTACCACTTTTAAAATAAAACGAAAGTTAGTTTGAGATTGTACCAAAAGACTATTTTCTGAATGATGTGAAATCTCTCAAAAATGAAAAAAATCAATAATATCCCCCTTTTTATCCCCAATCGGAACTGATACACCAAGTTTCCTTGATCAGGGTGATTTAGTCTTTATTTTTGTATCAGTATTATTTTTATACCTGCAACATTCTAAACTCAATTTTCTCTATAACTAAGTGTGTCAACAACCTACCAGGAAAAGTTGATACAGTCCCAATCTGTTAATTGTAAATTTCAAACCATTAATAAAAAGAAAGTGCCTCAAATCCGATTAATACCTAAATATTCATAATAATTCATTTATTCAGTACACTCATTTTATGATACACATACTATTATGCACTGTACTCACAGATACTGTACTGTAGAATACACAATATCTTATTATGAATTAGTCAATCAAAATTGTAAATGACTAAGTCAACAACAACATGTGCTACTCTGAATACACATCATGGAATTTTGAAAATTTCTATATTGATCAATAACAAAAAAATACAATAATCCTAAGACCGAAGAAATACCAATGTATCAATATACCTTAATCTTGGGTCTCTCTTCGGAATCTATGTACATTAAACAAACACACAAATTACACTAACAAGGAAGACAGTCCAAACACACTACGTACATGTGCCCGTGTTAATCACACCACCTCAAAATGGTAAAATCCCCAATCAAAAAATAGAAACTGACAACCTACTTAAGTAGCCATAAATCTGATGAATCTATAATTAGTATAACAATTGTCAATGCAATTACTCATATTTATATCCACAGAAAACTTTATTTATTTACACTTAAACTATTAAGTGTTGTCATGATGGTTTAAAATTTTTCAAAACAATGTCTATTTCAATTTTAAATAATAATTCTATGCAATTTGAATAAAAAAACCTTTGAATATTCTAAATTTTACCTAAACACAGATTTGTAAAATACCAGAAATAAATCAGAATATTCCAATTCAATAGAACACATTTTTAAGAATTTGTTCCTTATTATCAGGAAGTATTTATCTATCTGTCTGCTACACCCTTGGGTACCCCCCTGAAAATGTGTAAAAATGCACCTTAACCTTCTACCTTCCAGTGCTGACACAAAGAAATTAATGGTGACTAATGAATGAAATCTATTTCAAAGTACAATTATCATAATCAATTTTACAGGTTAAAAAAATCAATTCCATGTAACTTGGAGTGATATAATAGTGAAATCGACATTGATATAGTAAAGTGATTAGTCATCTTACATTGATAGAGTTCTACAGAGTATATAAATATTACCTGACGAAATCTTCAACAGGT